TGGTTCTTGTTCCTGTTGAGAAGGTACGTACACTGCTGACGTCTACCTATCCTATCTCCGAAAGGGCCGTCATGTTGTTTCAAATGATTAGATTGCGTGGTGTGAATTCGTCCTGCATTGACAAGTGGTCACGCCCCCGTTAACGTGATGAGCAAGTTTATGTTGCTATCCTTTCTCCGTTGACATGTCGACATGTCGTGGATGGTGATGATGATGATCCCCTCACAGGACAGCCCCCGGTCTGCGGCCAGCCGCCGTTCGGCAGGCAAGAGGTTACATACCCGGTTATGCTCGGCTTTTCACGCAATCAGAGTTGGAAATAGCGACATGTGTCGCAAGAGACATGGACATGTGCATCACATCGCTGTTTGGTTGGTGGTCCGCGGCAGTCGCTTGCGCGAGACTGCGGAGTCATTGCACCAGCTCCCAAGGTCACAAACCCTTGAACCCTCAATGATGATCATCAATCACTTCTCACCTTTTCCATTTCCAAGCATCAGAAAACCCATCACAAAATAAGTCCGGTGGTCCATGTCGTCCATATCTCACACCGGGCACACCGGTCATCTGGTCCCCATCACATCACATAAGCGAAGGAAAAGTGACAGACCGGAACGTACCGAAACAGACATCCCAAAACAGAAAGAGGCAGAAGAAGATTACGGATATGACAAAGCGATCGAACGAAAAAAGCAAAAAGGCGGAGCGGAGCCTCATACGCCTCTTCAGCCTCTTCCCACTCCCAGAAACCAAACCAAACCCATGACGGAAAAAATGCGGATGGGGCGCGACCCAGGCGGCCGGGCAGGCACCCGAACGCGCGATCAGACGGACCGACGGGAAGGCCGCGCACCACAACCACACCACGCGGACGGCTGGTTGGTGGTGAGTGGCGTTCTGTAGAAAGAACACAAAGAAAAAAACCTTCTCTGTTGTGCGTGCCGTGCCTGATCATCAGCCAGCCGCTCGAGGTGGGAAAGAACAGCGAAAGAAAGAGAGAGCGAAAATCAGGGTCCACAGCTGCCCTGCCCTGCCCTGACTCCCGTGTCCACCAATTTTCTACGGTGAACACGGAACATCGGTAGTATGGAACACATTCTCGAACATCACAAGGCTTGTCGACAAGGGCATCGACGGGGTGTTTATTCACCGCCAACACGAGCCTTTGTTAACCGCGCTTTACCGCTGATGAGAGCCTTCAGCCGTGACAGCCGTCAAGGTTTTGAAGGTTCCGCTTTGAGCTTCTCATATCCACCACGTCCTTCACCGATGCCCGAACTCACCGATCACCGCCGACCGCCTTGTACAATACAGCCTACCGCCTACCGCTCCCGACCGCCAACGCCAGCTGCACGTGCCAGGCTCCCAAGCAGCCCCGTAGCCCCGTAGCCCCGTAGCCCCGTAGCCCCGTAGCCCGATTTCCCCGGTCCCCGGTTCCGCAGGTATACCGTGTGCAGCTAACTTTCAGCCCAGCGTTTGAGGTACCGGTCGGTGAGTTTCGTGGTAGGAGGTAAATCCGGCACAAGAGCCGCGCATACGCGCAAGGGCCGAGCGACTGTCGGTAGCGGAGTTCGGAGACTTTGCTGGCACTGGCAGTGACACTGGCAGTGGCAGGGCTCCGAGGCTCCGAGCTCGCCGAATTTTTGGAGGTTTTGGAGCCGCATTCCCAAAAATCTCAAAACGTTTTGCGGCTCCGCAACGTCAATGACTGCCCCGCGCCCCGAAGCCCGATCCCGATCCCGATGTCAATGGGGGTTTCTGCCTTGAATTTCTAATCTGTCGGATCGGAGATTTTAAAAACCTGGAAGTGTTTACGATAAGTACTGTACGTACTGCGATTTCGGCCTTGACTTTTTAAAGATGGCCGAACCTCCCAACCTGGACAGAACCGACGCCGACGGTTTTAACGGCCGGGGTCAAGGTGATAGTACGGATACGGACCCGAATAGAAAGCCCTAAACCCAAGCCCCAAGGCCCTGAAGTCCAGAGCCCAGCCTATCGGGTCTAGTTCAACAAGACCGAGCGGACGAAGACGGATGAGAATCATGAGATCATGAAACTTATAAAACAACGTAAGATATCATGGGAATTTCCGGAAGTCTACGATTTCGTGGGCGCCCATTTTTGTGGGTTGAGGTTTTTGGGCCTGGGCCCTGGGCTTGGGGTGCCCGGTGCAGTGCTGCGCTCCCGGCGTCCCGCGCCCGCGCTCGGCGCAGGTCCCGAATGGCGGGCGGCGGGCAGCGGGCAGCGGGGTGGGACGGTGCAGTGATCTGGTTCTACGGTTGGTGACGAGAGCGAGTGTATCACTGTCAAGAGTTAAAATCTTCCAGGGGCAAAGTTGAGAAAAACTTAAATACAAGTTGGTACATGGTACAGTGCTGATCGTCAGGAACGATTCCTGGTTTTTGGGCAGCGGTGTGCTGGTCAATGTGGTACCTTGATGGTTGCACACGGTGCTGCTGTGGTTGCAGATCTTTTTGTCTGTTTTTTTGTGTTTCTCAAGCTTGGAATTTGAGAGGGCCAATTATTCCCCTTCGCCCAAAATATTTTTGGTGTCACGCCATTCCACGAAAATCAAGCGGCTTCCAAAAAGTGGTTTCTTAGCTGAGTGTGGATTACCTTTTCCTGTGTTAAGTCCACTCCCATCTGACATCTGCCATCTCCCATCTCCCATCTCCCACTTCGGCTGGGCATGCTGTTCACGAAGTGAACTTTTTGGTGGGGTGTATGTTTGAAATTGACACTTTTTGGGGGTCACAGGCTACCGGTCCCAGTGTGACTTTGACAGCTGGTTGCGTGGACCGTAGACTGTGGAGGTGGAGGTGCTGAGAATGAGATGTGGTTGTCGTACCCCGTTTTTCGCACCAGCAAAGCCTCTGACAACGAACCACGCCGAACGGCCCAGACTGTCCTAGTGCTCACTCGGCACAGGACCCGACTGTTGGTGCACCCGTTGTACGTAAACTCCGTGACGGGCTAATTAGCTGCCTACCTAGTTACGGACTCCTCCGCACGTGTTCCGGTAGTGAACGGCCGTTGGAGCGCCGGAAGAGGTTGTTGCAGACCGGGGAACGGCCGGACGGGAGTTAAGAGACGGCAACGGCCGGAGGGGTTTCGGTTCCACTTTTTCCACGGCGAATGTCTTGTCCGCCGGCTTTTACACTTTGACAGCACGTGAAACAAGTAGATTGCATCATTGAAAAAGTTACGTCAAGCTGTTAGCATTACACGTGCTTACTTGGCTGGTTTGAAGATCTGAAGTTCAGCATAGTCCTGTGACGTTGACGGTATTGGCATACTGTACGCATAAGGCAGCATAAAGCCTGGTATAAATCCTGACACTTCTTGTTAAGAAAGGAATCTCTGAAACAGAATCCGGACATATAATTGGTGGAGCGGTTGAGAGTTGAGACGGCAAAACGGCCACGGGGTACGGTACCGGATTCTGATAGGGGGAAACCACCTTTTGCACTCTATAGAGTGACAAAGAGTCTCCACTGGAGTTTTGCAACTCATTACTGCCCTGGAAGTTGCCAATATAGAGGGTTAATCCGGGATATAGACTCAATAACATGTTGGAACCATGGTGGACTAGGAGTGTGTTTAGTGATACATGACGAGTTCAAAGCTTGACCCAGATTATACATCTCAGTGAAGAGCTCCTCCAACAATGGAACTTGCCGTTGCGACCCATACCTCAGTATCATTATGTCGTGATACCGGAACTGCAGGACCTTTGGTTGATCATATATATGAACACGAGATATCGAAGAAAACAAGGCAGTATAAGTCCAAGGAAGGGACAGTTAATCACTGTTACATAACAACCTGGAACCGCTTCACACCCACTTCATTAAAATTGAATATCACACAGATTAGCGACGGACGGCTGGAATGGTTGCCTGTATCGGTGGTTATATAAAGCTTCTTATCTCCCGCAGTCCTTTAGATAACTCACCGAACCAAGGACCTTGGGAGCAAAAACTCTAGTTCCCGTTTAAACTGCCGCATCTTGAACCGTTCGTGCCTCCACGCTGTTGAATGATTGATTAATACGTAGTTACTGCCCCCAAAGCCACGGTGATAATGTTACGGTAGTGATGAGGTGCGATGATGTCGTGATATTCACACCAAAAATCGGAATCATTCGGACCCCGGCATTCGGACCCGGAAATCTTCGGCGGCGGCGGCAGAGGAAGCAGCGACGGCCGTTCCGGCATTGCGCCATTGGAAGACAAGGGAAAAAACAGGCGCGCGTTTGTGCGGAAACCGTAGTCGCGCGAGCGCGTTTCCGTCTCTTGCAAAGAAAACCTTGGTTCGCTTTCTTTCGGCATGAACATTGACTTGTTTCGGCCTTGACAGTTGACACATTTAGCCCACATTTCGTCTTCAGAGATTTTCACTTTTTTGTGCCGTTTCGGCCCTGGCCGACAAATTGTTTTCATTCCATGCCATGACCCAAAAAGACTCCATCCACGCCGATGACGTGAGGGTGTGCGATAGGGAAAAATTGGGAGAAAAGGGATCCATGACCCTGCTGTACTGTTGCGACTTGCGAGAGGGCGTGTGTGTCACTGTCGCAATCGAATTCTGCTGCAAAATTTTGAATGTTTCGTGAGCTGGCTCAACACCACGTATCCTTGCTTCGATATGGAGCCCTTGGGGGCAAAGTGCCGGTCTACTGTGTACAACTTCCGCGCGGTTTGACGCATTTCCCCGGGGCTTGGTATTTGCCTTGGGAACGTGTGGTGTATGGAGCTGCCTGTTGGAAGAGCTCTCCTGCCGTACCCCGTACCGTAGGGCACACGCACCATGCTGGGCCGATGATGACGCTGATGAGGTTCATGAGCCGATGGGGCTTTTGTCGAAATTGCCTGCGGACATGTTTGGCCCTCACAGAGCTCCCGGGCCGCCGCCGTGATCGGACCGCTGCTGCTGATTTGTTGTACCTGCGTACACGTGCACTCTTACTCTTACTCCATCTGCAAATACTGCAATATCTCGGTACTATTTTTGTTCATTTTGACATTTGCCTAGATAAGGGGAATTGCGCACAATTTTGGGACAGTGGTGGGCTCTTCTGAGATTGGGGATCTACCCGTTTTTTTCCTTGTCAGGAGCCACTCGATCGATACGCTCGATACCGATCGATAACTGTGCAAAGGGAGGAGCTGAATCATGAATGAGGCTGATGACCATCAAAAAAAAAAGTTTTCGCATCACATTTCAGGAGAGTGCCAGCATCAACTCGAAATTTCCGTCATGGGTTAAATTTTTCAGGCGGAGTTCGGTCTTGGCCTTGGTCTGGGCTGGGCTGTCACTGCCCGGCCTCGTTCGCCTAGCAATGTCAGCCCAGCTCATCCTGAGGAAGGCTGCGGCCGGGATTGGGATATCGCGGTTCGGATTCGGTGCCGGCGGGAGTGAAAACCACGGGAAGCAGGCCGGGAAGGGGAGAGGTAGGGATAGAGCTTCCTTCTGGATTTTTCAGCAAGTGAGTCACTGTAACTCGTCCATGGGTACCCCTAAATCTTCGAAACCAGCATTGAAAATTCAGAAGGCTCACGCTTCACAGTGCACCTCTGTTAGGTACATCCCTGGCCCGTCCTGTTTTAGGGGCGGGAGATTATCGTGCCATTTCTCCCGTTTCTATCGAGCCATGTTCACATCGTGGGACGTGATACGGCAGGCCAAGGGGGTAAAGAAAGAAAAGTATCCGTAGTGGGATATTGCAAAGTTACAGTGCCGTTTGGAAGTTGCGTGGAACGAGAAAGGGCGTGTGCAGTTGAAGGTAATCTATTTGTCCATCTCTCTTCAGAAGCAGCGAAGGATCTGCGGCAAGGGACAGGAACGAGAACTCAAAACAGAAAAATCCTACGAGATTTCCACCGAACGAGCTTGCATCAAAGTCGAACCGTTCTGACCCAGGGATCGGTTTCACCAGCTCGGGGCTTCTCGGATTGGTATTCCTGGTATGTTAAGCTGCCACCACTTGGCGATAGCTGTGAGCTCGTTTCAGCCTGCGTCTTCGATCAGGCAAGGGGCAAGTGCTATCGGCATGAAGGATTTTTCTTTGGTTTGGTCGTGGTGATGCGTTGTCGTGGACCTCGGACATTTTGGTGTTTCGCTTCAGTCGAGGCAATGTTCGATTGCCAAGGAACCGATCTCCGATCCTCATCGGCAGCACTTGCAGGCGGCTCTTTGACAGCTCTTCGGCAGCTGGAGGTTGAGGCTGTCTGCCTGGGTTGTGGTCAGGGGCAGCTGGCGTGGACCGTTCTGGTTCCTGTGGGCTGGGCCGCCTCGCAGGACTCGGGCTGGGGGATCTGCCGCAGGTCCGCCCAACTGCCCTTGCACTTCGGATAGGAACCGGTTAGCGCGAGCTAACCAGCTGTCAACGGCCCCACCCAGGCCCCGACACGGACCCCACACGAGAATGGGAATTTTGGGAGTTTGAAGTGGAATTCGCCTTTTTGATCATGAAGTTCTTGCGTCATAACCACTTCATCTGTTCTAGCAACCTCCGGACATTGTGGCAGGGTCACTGTTTCATCAGTTGTCGAGATGGAAAATGTCAATGCTGGCAGCATAGACGGGGGCCAATTTCGTGACATCGATCGGCAGAGCGAACGCAAGGGACAAGGACCCCAATGTCATGGGTCAGCTTCAATTTTTTCTCTCCGACCTCATGCCCAAAGCTGAAGCCAGTCAGCTCCAGAGAGCTCGAAAAGTGCACGGTACCTCTAAGCGAACAATGCATCCACGAAGCTCATCCCTTCTCCTAAATTTTTTGCTTTGTATTTGATGTTTGCGTTGATGGGTGGTCAATGATTGCCAATGGCTGCCAACAGCCGCGAAGTGGTCGCCTTTTGCGGCTCTGTACGTACATGTCGTCTTTTGCTGGGTACCTGTTCGGCTGTTCGTGGCTCTTTCAAAGTGGACGGAGGGAGTTTGCATCCACTACAGTTCCCAGCATTCCATTCCTTCCTATGCCGCCTGCAATTGCACCGTATCTGAGAGAAAGCGAGAGCGAGAGCGCCCGTGGCGTTTGTTGTGTCTCCCTCCGAAACTCCGAGTTAACCCAAAGATTCATCCCCACCATTGTGGCATAAACACCAACATCATCATTTTTGCCCAACAACTTATGGGATGAGCATCCATCTCGATGTTGGACGGAGAGCCCCACTAACAAATGTGCTCGTTTCAACGCCGCTTTGAGGTTGGCAGTTGGGTATTTGTGAGTCCAAATCCATGTTTTACAGTTGTGTGATACCTCATTCCATTGGCAGGATGCAATAAGCGCAGGTAGCCTTGGGCGAAAATGTGTCCGCCGTTGTGTTGATCCGGATTCCGGGCGTATGTTTGTGGCCGCGCAGGGCCGCAGGGGATTGTTGGCAATGGAGAAGATGAGGAAAAAATAGGTGGTGGGTACTGGATCCGCACCTCCCGTTCCGTCTTCCGTCTGGAAAATGGAGTCTCCCGTCCGCCGGACCCCGTCTCCCGTCACCCTCCCGTCTCCCGCCAGCCTGACAAAGTCCACCGGGTGTGTGATGGTCATTGCCATTGGTCTATTTACACGCATATGCTAACCAACAAGATTGTGCACACATGATACTAGCCAGCACCACTGCTTGAAGTTTTTTCGTCACTGCATGGTCTGTATCCCTCTAGACCCTCCTAGGCTGGCCTCACGTCCAACCATCTTCAGTTGTTCTTGGGGCTCCGTACCACTCCCGGCTTGCTACTGGTTCGCCCCCGGTGCCGCACCATCTCCGGCATGCGTGTCCGCAGCCCCCGATATGCCGCTTGAAAGGAGCCTCTTTCTTCTCGTTACGGGATGAGTGTGAGCTGGCATTTTGCGGGGACGCTTCTCCCTTGACTTGACACTTGTTCCACTCCGTCCGTCCTTCACCCGTCTCCGGCCGTTGGGCGTTTGAAGTTCCAAAGAGAAGAAGGCCGTGGACAACCGAACCGGCCGGTCCACTTTGTCAAGTTTCGGAACTTGCCAGCTACGTATGTAGCTCGCTAGACCGACACCTACGGAGGGAGAGTTCAACGTCCACAGATCCTGCCGCCGCCGCCGCCACTGGGCCGGTGCCGGTGGCCGTCTGTCCGCCGGACACGACAGACGGGGTGGAGAGGTGCTGGTCTCACGATCCTGTGCCACGCGATCTAACACATCTGTTGCCAATCCCAAGGACAGCCACACACCCTGATTTCTGATTCGATCATCTTTGTGTCTCTCTGTGTCGCCCCATCCTCCCCTCGGGCATGATGGCTTTTGCTACCTGAAGCCCTTCTCTAACACGCCCCTAGGGGTTAGTTCAGAGTCACCCGAGACTGCCGAGTTGGCACCACCACCGTGCCCTCCATCACGAATTCCCGATACATAGGTAGGTTTGGAATTTACTGAGTGGTCCGTTTAGTATGGGGATAGTAAGACGAGGGGTTCTGTATGGGTGATTTCTCAGAGGCATGTACCGTTACGCGGCCATGTGGTGTACAGCAACTCAATTGCGATTTGTTTCGATACTCGCTCGTCAGTTGTCACTTTGCTCTCCGATGAGATGGGACTCTCTTTGAGCCTTACGGGCCATGCACTGTGACTATAATATTTTCTGGCCGCATAACTACCCACAGCTCCTACGTGGTCATTCTTTTCGTTTCCATTTTTGTCGTTTTCGTGATAATCCTACGGAGGAAAGTGCGAGGCGGACGAGACGAGACGAGAAAGAAAGAGGGAAAGAGCCACCGGCCGTCCGTCAGCCATTGGCTATCTAGTGGGGCCAAAATGTTGTGTTATGTACTCTACTGATGATGTACGTACCTATTCCTCTGTCTCAGTCCGGTCGGCCGGTCGCTTTCTCTGTTTTCTCTCCCCCTGTCTTTGTGTGGCTCTGTGGTTGTGGTGGTGATGGTGATGAAGGATGAGGATACACAACAGCAGTCTCAGTCTTAGCTCCTAGCCTGGCATGTTACGCAGATTTTCCCGTTGTATCCAAGACAAGCTTTTTGTATTCTGTATCCACTTGCTTCTTTGGGGATTGGCGGCAGTCTGGTCTGAGTCTCTCTGTGTTTGTCTCTCCCTGACCCAGGCAAGGTGAGGTTTGTGAAAGGAAAAGTTTTGGGCCTGGGAAAAGGGGTGCTAGACTTGGGGAGCAGAGTGAAGTGAAGAAGGTACCAATATTCCGGGGAATGGCATATTCCGAACCATCAATGACTTTACTTCCCGTCCACTTCAGAGATCCGCAAGGAACTTGTAGCGAGGTAAATCAACAGCTTGCGAGCTGCAGGAGCCGGTGTTGAGGCTCTAACCTGTCACTACGCGGCTAAGATTTCTAGATGACAATTAACAACGGACTACAAACTTGTCCTGCAAGATCCACCATGTGTTCCTAACATAAGGGGTTCCTTGCGATGTGCGAAGCAAAGCTGCACTCCTAGGATCTCACATACCACATAGCTGGTATACTAAGCTCAAGCTCCAAGGGCCGGGGCCGTCCGCGTCTGTGTTTATCCGTCCGTATCTGTGTTCAAGTGACACAGAAGGGGGAAAAGGCTCTATGTAGTCGCCCAATCTAGTCCAGTCAGGAGAAGCAGTCACAGTGAGATCCCAGCCAGTTAACCAGCTAGCTTAAAGCACTCTTGTTCACGCCTCAAACGACTCAAACGCCTCAAATCAGCCCAGATTCAGCAACTCTCTGTGTCGCTGTGTCACTATCTTGTATCCCCAATTTACCTACCTAGCAGGTAAAGTAGAACGCCAGTTCTGTGAGTTCTGTTGAGGTTTGTACAACTTGGCTGGACATAGGTGGAGGAGAGCAGAGTGGACTGGATGGATGGGAAGTTTCAGTCTCAGGCTCTGATGACCGTACTCTGTTGGTAGATATGTAGATGGTATATTTATCTGTAAAATATAGCTATGTGTTCTTATCCTTCATTGTCGAATCTTCCGTCATGTCGAATCTTCCGTCATGCCTGTCTTCACGAGGTTCATTGCTTTTGCATAGTTGGCGAGTTAAGAAGTGATGGAGAGAGTGCCGAATTGAAAAGCACGTGAACACAAGCATGGACGGCTTACTAGAGATCGTAGTATTGTGCCCCCCTCACCTTCAACTTCACTCTCTTCTTTTCCAAAATTTCCCCTACTGTGAAACTTCGCGGAAAACGGGAAGTCACGACTCAGACCCTGGGGCCACGCCCTCCCCAGACTGGTGGACGGAGGATATACAAGAAGTAGCGATGGAGAGCAAGTGGGAAAGAGCGAGCAGTCGAATTGCTTGGTCGTCCCTGCCTCTCGCTTCCTTCGGAAAGATGGTTAACAAAGATGTTAAGGTGAATAACAGGCGATTGTGAGGAAGCAGGTTAACAAACTGGAGTGACAGAGCATTGCGGCAAAAGAGTTAAGATGGTGAACACCTTTTAAAGATGCTCTGAGTTGTAAGTAAGGAGATCTGAATATTGCTTGATGATTGGGGTGTTTACCAAGGAATAGTATCGCACCACAACCGCCCTCCTCTCATCCTACCTGCTTACACGCCTCCAGGTCTTTATGGCACGTAAATATACAATTACCTCTCTTTCTGTCCCGACTCACAGTCGAGCGACGTGTCAACCGCACCGGCTCCTTTGCCTTTGCTCTCTTCTTGTAAAGTTCAAGTATCTTTATGATAGGATGTCACAATCATCCATTGACCCAACTCATCTCCCTCGCCTCGCCATCATCACCGACCGTACCTATCTTTTCACGACGGAATAAGCATCAGTGTGGAGAAGCACGACCACCCAGCCGCCCAACTGGGTCGCACCTTCCCACGAAACTCGTCCAAGTGCAAAGACCGCGCCTTCCTATTGAGAGCAAAAATAGAAAAAAAAAAAAAAAAAAAAAAGACATACAACACCAGCTTCTTCACCGGTCGTCACCGATCCGACTACTAGACTGGCGGTCACCGGCTTATCTAGGGGAGAGCGGACGAGATCCCGAGTTTTTGCCCTGGTGCCTATGGTTGTATGTGTTTTAAGTCTGATGCCTGGTGTCCGGATGTGTGAAGAGAGAGTGGTTTGGGAGGTTATATACCCGTTCACTTTGGAGGTACGCTTGATCAGAATTCCCGTCGGTCTTGCAAGTTTGTATTAGATGGTCGTGAGTTGTTGATTTCTGCCTGATTCATCATTTATGTTTCTGTCTGTCGGGAATCAATCCAAGATATTCCATGACTTGACTCGCGCTGATAAACTTCACACCTCTTGATACTGACTTAGTCTTCGTCTTTCGTTCTTCGGCCACAACGTATCTCACATGATTATTGTCGATTAACAATATCTAAACGAGACTTCCCATTATGCGTTCCACTCATACAACAACATTACATCAGACAACAACAAAACCCTTCGAATCATTAACTATGCCCAGATGCCAATCCTCATGCCAGATAGAAGCCATCCCATCTTAACCTTCGCCAGCCAGCCTAACCCTTTTCATTACCTGTAGACCTGTAGAAAATAAACAAGACGAGAAGAAAAGGACAAAGAACAAAAGTAAAAGTAAAATAAAGAGAATTAAGACATATGTTGAATAATACATGGAAAGAGAGAACAGAAAGGTGTAGTAACAACTGGTATCTCTAGCAAAATCATCGCTTTCTCTCTCCCTTCGTAGTTTTCGGCTTTGTGCGTTCTTTTGCTTTTGTCTATCAGCGTTGTCAACAAAAACATAAAGTTTTCGAAAACAATAACGATGAAATAATGATATTGGATGACGGATGATGATATGCAATGATCTCCCTCCCCCTTCCAGTCCTGTAAAAACCAGTTCCATTTCCGTTTACCTGCAATTCTTTCCTTCGTTGCTTCCCATACCCTCCCCATCCCATCCATCATCTTCCTCTTCCGTGTTTGTGTGTGTGAACAATGATGTAGTGAGGTTCCATCGGCAGATAGATTAGAAGAACCTCGAGAGAGCATTACTCAGGTTGATAAAGTCGACAGGTTTCGTCACGTAGTCGTTGAACCCTGCTTGGAGACACTTATCCTGGACGTCACTCATGACGTTCGCCGACAGGGCGATGATGGGTAACGACCTTCCTGGGAATTTGCCCTTGGCTTCCCACTCGCGGATTTCGCGGCAGGCTTGATATCCGTCCTTGCGTGGCATGTGGAGATCGCACTGTTGAGACGATGGTTAGTTACAGAGTTCACTTGCTGAACGAAAGACGGCGGGTGTAATAAGACATACCAAGATCAACGAAAAGTAATCATGAGGCCGCGAAAACACGACATCAGTGCACTCTACTCCGTCTGCGACCAACTCCACGTCCACGCCGACCTTCTTGAGATACTTTTGCAGCACCTTTTGGTTGACCAAGTTATCCTCAACCAAGAGGACTTTGTACCCCTTGTTGCCCATGCGCTTCTCCACCTCAAGGTAGCTCTGCTTCTGGTTCTCCACCAACTGCTCTGCCGTTGATCTGTTCCGGTCGATGCTGAGATCACGCTCCTTGGCCGGATCAAAGATCACCGCAAACCGTGATGGCTTGACAGGTTTGTAGATATAGGTCACCCGGTTCTCAGACAGAATGTCCTCATACTGGGTACCGGCTACCTGCTTCAGAACCGCCTGTCGCTGCACCGAGTCGGAGAGAATCAGGATGGTGACGCCGCGGCCAATCATGCTTGAGCGCTGGACTTGGCCCATCAACTCAATGATCTGCTCAGGTGTCGGAAGGTTGACCACCACGTGCGTGAAGAAGACGGGGTCCTCACCACCAATCAGCTTGCGCGCCTCCTGAACAGATGCGACCGCTGTGATCTGGTGAGGGTTGTCCTTTGGCAGCGTCATCTCGATATGCTTCGTCGTGGCCTCGCGGCTGTGCGTTTGAGGGCAGATGATCAAGATGGAGAACAGGGGTGCGTGAAACCCATCGCTATCTTCAGAACCACCGGCCTCTTTGTTGGTAGGTCTCGACAGACGCTCGTTGCTGGAATTGCTAGGCGTTGGGGTAGTGCCCGCGTCGGAGCCGCTTCCTCCTCTGCCATGAGGCATCTCAAGCTTCATCTGGGACAAATCGTGCCCACTGGCACGAGCTGCCTCGCTAAATCGTGCTAAGGACCCAACGTTAACAGACGACATGGATGAGCGCTCAGTGGCTTGGGTGCGTGACGAGTGGATAGACGGTTCCGAGCTACTGGTGGAGACTGCTGTCGGCGATCTAGTGTCAGACTCGACAGGCACCACTGAGCCTGATGAGGGTGCGGAAGTGAGAGATGGCCTACTGTGAGGGAATACCATGGAGGACCGACGGCGAATGTTCATTTCCGGTATGAGGCCTGGCGTAGGCGCAGGTGCTGCAGCCAGGTCAGGGTTGTCGGATTCTGTCGGAAGCCCAAACCTTGCGGTAAAGGTGAAGGTTGATCCCTTTCCTAGCACCGCCGTGCCGTCCATCTTGCCGCCGTGTAGCTCGACCAGTTGGCGCGAAATGACCAAGCCTAGGCCACTTCCACCGTGTTGGCGGGTACTGCTTCCATCAATCTGGCTGAAAGGTTTGAAGATCAACTCGGCTTCCTCCTCGGTGAAGCCTCTTCCAGTGTCAATGATGGAGAACTCAAGCATAATCTCGTTCTCGTGCAAAGGGCCATCGTCAGGAACAACAACCTTGCACCGGCTGAATACCTCTCCTTCATTAGTGAACTTGATGGCATTGCCGATGACGTTGAGCAAGACCTGGCGGATCCGGACCTTATCACCCTTGACCCATGCAGGCACGTCTTCTTCGACAACATAGTTGAGCTCGAGACGTTTGGCGATCGCCATGGTGGAGACCAGCTCGTTGACATCCTCAATGAGAGAGCGCGTGTGAAACCATTCGTAGTTCAACTTCATCATGCCTGCATCAACCTTGGAAAGATCCAGGATATCGTTGATGATCATGATCAAACTGTTGGCGCTGGTCTGAATGGTATTTGTGTAATCACGTTGCTCCTCGTTGAGTGTGGTATCCTGAAGGAAACTGACCATACCAGAAATGCCGATAAGAGGTGTTCGGATCTCATGCGACATGTTGCTAAGGAAACGGCTCTTCGACTCCATAGCCTCCTTTAACTTGGTCTCCAGAAGCTTCAAATCGTTGATATCAGTGGCAGAGCCGAAATAAGAGCTGGCGCCATTACCAAAGTCGACATTGTCAATCTCAACGCATCGAATGAGATGCCAGCGGTACTCGCCGCTCTTGGAACGAAGTCGAATCTCTGTTGTGTATGAGAGCTGGCCCTTGCTGTCGGTGCTGATTTTGATGACTCCCTGCCTGGCAAGCTCGGACAGATTAGGACCCGCGAGATCGTTAGCAGAACTGCTGGCGCTACTGCTGTGTCTGGTGAGAGCTGGGTGTACTAGCCCCGGAACATTTTCAACGTTGGGGGTAGCAGGCTGTTTGCCCATAGCGGCCATGCCAAACTTGCTGGGCGAAGGCGAATGGTCATGCCTCGTCTTGTCCTGCCTGACATGCGGTGAAGTAGGTCGTTCGGGGGGAATCCGGCATTTAGCCAGATCCTCTGGGTGCACGAAATCCATGAAGCCAAGTCCGAGAACATCATCAAAGCTTTGTCCGGTATAAGAAAGCCATTGCTCGTTCGCGAAAGTGATACCCTCGTCTTCAGTTGCAGTGAAGATGATCTGGGGGATTAAGTTAGCAAGCAAACGATGTTTTGCCTCCGATACCTCGATCTCTTCCTGCCGTGCTGCTCTGAGCTCTGCGACATGCTGATCATGGATATCCATATATGAACCCAGGAACTGCAAGATAACACCCCTCTTGTCCTTGGAGGCGACAGCCCGCGCGTAGAAATACCGATAAGCCCCGTCGAAGCGACGAATTCTGACGGTAGTTGAGAATTGATCGCCAGTGCGGACAGAGGCACTCCATTTTTTAAGATAGTCTTCTCTGTCATCAGGATGGATGCTTCCCCAAGGGTCTGCGGCCAGATCACCAGAGGTTTGCCCGCGGTACGTCAAGAACCGACTGTTCACCCAGACGATTTCACCCGTTTGCGGAAGGGCCACGAAGACATGAGCGGGCAGAGAGTCGAGGATAAGGCCTTTGAGCTTGTCCGATGGTGGTGTCATTTCCGTCGATGATATCGATCCTTGCCTAGATGCCGTTGCGCCCTGGGATATACCTTTGCCGACGGTGGAGCTCGGAGGAAGCGACTGGAAGGTGGTGGCAAAGTCGGCGCCATATGAGTGCAACTGCGTGTGCCGATGCTGACCTGTAGGAGTACCAGCAGGCTTTCTCCGTTGGGACTCGGCCGACTGACTGCTTGCGATGCTGCCTCTTTCTTCCCGCTGCTCTTTGAGGACGGTAGTCTTCTGCTGTGAGCTTGCCGGCGAAGATTCATCAATGCTCCGGCGGCTGCTTTCTCCGCTTCCTTGAGACTCCTGCGACACAGGAGCGACGCCAGCTGCATCCTGCCAATGAGACTTCCCACCAGGTATCTTCAAGGAGCCCTTCCTTTCGAGGGTATTACTTTCTCTCGATGCTGTCTTGGTTCGTTGTCCAACACCGGTAACTCCAGACTTTGGCTTGGTGGTAAAGTAACTGTCACCGGCGGCGATAGGAGCTGGGCTGGCAGAGGAAGACCTTTTGCCCATCAAATGACTCAATGCCGAGGAATCCCAAGTAGGCGTCCCATTCGGAGAGTGTATGGTACTGCGGGAGGGACCAGAGTAGTCGCTAGGACTGGTTATGCTGCCAGCGGGCGACTGCTGAGAGATGCTATCGTCGGTTGGGAGGTATCCCATTGTAAGAGCGGTAGGATCAGCCAGCGGACGTCCGTCAGGACCCAGCGCACCGAAGCCAACCGTCTGCGGCCTTCGCTTCTGTAGACCGTTCAGCTCCGTTTCGAGGTTAGTATAGTGCCGACACAGAGAGAAGGATGTGGCCAGATGTGGTGCCAAGTGCTCCAACGAGTGGCGTAGATTGGAGGGATACGGGATAATAGGGCTGAGTATAGACAAGATCGCAATCGGGGCGTGCTTTTCCTTGGCGGGAGGTTCTTGGTAGGGCGTAGGAATTGTCGGCGTGTGTCCTGACTTGCCCCGTTGTGACATCTTTTGCTCCAAAAACGCCGAATCCAGTTTGAAGCCTGGCTGCTGAGGTTTCGACAGTAGGACATGGCTTAGAGGGATATGCAACACCGTCCACGAGTTGTCAACCCCAATAGCCTCAGGTGGTTGCAGAGCTGAGTAGTCAGGAGGAGCCGAACCTGGATTGAATGACTCCTCATCGACCATGGCATCCGTGAAGAAAGGATTTTCGCTAGGGTCAGCTCTCACAGCGGGGGAAGGGGCTGGGGATTGAGACCACGGAGATGGCGGTGCCTGCTCGTACTCCTCATACTTGGGTGTCGGGGGTCTTGGGTGTTCGTCATCTAAGCGAGAGGCGATCCCGGTAGCTTTCTTCTCCAAGCCTTGCCCGCCCGAGGTCCTACCTGCGGCGGTTGACAAAGTCGCACTGCCCAGAAGCGCAGAGAGTTTGGTAGTTGACTCGGATCGCGTGCGAATTTTCTTGATTTTTTTCCGTGGCCCCTCTGGCGACTGGCTGCGCGTCGCTACTTTGGGATCAGCGGCTTTGCTGTCGATTGACGATGTTTGTGCAAGATACGGGTATGACCTAGTAAGAGCAACAACACGACCACGTTCCAAAACCCGCAATACCCCATTGTGGTCGATTAATGGATCGGCCTCGTAATCCAATGCCTGGAGAACATTCAAGAGCTTCCCGTGCCCTTCTCTCCTGTTGGTGATTGGTGCTTCCCAGCTTGGAATGGGGGGCTGCTGGCCCTCAAGGGCGTCATGCTCTGCCAAAGCTTCACGATTCAAGCTCACGGCAACATCCTCATCCTCAATCACATCTCGATCGCGTCCAACACCTGGGTGAGTAGTCTTGCTTCGCGATGCCATTGGTGGCCGAAGGGGTGTCGCTGGCGTTCGTTCAACCGACTCCTTCTTGTCCTTGTTGTCTTCAAATGAAGAGAACGAGTGTCGGCTCGGCAGGCCAGGGCGCGCTAAGCCCCTGGGCTTGAGAGATTCATCGTTGTTCTGATAGAGGTCGGTGATATCGTCGGTACTGCTGTGGACAAAGCTCGAGCCTCTAGCAAGATAGCCTAGGCTGAGGCCATCCTCCTGGTGGGCGTTGTAGGTTGCCTTTTGCCCCCATGGCACGTTCTCAATATCCGTCGAATCGGCAGGCACAGCCAGGGTTACCCTTTCAGCCCTGTACACTTCGGTCATAATCTGAACAACTGTGTGCCACCATGCATCCAAGCCCGGCTCGGCCGAAAGCATGAGTGTCAAGTCGTATAGATTGGGCGTCGAAAATTCACCATGCTCAGTAGCGGAGCACCCTGGAGGCAGAAAGGTCATTGCTGAGGCAGGAGTAGAGGGGTTGGAGACAGAATGGTCAAGACCCTGGATGCCGGCAAACGAGACCTGAGCCCCCGTAGACAGAAAAGTAGTTGGTGAGAGCGTGGTAAACGGGCGGTGTAATGGCGGGCCAATGTACGGAAAGCCGGGCGAGGATGCCATGCGCGGGAAGGGGTACGAAGGAGTTCTGGCCGTCAAGCCGGGGGTGACACCGCCGCGGATGGTGTTCCCAGACTCGGTCGATGTCGTGGTTGGCTCGCTGTCGCTCTGGGGGAGCTGTGGCGAAGGACTGCTGGCCTCCTCCTGAATAGGAGACACGCGTGCCGGGCCCGGGATGGGCAGCCGGTTCTCCGTTGCCGCACCAATCTCTCTTTTTTCCATCTCGCGGGCCAAGTGCAAACGGTATTGACTTAGCTGCCGTTGTGCCTCGGACGGATCCATCTTACTCTGCTGCAAATTCCCCACTGTCCTCTTTCCATTCTCTGCCTGCAAGTTCCTCTCTTCAGTTGTCGGTTCGCTGGAAGGGCTATCGTTGAAGCTGACCTCGGAAGAAAGCCTGGAGGGCTTGCGCACCGAGTCCCGAGACCGGATATCATCCACGACGGGTGCAAGGGCGTGCCGATCGGGAGCTCGTGAATGCGGCGTCGGAAGTTGAAGCGACCCTAGCCCTCCTCTCCCGTCGACGCCACCAGTCATTTGGTGCTGCTGTTCAAGCTGTTCAGTCGGCGCAGAAGCCTCTGGAGGATTCAGGGCATAATCATCGGTAGGACCGATTTGGGTTCGCGGAGTGGTGCACTGGTCGGAACAGTGACTGTCTGGTGAATCGATGGCAGTTCTGTGAGGAGTCGTCGTGCGTGGGGGCGTGGCTGGCGTCGTGGTCGTCGTGGTAGGTGTCGTGGTCGTCGTGGTAGGTGTCGTGGCCGCGGTAGTAGCTGTTATTGTTATTGTGGGAGTGAGAGCGGGAGTCGTAGTGGTAGTGGACTCGGTTGTTCCTGGTCTTTCGGTGGAGCGAGGGCGCAGAAGAGGCAAGGAAAGGCTCTTTCTTTTCTCTTTCTCTTTACTGTGGCTTCGGCGATGAAGGCTGAAAAATCGCATTCCTCATGTGCAGTATCTCTCCCAAGTCCAGATTAAAGAAGTGTCGAATTATCAATTGTTGAGTAGTGTCGTGGTGCTCGGCAACACGGATGGGATTATGGCGCGTGCGCTATGTTGTTGGGGTCAATAGGGGCGAGCTTTGTGAAAGGTTCGTCGAGGGTTTTGGCGTAGCGGGTTGAGGTGCTTGGTTGGAGGCTGGACAGGCAAAAAGCACTCGTAGACCGTAGCAGGACAAGGCGTGGTGGACAGGGTTTCGTTCGGACGGGGCCTGGATCGAGACCACGCTGTAGTGTAGTGTGAAGAATAACTAGTGTAGACTTTGTTGTCTTTAGGTGTATACAAGTAGACGATCTGGATTTTGTTGACTGCGAGTGTCTGTCTCTCTGCGGTGCTGCTGGTGTGCGGGTGCGTGCCGGTGCGTGTTCGGTAGTAGGACGGTCTGTCTGCGTGGATCCCTGGCGAGGTTTGGAAGGTTCAGTTTGGAGTTTGGAGGCGAGGTGTACGGCGGTAGACGGGAGGAAGATGGATGTTCGGCGGATGAATCGACGGGATGTGGATGTTAGGCCGGTGCAGCAGCCGGACGGCCAAGTTGGAATGTCTCGACAACGAAACAATGGAGACCTGGACTCCCGAGAAGCAGAGACTTGAACTTGGCTCCAGGCGGACGGTGCACTAGAGCAGGTCAGGGCAAGGTCGGGCGTGTTAGGGCGGCACCGGGCTTGGTTCGTCGACGTGGGTGGCCCGGTGGCAGGCTCTGGAGGCTCACTAACAACGGAATCAATCTGCCAGTCAGGTGCAGCTGCTCACCACTTGACAGTCGAGAGAAGGCACAAAGGCAAACTCCATCGTCCTGCTCTGCTCTGGCGGTGGATGGCAGCGATGCCACTGGATGGACCTTGCTACCTTGCAACGGGCACCCGTGGATGGAACCTGGGATGGAGCGAAAGTTGGCAGGGCCCCAGTTCGCCAAAGGGGACTATGACGTGATGGCCCGTACCTAGGGCGGCGAAGAGAGGCTGCGAGCGCGCGGGCACGGAGCTACGGCAAGGGACTTGTCCCTTTTGGGCTTAGGTCAGCACAGCATGTTTGACGCCCACCTGCCAGACCAATTGTCGTGGACTACCCGGCTTCCTCTTTCTGGCTGGTCCAAGCGCCCGATGTTGATACTTGGGTACTTTCTGTATTTCACTACCTGTGTCTGATAAACCACACGGCAAGGTATTCCAGATTTCATGATGTGAGAACAAACACAGAATGGTACAGCAGTGTTTGAAGAAGAGCAAAAGTACAAGTTGGAGGTAATCACCAGTTGGTAAATTTTGACATGCACCTCCAGCGTAGTATACATGCACAAGGTCGAGCTAAAATGATCGGAATGAAGATCAAGAGGAGAAAATGGCATTTTGTCCCAAAGAACACCATTGCTGCAGCTTCTGTTATTTCACCAACGTGACAGCTGATACCTGACGAGTGGGTAGAAAGTGGGCAGCTCGGGGTGGATTCCGCCGGCGATGACTCCTCCCTTCCGAGGTATGTATTGTGGTATTGTACATGGTGGTAAAGTTCCAACGTCTTCCAATCCGTCTTCTTCATGTCACGTTGTCCCGCGATGAGCGTCGGATCGCGGATGTGATGGACAAACACTGAAACACTACGATATGCCAAGATGCTGCAACCAAGAGCGACCGCATTGTCTTGGCCGACAGCAGGAGTGTTGATTCCCGTCATTCCCGTTGTTGTCGTTGCGTTGTACATACGCAAATGCAAATCTAGCAAATCTTCAACACAAACCCCGACGACATTTCTTCAACCCGGCGATGATCTTGTACGGTCGGAAAAGGTAAAGTAACGGGTTAGTAGCCTAACAGATCCAATATGCCATTTCGACCCATATCAGGCTTGGCAGACCTCAATATTGTTACTGCACTATCAAAAAACATTCTTCGACCGGAGGCACGGGTAATCGGATGACAAGCTGTCACTAGCAGCAGACTCCATTTCAGCTCAAGCCCCATCTTCTATTGACGCCGCATGTCAAGGCCGCCATGCCATTCCTTTTCGAGCACAAGGAAACACCAAAAGGAGATAACGACGCAAGGATCATTGCACACTATTGGCATGTTGTTCAAAGTCAAGTTAGTGCTGTATGGGCCCATTGGCCTCATTGGGTTGTCCTGGGTGGTTTTGCAACACCATTGATTCTTTGGCTTCGATCGACTCTCGGGATCTGTCTTGGTGGAGACTTTTGGACCTGGAAAGGCTTCGTTGGAGTCGTTGGTGTGCACAGGAATCGGACGAGTGCAACCTCTGTCTCCTGTCACGCAATTTATGCTGCCTTCTGGAAAGTGGACAGATGCAATCCGGAATCCAGCATCCGAAGCGACTTTTACAACGAAAAGGGGCGCGTCTTGCGTTCCTTGAATCGCTTCAGTTGATTGACATCAACGACAATCTCTTTTTCGAGGTGCAGCGTCCATCATCCCACGACCCATCTTCGTATTTGCCAGCGGTGAGAGAAAGGTCGGGCTTGGAAGGCACGGGAGAAGCCAGGCAAAACATCCGATGGTCCCCCATTCGACACGTTTGCGAAATCAACGGGAACTTCCATTGCATCATGATGTTTGCACGCTGGACTGACTGGGTGCGTGGCTTGGAGAGCCGGTAGAGACGGAGCTCCAGCTCGAGTTGAACAGACAGAGTCAGAAACAGAGGCAGAGGCAGCGCCGTTGGGCTATTTTCCGCTGACCGCACCGCTTGACTCGCGCGAGTCTTGGAACGAGGGCATGGGATCGGATTTTCAACACCAAGGACAATCCCATTCAACCATGCTCCGATTCTAACTAAGCTCCAGGTACAAGTCTGTTCATTGTCCGGGACCAAATAGCGTAGAGAGTAGGTACTGCCGCTTACCAATACAATTCCCGGAGTCGAATAAATCATTGGGCACAGCAACCGAAGAGAATCACGAATCTCGCATTTTGTGTGAAATAAACCGAGTGCAATCGTGAGTTGAGGGCTGTCGGTTAATGAATTGCGCCCATGCAGCGGCTGAGGCATTACGTCAGAGGCGTCAGAGGTAAGTCTTGGCAAAATGGCCGTTGACCAGTGAGCGGAGATCTTCAGAAGCTCGGCCGAAGGTACGTACCTCAAGTAGTGCCGGCATCTTTGATTGGTCATTGGTCAACGCGTCGCGGGTGCCCCAGATTCGACCGCAAGCTGGAACGGGCCGGCACGGGGCCGGTACCAAGACGGCTCACGGCGCAACATTTCATCGCATTTCATGATCCTACAACGTCAAGCTTCTGTCGGGCGCATCACGCCAAGCCCGCGGACAACCTTAGGGTCGGGTTTTACGGCATTCCTTCATGGAGTATAACTCGGTGCAACAACCGTCTCGGAGTCGGCCTTTCTGCCCGAGGACGCTAGATCGCATTTGACTTTCTCTCCCCGGTCTCCAGTACACTACAATGTGATAACTGGTTCGCTGGAGGCCAGGGCGGTTGCCTGTATCACAACATCACGAACATACGACTCATGCCATATGGTGTCTGTCTCGTTGTTGACCTCGCAGATTGGACGGCGGGACCGAGAGGGAAAAATGGACCCATAAAAGCCGTGGATCCTGTTCCGTCGTCTGGACTCGGGAATGGTCGGGAGAGCCCGTGCCCGGAATCCGGACCGGAACGGACAATTAGGCCTCCCTTGCCGTTTCCCACGTGGGATTCCCATTTCGGCAAAGTATCCCGTGCTCCTGCACCACCGACGACAACCGATATGGAAAATCTGAGCCTTGCACGCCTACTCTCTGAGGTTCTTGATCACTTCAACAGTCTGGTCAACCCCCGGGCACAAGCATGTGAAAGTCCCAAGGCAGAACCCTATATCGCCTCAAAACAATTCAGTGGCTCTCCCGGGTACCGGGCACATCGTGTAGTATACTTGATATGCATGCCCTTTGATTGTCGTGATTCGTATGCTTCAAGTTAGAGTTGGCCTTCGCTTTAAGTTGTAGTGATATCGAAGCTGTAGTTACAAGACGAGATGTCGGTACCCAGTACGTACCTCTTGACCATCTGCGGCATCGGCTGCTCTCATTGGTCAGGCCCTCACGACCTGCTGGATTCGAGGATTCACGATCCCCGGGACGCCCCACTCTTCCTGCGAGGCTGCCTACGAGTTCGCGCATTTGGGGAACAGCCTTGCAGTCCAGTAAACATTCCCGGCTTCCAACACACACCACGAACCTTTGTTCAGCTTGCGCATTCACCACGTCGCGCATTTCCTTTTCTTCAGTCTTTTTCCCCGGTACCTTCTCAGCGCGATAACCAGTATCCAGCCTCCAAACCAACACATCTTAGGGAGTTGTCTACACGACTTAAGGACCCCGATTATCGAACTTCCGAACCTTCTTCCACTCGTTCGAATCGAGCCTCGATCTTCTACCATTAAGAGAGCCGACTACTACCCGTCAAACTATCTCGACAAACATACGCAAACATGGCTGACTCGGACGGCGAGTACGCCTCCGACGATGAGCTTAAGAGGAACGGAAAGAGGACAGCGGATGGGCGCAGCAAGCAAACCAAGGCGTCCTGGGAAGATGTAAAGCGCTCCTGGGATACCGTCCTCGAAACAGCAGACAGCGGTCTCTCCATCGCGGAAATCCGGGAAGCTGAGAAGCGGCGTCGCCTTCTGCGCGACACGACACCTCTCCAACGCGGCATCATCCGCCACTTGATGCTTGTGCTCGACATGAGTTTCGCCATGGCCGACAAAGATCTGCTACCAAACCGCTATCGGGTCGTCCTCAACAACGCCATCGGCTTTGTACGCGAATACTTCGAACAGAATCCGATCAGTCAGCTGGGCATCGTGGGGATGCGCGATGGAATTGCCGTGCGCATTAGCGACCTGAGCGGGAACCCGGCCGAGCACATTGAGAAGCTGATGCAATGGAGCGAGCAACAAGACCCCCAGGGAAACCCAAGTTTACAAAATGCACTTCAAATGTGCCGAGGTGCTTTATAGTCAGTGTCACGGTCCCAAACAGTCCACGACGAAGGTCATTCGCTAACCACTTCTTGTCTTTCCCCCGTACAGTCAAACCCCATCACACGCCACCCGCGAAGTACTGATAATCTACGGTGCCCTCGCCTCAATCGACCCCGGCGACATACACGACACCATCAAAGACCTCGTAGCCGACCGGATCCGCGTCTCCGTCGTCGGCCTCGCCGGCCAAGTCGCCATCTGCGCCGAGCTCTGCAAGCGGACGAACAACCACGACGGTAACTACAGCGTCGCCATAGACGAGGTGCACCTGAAGGAGCTCTTCTTCGCCGCCACCACTCCGCCCGTCACCCGCACGCCCGAGCAAAATACCGCCAGCCTGCTCATGATGGGCTTCCCCAGCCGCACCCTCGCCCCCAAAGACCATGTCAGCTTCTGCGCCTGCCACGCGAAGCCCACGCGGGAAGGCTACACCTGTCCGCGCTGCGGAATCAAAGTGTGCCGGCTGCCGATCGACTGTCCGATCTGCAAGCTGACGCTCATCCAGAGCACGCACCTGGCGAGGTCGTATCACCATCTGTTCCCGCTTAAGGTGTTTGTGGAGGTCCCGTGGTCACAAGCGAGCCGGTCGACAGCGTGCTACTCGTGCCTGACACCGTTCCCTGCTGGGCCGAGGGACACGGTGGCGGCAGCGCCAGCGGTTTTGGGAGGGAGAGCAGGAGCTAAAGGTGGTGGGAAACAACAGGACGGCGACCAGAAAAATCCAAAACCGGAACTCAAGGGCGTCAGCGAAAGCGGGCGGTATGCGTGCCAGGTTTGCGGGAACCACTTTTGCATAGACTGTGATGTTTTCGCCCATGAGACGATCCATAATTGTCCTGGGTGTCAGAGCGATACGAGGGAGCCGGAGAAGGACACAGCAGTAGCAGTACCAGACGGCGGTGTCACGCCTATGGTGGTGGATTCATAGAGTGAGGAGGATAAAATATGGCGGCAGACGGAGGACAGCAACTAGCCACTTTGCTTGAACGTCTCAGATTCTATGGGCGGACCTGAATCGAACGCTCTGGCTCAGAGCGATGGTATTAGGAACCGCGACTGAAAACAGTATGATGAGCCGGAAAAGAGCAGTATCAGGCGGTATGGCGAACCTATCCGTCACATGAAGGGGTTGGTGCTGCAAAGCACAGGGAAATGTACACGGTATCACGATCAAGATACCCAGACGAATTGGCTGAAAAGAAAGTCAAAAAGTGGAACTCCAAAAAACCAATGCTGTAGGGTACACCAGCCAAAATGACTAGAGACGGCGGGCTTTAGCTTCTTCATGCTCTTTACCAACAAGGCAGTGCAAAGGGACACTAGCAAAAGGGCCTAAAGAAATGGCAGGGCACAACGGATGTGAAGTGGTCCTATAAATTCAAGAAGACGCTCCATGGGGTGTGGCGCATTTGTGGATGAGATGGGAGACGGAAATGGTGGTGGAAGAATGATCAAGACGAATATTTGCGTAGAGTCCCCTCGTGTCGAGGGGAAAGAGAGGGACGGGCACGCAATGAATTATATAGTGGAATAATAAGACAATTGATAATATACCATTATAAGTTGATCTCAAGATCATTCAGCGTTATCATTTGGCGTATCAGGAAAGCCGATATTCATCTGTCTACACAGTTCCGGTGATGTTCGGACAGATGAAGAGTCTGCCCTTGAACAGATCGAACAAATTATGCGCAAGGAGGTAAGACTGCGTGGTGAAGAGAGAAGTGAAGAGAGAGATGAAGAGCAGAATGCGAAAGGAACTTATTGGGTGACCATGACTGGCGATTTATAAACAGGTCAACAGAATTCTTCAACCCCTCGATTCCATTCGAAGCTGATACACCACCGTGATTGCGCTCATTTTATCTTCATATTATCAGATTATAGAGTGATCAAGTAAGCGTGTGTCCAGAATCATCATATGATTTGCATAACTATGCCAATAGCTACTTCAATGCTCCGCTTCTTGGTTTGATGTCATATCCAAACCACAAACAAGTACGCCTACAAAATGCCATGCTAGAAACCCTTTCCAGCTTCCCTGCTGGCCAACCCCCAAGCTTTTGTGCCGATAAATATCATACAAATAAAAGAAGAATTCAGTCTCATCACTCATGACGCTGCCGACGTTTTACAAGTTGCCGCGCTCAGCCTGCTCTCTCTCAATCGCCTCAAACAGACTCTTGAAGTTACCAGCACCGAAGCCCTCAAAGTTGTTCCTCTGGATGATCTCGATGAAAACAGTCGGGCGATCCATCAGCGGCTTGGTGAACAGCTGCAGCAGATAACCGCCCTCGTCGTAATCGATCAAGATGTTGAGCTTCTGGATGGTATCCAAATCCTCCTTGAGCTCCCACCCGCGCTTCTCCGTCTTGAGGCGCTGGCGGATGGTGTCGTAGTAGGTGGAGGGGACGTTGATGAACTCGACGCCGCGGGCGCGCATGGCCCTGACGGTGGTAATGATGTCGGGCGTGAGCAGGGCAATGTGCTGGACGCCGGCGCCCGAGTTGAAGACGACGTACTCCTCGATCTGCGACTTCTTCTTGCCGGGGGCCGGCTCGTTGATGGGCATCTTCACGAGGTTGTTCTCGGACGCCATGACGATCGAGTTCAGAGCAGAGAACTCGGTGCAGATCTGCGAGTCGTCTACCGACCAGAAGCGGTGGAAGGAGAGACACTGCTCGTAGAAGGCGCAGGCAGACACCATCTCGTTCCAGTCCTGGTTGCCAACGCAGTGGTCGATGCGGGCCAGGGGAACGTTGGGGAGCTGGACCGTGGCGGAGGAGGGGGCAGTGGCACGGAAGCCGGGCAGGAAGGGACCGTTGTAGTCCGCCCGCGAGATGAGGGTGTGGGTGGTGTCGCCGTAGGTGCGGATGACGGCGGTGCGGACGCTGCCGTGCATCTTGTCGGTGAGGGTGGTGGGCTCCTGGACAACGTCGGCGCCAGCGGCGACGGCCTTGTGGAATACGCCATCAACGTTGTCGACCTCGAAGGCTACGTCCTTGACGGCGTCGCCGTGCTTCTCGAGGTGCTCGTGGCACTCCTGGAGGAGCTTGCGGTCCGCGTCCGAGATAGACTCCTCCTCGGGGAGGTACTTCTGGGAGCGAATAGGGGAGGTGAAGACGAAGCGGACATCGGCGTTGCCAACGACGTATGAAGCAAAGTACCGGCTGCCGGTCTCAAGGCCGCGATATGCGAGGGTCTTGAAGCCGAAGACAGTGTTGTAGTAGGAGGCAGCCTGCTTGGCGTTGCCAACCCACCATGTTACGTGGTCATAGCCATTGAAGTTTGAAACCTCGGAGGACTGGAGAGCGTAATCCGGAGTCCCGTTGGAGTAGTTGTTGTACTCAGAGGAGATGGCTGATGGGGACATGCTCACGGGGTGATGTATAAGCTATGCTGGGTCGAAGAGAGAGTATATGGTTGGCCGGAGGGATGTATCAAAGACAGATGAGTATAGCTGGATGACTACGGAACATCCATCTGAAAGGGAAGGGAGCTGAGACTTATAAGCCATGGCAGGTGGAGGGGAGGGACGAGTTGAGATGAAGATTCGGCTTAACAAAGCAGGTGTACATATTCCTGCGTTCCGTTCCTGTCGACATCGGACCTATCATGATTAGCAGAGATCAACGGACGTCACAGCCCCCCCTCTCGATCAGTTCCCGTAGGTAGGCCCCTTTGCGGCCCCTGCACCCCCTTCAACTGGCCCCGTGAGGTTGGCAGGCCGGGGGCATGGTCCGCCTCAGTGGTATGTAGGCAGGTTGCTGCGGGTAACGGCGCACGGGGGAGGCAAACCGGCGAGTGTCCGCACATCGTTCATAGTGTGCGGTGACAAGCGCCGAGCTGGTGCTGTATCAACCCATGACTTACCATGAACCATGGTCATTACCCTTCCTCTGAGTGGTTCCTGGGTCTTCATTGTCCAACACTATTGATGAAAGAAGCCGGGTAACAGTAGGGCGGCCAAGAGAATTGACAGGTTCTGGCGGATGACGGCGGGAACCTGAATGCGAAGATTCTCCTTTCTCGATGTCAGGGTGGTAAGCCGAGCTGCCAATTCGGGTGTAAGTGAAGCGGCCATGTCCAACCGCAGCCGCCCGCGGGAACATTGGCAGAGGCGGAATCAGACCGATGGTACGTCGATCCCTGGAAAAGCCGCCCAAAGCCGACGGTTGCCGTGGGGCCGCGTTGCTGTGGTCGACCAAAAGCCAATTCCGTCTTGTTTTCCTTCCGTCTTGTTTTCCTTCCGCCTTGCGTCTGCTACTCCAACCCTCTCCAACCCCTTTGTCTGTCCAAACAATGCATCTGTTGCATGCGCCACGCTGCGAACCCCAGCAGATGGGCCGAAAACTTGTGGAAAGGTCCATCATGGAAATCCCAGGAAAGGTATAATCCCCGTGACGCTCTGTGTCCCGAGCCACAGTGCACAAGAACCTTGTGCGTTCCGCACTCCAGTGGCCGTAGATAGGTAGGTTGGCCTTTCGCAAAGCCGATGCCATGAATTGGGGAATTTGATGATTGGTCTTAAGATCCGACGTGACCCTTGCATTCTAGACATCTTATCGTCGTCATCTCGACATTCTTCTTTTTCCTTCTCAGACACAAAAAGTGTATAGCCTCTTGCTTATCGATCTTGGGTCTGCTCATTGACATTATTTCGAGCGTTTTCTTGCCCAGCTACCATCAAAAGTTCCTGGACTTTAACTGTCAACATCAACCGTTCGTTGTAAACGCAAGCCCAGCTATAGACGATAGACGATATATCAACACACCACAGCAAACCATCGCCATGGCTTACGTCTCATTAAGCACACGAGACCTCAACGTCCTCGAGAAGATCCAGGACCCAGAGTACGACCCCGCCCGGATAGTGCAAGTCGACACGAGCCTGCCAAAAGACCCCAACTTCAAAGATCAGGCCGTATATGAGAAGGTCGCCCAACTAGAGCGCGAGATCATCCTCTCCATCCAACAACTCGAGCTTGCAAATGCCAAGCCGGCGGCACACGGAGTGACCGATGTGGAGGGGACCATTCAAGGCTATCGCAACTGCGTCACCCAGCTTGGGAGCCTTATCCAAGAATACCCAGAGTACGCGAGTGCCCGCAACAACAGGGCGCAAGCGATTAGGCGGCTAGTTGGCGATTCGATGTTGATCTCGGGCTCCCAGCAGCTTCCACAAGCACTGATTTGGGAGATCGACGACACCGAGCGACTGCAGATGGCCGAGACTGCTCTATCAGACCTTGATCGCGCCATCTCCCTCCTGACCCCTACCACGCCCCAGACCAGAGTGTCCCAGAACGTGGCTAGGACGCTTTCCAATGCACACACCCAAAGAGCCGCCATCTACCACATGACGTCCAAGTTGATGGAGTCCAGCACCCTTGCTGTACCACAGGGTCGACGAGAAGGAAGCTGGAGCAAGCTTGATTTCGAGGAGAATGCGTCGAGGGACTTTGCCATGGGTGGTAGATATGGCAACGAGATTGCGAAAGCACTCGCTGTGAGCACGAACCCAACAGCCAAGCTGTGTGGACAGATGGTTCGGGAGGCGCTGAAGAAGGAGTACGGGCCGGCGTATTCGGCATGAGGATCAAGGGACTGGCCATGCTGTACAAGTAGAGAGAGTTGTTTCTGTATGATAATAGTAATGAGGAATGTTACAGAATTGAAGGCTCGACCATGGCTGTCATCATCTGTCTGTCTGTGGCAAGTGACTGCGTCATGTTGACCTGATCAGGATAGCTCACGAGCTCTTGGCAGTCGACGCAAGACCAAGGCGCCTATGATTGTTTTAGCATGGGCTGTAAGTCCCTTTGACGGAAAGTGAAGCATACCGGCGAGCAATCTGAAAGATCTCCTGGGTGGTGCGGCCCTTCTCCTTCTCCTCACGGTTGATTCTCAGAGCCGCAGCGGAAACGCCGATGAAGACGGCAAAGATGGGGTCCGCAACCCGGGAGATGATGTATACTGGGGCAGCCATTGTGTGTCGAGTACAGGAAATGGTTGGGTATGTTTGAGTGGTAGTAGTAGATCGAGTGTAGCGGGTTGATTTTGCTCAAAAAATGAAGTTGTCGTGAACTTGGTGGATGATTGGTGAAAACCGGTAATCACTTGAAGAGAGTGCAACTTTGGGCATTGGACTTCTCTTCACATTCACTTGCGCATTTCAAAGTTCCCTTGGCTTCCCCAGCGGCAGGCCCCGTTCATGCCCCGCAGTTCACACTTGCAAGTCTTGGCAAGGACAGCTCCCAAGTCTCAGGTTCTATGGAAGACGCACAGGCCAAGGCTTAGTCATCAAGGTGCGCTGCTGTGCCCGCTCGAATTTTGAAAGCCCACAAACTGGAAATTATTTCGGGAAAGACTTCAACACGGTCGTCAGCTACTTGTCTCTGAGCCTTACAACCGACTTCAGGCAAGGCCCCGCTGGATCACTGAGTACGTCCATACTGTCCCTCTGCTTTTTTTTCGACGCGACCGCGAATTTCCCTCGTTCACCCCCGTCTAACCTCAATCCACCACAGAATCAGTCAAGATGAAGTTCTTGAAGACGTCGCGAGTCTGCCTCGTTACCCGGGGTCGTTATGCCGGCAAGAAGGTATGCTGCCACACCTGCCACACCTCTGCTTTGCCCGTCCGACCGGAAATCCTCGTTGTCTTGCCCCGCGTCGCCCGAGTTCCGCCATCATTTTCGAATTTTCACCAAATCGATCGGAGGAGAAACGAATTGCTGCAAATTTGCATTGGACCAATGGCGTTTGGGAAGAGGAGGAACAAACGACCGACGACTGATTCCGACTACTGCGCGACAACGACGCGATGGGGGAAAAGACAAGCCGAGGATTGATGGAATAGGGGAACTGTTTCGCAACGAGGCGCTGCAAAAAGCCGGAAACAACAAGATCGCTGACTGACTGTCCTTGGTTCAGGTCGTCATCATCCAGCCCGTTGACAACGGCTCCAAGACCCACCCCTACGGCCACGCCATCGTTGCCGGTATCGAGAGATACCCCAGCAAGATCACTCGCCGCATGAGCAAGACCCGCCAGGAGAAGCGCTCCAAGGTCAAGCCCTTCATCAAGGTCATCAACTACAACCACTTGATGCCCACCCGCTACACCCTCGAGCTTGAGGGTCTCAAGGGCTCCGTCTCCTCCGAGACTTTCAAGGAGGTTTCCCAGCGCGAGGATGCCAAGAAGACCGTCAAGAAGGTTCTCGAGGAGCGTTACACCTCCGGCAAGAACAGGTGGTTCTTCACCCCTCTCCGTACGTTTCCCCGTTCCCCCCATCTTCTCCCTCTTGTCTCGAAACCACCAGGGACAAGGAACGCGCAACACTAACACGGTATCTCCAGGTTTCTAAATTAGTCTTCCACTCTCGGTCTGGGCAGGGCGCATGGTTTTAGGGGGCTGTATACAGCATTCATCCAGGGAATAAAACTCAAGGCTTCCTGACTAGTCTGAAATTAACGGCAAATTGAAACAAGAGAGATGACGACCATATCAACCATCCCAATTTCAATCCATCCACGTGCGGGCAGTCTTCAAGTTTCAGGCATCTCATCGAAGGATATGGGCCTGCGGATTCCTACTTTTTGATAAGGAGAAGGGGGATTGCCCCTCGCGGGGAGCACTTCGAAAACAGAACAGCGATCGATACCCATAGACCGGCGACGGACAGCGTTCCTGGTCGCGAGCCCCATGAAAGGGACTAGATACATCAACTTGATGATCTTTGAAGCAAAAGAACAAGCGGGATCTGGGACAACAATGGCCAATGACTAGTGCCAGTGTATGACCGTGATGTGACATGAGAGCATATGCATCAATATCAGAGACGCGTTTACACTCCAACCCTGGTTTGATTGTTAGCGCGGGACTTCACTACGCACTCTTTATAACTCAACCACCATTGCACCAAATTTCATGCAAAAAGTTGGTATCAACCAGATGCGTTCCGGCCGCTTTATACACTCTGTCCAATTTTCCGTTTCGAATGTGGTTGTCCCGTTCTTTTTCTGTGTACTTTTGCAGACCCCTGTCTCAAGAACCGCGCTAACAAACAAACCAGTATTGGACTGTACCTACTCGCCCAAGTGCTTTTGCTGAAAATGTCCCCTTCCCTTCGACCTTTGGCTGCCTCGTAGTTCTCAACGCTTCCGGTATGTTGAAGCAAGCGGCAAGTGGCAGTCGAAAGGACGCTTCAGCTTATCATCCAGCAGAGAGAATCTCGATACCCGGACCTCAGTGCAGCATAATCGCATCCAGACCTTCAGACCTTCAGAGGTCCAGATATACATGCCTAGGCAGGTACAGGTGGACCATCCAAGCCATTGCCAAGCATCTTCCTGCTCTCCACGTCGCTCACATCCAAAGAGATGTTTGCTCACCTTTATCACGATGCTGAAAACCAACATATCTACTTTACTCTCCCTCCACCTTCACTACAATTAACTTACTGTCTCTAACTTATTCTCGAACACCCTCCTTGTGCCTAGATGAGGAGGTAAGTAATGTCGCAATAACCCAAGAAAAACAGACACACATCCACTTAACCCACCTCCACCTGCCTACCTCAACTAACATCCTTGACTCTATGGCCCTGCCAACTTACAATCCCCCTGCGAGTCTTTCACCGGCTAAAACTAACCACCTTGCCCGTTCATTCCCCAACTTGTGTGTGCGACATCTCCTGAAGCAAGCAAGGTTGGGCGAGCATTACCCGTGGAGATGAGGGTGTCTTGTGCACCAACCTATCCTCACTCGTCCAGGCTATGTTTACAGGTGGTTGCTACAAGACATGTTTCCAGGAGGCGGAAACATCTTGCCTGATTGTAGGAGGCACCTACCAAATAAACATAGCATGTTTGCAAGACGTAGCATAGCTAAATAGAAGAGTAGGCGATTCAAATTCCGAAACAGTCCTTCAAAAGAAGAGTTGATTGACTACCTCTGTCTCAGCTGAGCAATGACATTTCGGTGTACTTGCCAGCCAGGTAACTCGACTTCGCAAAGTATGTGTTATGGAAATGATGATTTGAGGTTGCTTGCGAGGGACATGGTCGTAGGGGGAAACCGAGCCAAAATGACTAAAATAAGTGTCCATATCTTGATCTCCGAAAACACAGGCGGGCACTCACACGCACACACAGCCGTGACCAGCAGGCACTGCGCTGACAACTCGAGTCCCATGAGCACTCACTCGCACACGCTTCGCACCCACAAGTTTTGATTCAAGTTCGTTAACCATCTATTCCTGCCAACCATTTCTATCTTGTCCTATCATATCAACCATATGCCCGTTTGGAACTTCCGGTATATCTGTAACTGATCGCCGTTTCCCTGTTTTCTCTCTCCGACCTTACTCCCATTGTATCCCTTTCCTCTTCCCCTCTGGCCCCCTCCCCTCTCCCGAAGGATGGTATAAAAACGTAGTTAGAGCAAAATAAAAAGCCCAAGTAACCAACTCTTTGTGATGTACCTGGCTGGTGAAAAAGACGTAAAACCTAACTCGACTTAATCGACGAAGAGAGGGTGAAAAAACGCAACATGGAAGTGTGTGTCGTACTGAATCCTTGAGTGTCGGGAACTTGTTGAAGAGGATTACAAAGCCGGTATGTGGTTATAGCAGTAGTAAAGAGACACAAACGACAACATCCCCCTTTTGCAGAATTCGGTTCTCTCGCGTCCACCTCATGCGCCGGTCCCGCACATAAACTCCTTGCTAAGAGCTTAGTCGGACATCCCGATCTTAGACTTGGCCTCGTTGAGGTACTCAGTAGGGTCAATTCCAGCAGCATAGTCGGGAGCGAAACCGCCGAGCAGAGAGAAGACAACGAAGACGGAGAGGAGGATGATCGAGATGCGACGGAGAACGGGGCGGCGGTTGCCAAAGTCGGCCCACTGGCGGCCAGCCTCGCCAGCGTAGCTCTTGATCGTCTCAGCGCCAAGCTTGTAGTAAACCATGCCGCCGAGAGCAATGCTGTAGCCGAAGAACTGGGTGAGGGTAACTTGGCTGCCGTAGATGACCATGGAAGCAACGACGAGCAAGACGTCCTTGAGGACACCACAGAGGGTAAGTACGAGCGACGAAGTCTTGCCAATCTGTACAAATATGTTAGCAAGCTGTATTGGACAGAACCCGCCAAATATTCAACTTACCAAGAACACAACGGAGACGTTGAGGCCGAAAGCGCAGAGACCGTTCAAGAAGAAGTAGAAGAGGCCAACACGGTCGACGTCAGCCATGGTAAGCCTGGGGACTTCCCAGAAAAGAGCAACGACGCCGTTCATGAGGGCGCAGATGGGAGCGAAGTAGTAGAGCGAAACCAAAGGATCCATCTTGAACTCGGCGGAGCTCAGGAGACGCTGGACCATGGTAAGACGAAGAGCCTCGAAGGCGACACCGGCGATCTGGAGGATAACGCCCAACCAGACGAACTCGAGCTCGCCGTACGAAGCGATAATGACACCGACAACGATGACGGAGACGTTGAGGAAAACCCTCATGTTGATCGTCGACACGCCGAGGGCCCAGCCGGAGAGGAGAACAGCGACAGGAGTAGTGGCCTGAATGCAAGACGTCAAGCGTTAGCTCATATTGATCCACTGAGCAAATCGCATCTTTGGTACTGACCTTGAGCATTTGGATAAAAGAAACACTGAGGTAGAGGTAGGTGAGGTTGCCGCAAATCAAGCTCAAGCTGAAGAAGAAACCGATCGGAACAATGGCGCGCAGATAGACCTTGCCAGTCATCTTAACTGTCTTCCTGCCGTCGAGCAATGTGGTGTACCGTGCAAGGATCTGGGTCATGATAGTAGAGAAGACCAAATGGTAAGTGGTCAAAACGACCGGGAAGTCTGCATCGTCGTCTTAGCATCCGTTGTCCTTTCCACAGGTCCCTTTTCGGCCATGTATATCGGGTTATCCTTACCGAATCCTTTGGCGGACAGAATCCATTTGTTGAATAGAATAACGGACGAGCTCATCGCGATCCAGATGCTGCAATCATCGCATCAGTCAACCGAACACACAGAAACTCATTGCGCCTTCCCGCCCGTGGGCGGAGGAGTGTCGTAGCTCACCTCACATAGAACGCAGGGTGGATGGCACTCTTGGGAGGCTGGGCCTTCTCGACCTCGGGATTAACGGTGGGAAGGACGCCATCTCTGGGGGAGTCGCCCGACGCCCGGCTCTTCTCTTCGACGCCCATGTTGTCGCGGGTTGTAGATGTGATCGGAGTCAAAAGGGGTATCGAGGCGGCTGAATGTATTGCGAATCCGGAATTACGTATCGGACTCGAGGATTAAAACTGAGTATTGCGAATGACGTCGCGAAAAGTCTAGAGACCTCGATGGGAAGGGCTGAATCAAGTCGAACAAACGAGCGGATGGTCAAGCTGGAACAAAAGCCGGGACCGAAAGATGGTGGAGGAGCTGCAACGGCCGGCAGTTCAGGTCATGCAATCTCGCCAAGTGGGAATGTGCAAAGAGGATGCAGAAGGAAAGATACCAAGAGCCCCGCGTTTTGCAGTCCTGGGGAAGAATCCGCTCGTCGACTTTGTGATTTCGAGGAGTCGGGGGCGCAAGCTTCGAGCTCTGGGGAGGCGAGATGATAATAGACAAAAGGTAGTGCCCGTGACGGTGGTGGTAAGGGGACGGAAGCAAAAGAACTAAAGAATAGAAGAAATGGGGACCGCCTCGCAGGCGTGCCAAGGGGCGCCGAGGGGGTGCCAAGGGGTGTCAAAGATCCCTTGAAAGCGATTGAAAGCGTGCGGGTGCCTGGCAGAATGGGGGAGCAAAAGTTCCAGACTGGGGAAAAATACTACCCTTTCGGGTTTGGCCTGGCCGGTTAGGTGGGTAACTTTATTTTGGTTCTGACGCAGCCTTGGAAGGAAGGAGCGGAAATTGGGACGCAACCACAGATGGATCGGATGTGCAAAAGACAGCCAGTCAATCCAGGGCAAATCGGTCCACGAGCGGGTATAAAATACACGGCCATGCTTGCACGCTTTTTGATTCGTATCATCACAGGCATCACCACCCTCAGTCGAGCAATTGATGTCCACCATCTGCATTGTGTTGGTTTCGCGCAACTCCACTCCATCTGGAAATGCCTTGGAAACAACGGTTGATCTTTTTTCAAATGGCCACTTCGCGTTTGGGTGCGCTCCTTAGGACCGAGCTCAAGGCCGTGCAGAGCTGTACCTGAACTGCAAGTTAAAGGCAGAGGTTACTTGAGCGACCTAATTGATGCTTCCAGGGATACCATTGGTCAGGAATGTAATCGTCAAAGCAGCGACAAATAGGGGCAAGATAAGGGGCAACGTGCCTGGCGACGGCAGTGGTTCTACAAATTGGCAAAACAATCCACGGAAAAGTCGTCTTTTGTGGTCCGCAGAAGCACGGAAAAGAAAACGAACAAATCAAAAGAGTACAGGGCGGGAAGCTATCTGCCTACTAGCATCTACAACCATCACGTCCAGGCTTTAACTCGTCATAGATTTGCTTGACTTCCTTGCTCCTAACGGAGAAGGCTCTGTAACAACGAGAGAACCATGGAACAGGGATCAACGAAGACGGTAGACCAAGGTACATAAGGCATTTTTGGTTGCAACATTCAAAAAGTCTACGGCGTTTTGACTTGAAAAGCAACTTGTCACCACCTCCATTAGTATCTGGATCAGCAAAGCAATTACATAGTAGGAACCTCATCACATTACAACGTAGCACAGGTTTGGGGCGAAGTAATGTGAAACAAAGTTGTTTGCGAAGAAGCCTCCGAACGGGCGGATGGATGCCCCCCACGACGAAGAACCATACATTACAGCCGTGGAGTACCTCTAGGTACTGCGTATAAAAAGGGGGGGAGGGGCTTCGTCTTCGAAGATCGTGTACAAGTTACTGACTCGCCTACACCCCGCTTGCCGTGGAATTCGTCACCGACGCCGGTCCTTGACTTTTCCAGAATACTTGGAAGAGCTTGATAGCTGGATAGGCGTGTAATGTGAAAATTGCTAAAGGATCATTTCACCAATATCTTCAGCGTCTATCTATAGTCAGGTTGTTCGCCGGCTCCGCATTGTCGTTCTCAAAGTCAGTTGCTTCCCGTCGAGCAGCAAGGGTTGGGTTGGCCCGGCGATCTGAGGTGTCAGGAAGCCGGCATGTTGCGTGCGTAGAGAAATTGCTCTGCGTTGAGGGGGTCGATGTTCGTGCTTCCTGGGATGTACAAGTCAAGTTGAAGCGATGCGATGATATGTGAGTTTGTCAATCCTGAATCTAGCCTCTCGAACTCCCGTCTGATCAGTGAGTGTGTGCATCAGTATCACCACATGGACACATGCATTTCATGTTAACTTGATGCAGCTCGACCTTGCAAGTGCGCAACAGTGCTGTCAACATATGTATGTAAGTATGTGTCCGATTGACGCTGTGTCCCTGTGACAGCTTGTGCTTAGTTGATAGCCCTCGAGCCTCCTTCTCTTCTTGTGTCGAAGTTGTTGACGGGATGTACGGGCCTTTTGAATGATGGCATTGGAAGTGGTGTAGTCTCTTGGCTCAGGAGGGAGGCGGCAGTCCAGTATCATATCATGCGCCCGCGCATAGGATTCGTTTCCGTACTCAGACACTGCTTTCTTTCTGCTTAAATGGTTGTCTTTATGAAATGGTTTCATGCGTGACTTCAGTATCTTGCTGGTAGAACCTCCGTGTCACACCGTGAGTTCATTCGGTACAACCTGGCGAGGACCGGCTATGGTGTCCTTGGCTGGGGACATATCGATCTTGGAGGCAGATTGTTGTTTGTTTGCCATACCAAAGAGCTCGCTCGTTCAACTCTACTCTCTGCAGTATGCCGGAAGGAGTTCGACACGAAGGCCTGTACTCCGTAACCCAGGTAAAATCCCGGCGAGTGTTCGCCCTCTTCCGAGTCCTGAATCGTATTGGTGTTGAGTCGGCGATAGTGGTAGTGCCTGAACCGCGATATACACACACTGGAACCTGACCCACCACTTGTTGTATAGAGAGTACCCTAGAGTTCATGGTCCACGCTTTTCACCTCTCCAAATGAAATTTGTACTTTCTCTTTGTTGTGCTGATCGTAGCCCAAAGACTACAGACGGAATGCAATCATCAGCAGAAGGGAGAAACAAACAAATGAAAGCTTCATGTCAGGTATATATAATACGGTGGCTGTTGTCTCGTAACGAGCGGGAACTGAACCCAGTCTTGAAGGGCATGATATATGAGATACCGCTCGCATTGTGCATCTCGAGTTTGGTTGTCAGTGGCACGCCGTTCTCCCATCCTTTTTGTTGATCTGCTCAAGATCGGCTTCTTCTCTTGCTTTTTTAGCATACTGCATGATTGCGGATGGCGAACGTCTCCAGTCATCCAAAGCTGTGGCGGGCCCTGCACTTGTTTCATCAGCGCGATCAGCAACATACCATATCCCTCATAATTGAAGGATTCCAGATGATCAGTGTGATAAGAAACTGAGACCGGAGACTGGTGGCAGTTCCGGCGTCCAGAGTTGACAGCCACCAAAACGGTTCAGGCGGTGAATCCGTGACCGCAACGTCGTCTCTTCGAGGCCTGTGAATGCATGATCCCAAACATATGCAAACTACACCATAGGTAGGCAGCTAACGACAGCAGCCAGCCGACCTGCAGTGCAGGGAACTAGCATACCCTGACCGACTCGAGCTTCGACGACACTTCACCCCGCCGACCACATGTGCATGCTTTGCTGGTCGAGCCCGTGTTGAAAGAGGGCAGGTAGCCTTTCCCGAAGACTATAAAGTCGATGCGACGTGTGGTGGTATGGGCTAATCTTGCGGCTGACTGGTAATCTCTATCTTGTCTGTGATTCCTTGGCCGAGGACGGGAAGAGGCTGTGAAAGAACAACACCCCAATGTCAATCGAGGGGTTGCTGTGATGACATCGTAGCCTCATCTCGCCCTCATCAAAGCTCCTGCATGCTGTTTCAGGGGTATCCCCGCCAGCGTCCGTTCTGGTCGTTTTAGCTCGTTTTGGCAACGGTGCACTGCGGTGCCCTGTTGTGCCACACACACCCAGAAACAGTCCAGAGTCTTTTGCCATTGAGAGGTTCTTCAGAAGATCTGGTCGCAGAGAGGATTGGGGCTAAGTCAGGGCCGGACTGTCAAAGTGTCAGGGTCAGACCAGGGGCGGTCAGGGTCCAGGGCGGGATGTTGCGACGAGAGAGGGGGTCCACCGCCCAATTCAGCCAATCATCGGCTCGCTCCAACTGCTGGCGATGCCCCTGGTCACATAATTTTGGGCTGCCCCAATGTGCCCCTCCACGACCCTCCATCAGCGCCATCAGCTCGAGGGTTCTCCTTTTCTGGCCCACGGTAACGTTATTACAACTCCGTCCGTATCCATACCTCTAGGCCTATCAACGGCAGCTTGCCATTGCTCTTGCCAACCGCGATCTGGAGCTTCCTCGTTGCTGGCATCTCCTCGATCCCTCATAAACCTGCCTCCGCGCCCCCTCGATCTGTTTCAACCCGCTTTCGTCTTTTTCTGGGGTACCTCCTTCCTTGCGCCAAACTCCAACCCAGCGGCTTCAGTTTCCTTTTTCCTCACGCCCAGCCTAGGCTTCGACTACCTTATACATATTAACCATCCTAATCCTCAATCATAACGCATATTTACTCCACAATGGCTGATATGTGGGTTTCCTACCTCTCTACCTCCCTCTTTGGCCCGACACTCGTGTGTCCCAAGCTGCTTACGATCAACTCGTCTCAGCGGGCTTCAAACATCATGATAGTGGCATTGCGCTAACCTCTTCGTCTTCATTACAGTAATGTTGACGTTCTCGTTATCGGCGCTGGCCCAACTGGCTTGGGTGCTGCCAAGCGCCTCAACCACATTGTATGTTTCTCTCCCCCCTCTGATACCCCTCTTTCTCCTCCTCTCCCTCCTCCCTGCTCTCCGTACACCGCCTTGGGAGGTCGTTGTGTGAATACCTTCAACTAACCCTTGTTTTCAATCTCTAGAACGGTCCTTCGTGGTTGATCGTTGACGCCAACGAGAAGGCCGGTGGTCTCGCCTCTACAGATACCACCCCTGAGGGTTTCCTCTACGATGTTGGTGGCCACGTCATCTTCTCTCACTACAAGTACTTTGACGACTGCCTCGACGAGGCTCTTCCCAAGGAGGATGACTGGTACACACATCAGCGCATTTCCTATGTGCGCTACAAGGGCCTCTGGGTCCCCTACCCTTTCCAGAACAACATCTCCATGTTGCCCGACGAGGACAAGGTCAAGTGCGTTGAGGGCATGATTGATGCCGCTCTTGAGCACCGTGTTGCCAACACCAAGCCCAAGGACTTCGATGAGTGGATTTTGCGCAACTGCGGCGAGGGTGTTGCCAACATCTTCATGAGGCCCTACAACTACAAGGTCTGGGCCGTGCCCACCACCAAGGTAAGAAGCGTGTCCTGTCATCCAACATGGAACCAATGCTAATTGTCGCCATAGATGCAATGCGAGTGGCTCGGCGAGCGTGTCGCCGCCCCCAACGTCAAGCTTGTCACCAAGAATGTCATCCTTAACAAGACTGCCGGCAACTGGGGCCCTAACGCTACCTTCCGCTTCCCTGCCCGCGACGGAACCGGTGGTATCTGGATTGCCGTCTCCAACACCCTGCCCGAGAAGAAGAAGCGCTACGGCAAGCACGGAGAGGTTACCAAGGTCGATGCCGAGAAGAAGATTGTCACCCTCGGTGACGGCACCACCGTCAAGTATGGCAAGCTTATCAACACTATGGCCGTGGACCACCTTGTTGAGAAGATGGGCAACCAGGAGCTTGTCTCGCTCTCCAAGGGTCTTTACTACTCCTCCACCCACGTCATCGGTGTCGGTATCCGTGGCGAGCGTCCTGAGCGCATTGGTGACAAGTGCTGGCTCTACTTCCCCGAGGACAACTGCCCCTTCTACCGCGCCACCATCTTCTCCAACTACTCCCCTTACAACCAGCCTGAGGCCGGTGCCAAGCTGCCCACCCTCTACAACGCCGACGGCTCCAAGGCCAGCTCTGATGAGGCTAAGGAGGGTCCTTACTGGTCCATCATGCTCGAAGTTTCGCAGTCTACCGTGAAGCCCGTCGATGAGGAGAACCTGCTCAAGGACTGCATCCAGGGTCTCATCAACACCGAGATGCTCAAGCCCGAGGATGAGATTGTCTCCACCTACCACCGCAAGTTCGACCACGGCTACCCCACCCCCTCGCTTGAAAGAGAGGGTGTCCTCAAGGAGCTTCTCCCCAAGCTTCAGGATATGGACATCTGGTCCCGTGGTCGTTTCGGCAGCTGGAGGTACGAGGTTGGTAACCAGGACCACTCGTTCATGTTGGGTGTCGAGGCTGCGGACAACATTGTCAACGGTGCTGTCGAGTTGACCCTCAACTACCCCGACTTCGTCAACGGACGTCAGAACACTGAGCGCAGGCTCGCTCAGTCGTTCGTCTTTGGCGTCAAGGAGGATCTTCCCAACTAAGAGAAGTAAACTTGGAGGAAAGGAAAACTATATATCACTTTGGAATGTGGATAATTGCGAAACGAAGTAAGGATATACGCAGGGCATGAAAGCGAGGGAAAATCTTGCACTTGCATAACTACGATGAAATAGTACAAGTTGCTTTGCTTCATTTAGCGAGCACATGAGCTTTGTTAAAACTTAATGATAAGAGCAATCAGCCACAAGGCTGTCCCGGATTCGTGACCCTTACCTCTCTCCTGTGCCTAATTCAGTGACGATACGACTATTTTGAAATCACTCGTCCCTTAAACTGTCGGAACAAAGCCTCAAGAGGACTCCCGGTTCTTCTTTTTCAGGCCGTTTCGGGATAACCATGAACTGTTATTATGAGTTGTCCCTCACGGCATTGCCCCAACCAGATCGGCCGATTCTCGGCCTGCTGTTGCTGCTCAATTGCTTTTAATGTGTTTCGGAAATTGAACACGTCAAGTCCCTTTCCTATCTTTACGAGTTTCGGAGATAACCAGAGGGGAGACAAAATCAACCGGTGTGGGTGATTCGGATACAAGGCTGACTTCCACTTGTACTAACTTTTTGACTGACCGCCGGCTGATTAATCGGAAGGGCCACTTAGTTACTTACCCAGCATGATGACCCATTACCCAGTGAGCTAGTTGATGAGGCTATCAACAAGTGATGTGCCAACATCAAACATCGACTAAGTTCCGCCTCTTCTTTGGTTTGTTTCTCTTTCCTCCCCCCACATGCCCCAGCCTTCTCTTTACCAAGACAGACGACACAAGCAGACAGTTGTCCAAAGATCGTCTGATTTTCCATAGCCTGCCCTGCCTGCTACATATCATCCATATCATCCATGTTTATCCCACACATCATTCACAGATTGGCCACCCCGGATCTACATACATCCAGTTTCGAAGTCTCCCCTGACTAAGAACTCCACGAAGATGGATGATCGGCAGGAACTTTGTCGGATAGACGACACTGCCAAGCTCTACCATACTACCGCTTTTTTCCATTCCCGTCGGATTTATCCCCACGTTGTACAGCCAATCACATCTGGTGAAGGACTTGCATGCTGACGACTCAACGGGGCATGCAGCCCAGCAAACCACATAATTGGCCAAAATAGTGTGGGGATAAATCCGAGTTGAATGAAAAAAAGCGGTAGTTAGACTACTCAACGCGGGCTACTACACTATACGAAAGACTTTCAAGATCGGTGTGAATCTGATGACTAAGGTCTCTTACCTTGTTAGAGCCGCAATTAGTTGGCAAAAACGCCGTTGCTCAGTCTACTATAGCCTCCAATACTTTGGCTTGCCAAGGCTGGACTGAACAGTACCCGTAGTTACCACCGCCCGGCTTTACTTTGGAATGATCAAGTCCTCGTGCGCTTCTGTTGGTAATCATTATCTAGACGACTTAACGAGGGAGGGGAAATCAGAAGGAATACTCATTGCGTAGCTCAAGTCCTACTTACGTGCATATCTCTCGGGACCTCTCGGGACCTGACATTGCGGTACCACGACGGGAAGAGAACACAACCTAGGTCGAGTCCCTTGCTGCAGAGCATCTATCTTGTGAATCATCGAGTTCCTTGACATACATTCAACGTTTGTTCAGAAATTCTTCCTTTAAGGTAGAGGTAAGCTAGAGAGTGTCGATAAAGACCACCGGTGGCTCGTCCATAGTCTGACTTTTTTTCTCTTCTAGATTTCCCGTCCGAACTGTTGCTGACGTACCAGATACGTACCAGATCCCGAGTGACGTCAACGGCGCTTGGCTTTCCGAGTTCGGATGACTGACATTAAGTTGTGTAACATGATATGATGTATGGCCTTTTATGCGGAAAATGAGTAGAGGTAAAGAAATGAACGACATGAACTGATCAAGTTCGAAAGTTTGCAACAACGGCTTTGTTGAGCGTATATCATGGTGTTCAATCGAGCAAGATGATATACCTCTAGGTATTTCCTGGTTGATGTGTGCTAAATAGACACTAGTCTCATGTATGTGCGGGTAGGGTATAGACTGAGAGACTATCAGAGTAGGATTAGGCTGGCTAGGTTGGTCGCGTGAGTGAACAGAGTTGTTGACAATGGACGGGCTTGGTTTTAGTCCTCGTGATGAATAGAGTGTGTCGATGTGTCTTTGAGGTTGCCCTGCATCGAGCATCTTCGTGAGGTGTGCAGTGTAAGTATAGTGCAGAAAATAGGCGCCGTGAAAGTTGGTCTGGTGGGACAAATGATATTTGAAATAAGCACTTGAGGCGTCGTCGCGAAGCGCTTGAGCGTATCGAACCTGTGAATGAAGCGATTCGCAGTTTGATGAGGATCGGTTGCCGCCGTATCTGATCTGCATCACACTCACGCTACGGGAGACGGCGTCGACGGTTGGGGGCTCGGGGAGGGGCGTGCAAATTCCGATGGACCAGCATGGGTGATGACCAATGAGATGGCAATGAGATAGATGGGAGCGGTTCCTTCGATTGATGGAACGAAAGGAAGACAACTGCACGAGTGAAGCGGCCGGCAACTTTTGGAGACCTGGGAGACTCTTTCTCATCGAGACAAGATGCCAAGACGGTGCCGAAACAAGCGGGCAAAGTGGACACCCCGCCCAAGACATCGATTCCCTTTGGCTGGCGGTCTCTGAGAGCTGGGACGATTGTGGACGATTGGGGACGATTGGGGACGATTGGGAGCTTTTAGGACGGCCTGAACGGGTCACGGGCAAAACTTGAAACTTCCACTTGGGCCAAAAACTTGAGGTGAATATCAACGGCAATCTCTTTGGCAGGCCCTGTGTGCCCTGTGTGCCCTGTGTGCCTTTCGCGCCCTCTCCCCTTTTTTCTCCAATCTGCATCGAGCGTTGATGAACGGCGACTGTTCATGTGCATCCGAACCTCTGGTACTCGTCAGGGCTTCAAAATCGCCGCTGACTGTGGTGTGGGATATCTAACACGCCCAATACAACTTAGTCCAAAAAGTGGGACCATAGTCAGCGGCGATTTTGACCCGATTTTGAAGCCCTGACGAGTACTGCTAGTAGTAGCCTCACCGTCTTTGCTCTTTTTGCCAAGCCGTGAATGTGCCGTGTGTGTGGGACAGCGAGAGAAGACCCAACAACGAGGAGAAAACCTGATGACGGGAACCCGGAACTCCGAGATCCAACACATAGACGGGAGGTTCGCCGATGGCTATGAATAGGTAGCACCCCAGGCAGTAGGCAGTCCAAGTAGCAAGCCGCTGCCTGAGTTTAGCACCGGGACGGGAGTTGGGTTGCCTTGCTACTCTAGAGCCTCCGGACGGGTTGGGTTGACAGCCGCGGATAGGTATCGCCCAAAGTAGTCAGTCGTAGGGATGAACTAGCGAGAATGCACAGTCCAAGCATCATCCGAAATTCCGAATGTCTTCCACTCTCTTTTTTTCTCCAAGTTGTTCTCTTCTTTTTGCTGTGACATGAAATTGCCTCTTTTTTATGGGCAGCTGCCATTCAGTGGTATGGACTACCTCTACGGGAGGAGCCAGTGACAATGGTGCAACCGTGCAGTACCAAAACGAGGCTAAACCGCATATGGGAGCTTGCCGCTCCTTGTCGATACCGACTTTGACTTCGAGGTCTTGGCTCCATCGTGCTCCTACACTAGTACCGGCGGAAGTACCACGACGCACCACAGGTCCTCCTTCGAGTCCACACACCATTCGCATCCTGTTCCATTCAGCATTCCAGCATTCCGCTCGACAGCATCGGCCACGGCCCAGCACCGCTTTGTACTTTTGCAGCTTGCTTCATCTCCTCCACTCCAGCCTCGGACATCCACCCACCGACTAGGGATATTCCCAATAATTCACCATTGCGCTGCGCATTCTACGCATCCACCACGACGGAGAAGAAGCACGCAGAGTCACACTGAGAGGCCATCTTCCCTTTTCGCAAGTATTCTAGGTAGGTACCTTTTCGCTTTCTTCAGTCTTCACCACCAACGGACGAGTCCCAGTCGCAGTCCCAGTCCACCACGAGTCCACCCAACCACTCCTCGCCTAGGCTGCTTTGGCTGCTTTGAAACCTCTCTAACGACCTCCTCCAACCAAGAATCTGCCAACACCGACCTCGACCGACTTCCGTCCGCCTGCCCACCCCAGTCGTTGTCGTCGTCGTCCTTTCCGGCTTTCAGCTTGTGGCGACTGTGATTTGCCCAGCACCGGCAACCAACAGACTTTACCTAGGTAACAAGTACCTACGACTTTTTTTTCCAAGGAGGGAAAAACCGACGACAGGCAGAACACTGCAACCAGCCACTACCTAGGCCAACCGCCAACCTCGAAATCTACACTAGAACCGCTTCAACGAACTCAACACTCAGCGCCGAGCGATAGCCATCTCCACCTCATCACGATCGCTACTAGGCATTATCACCACACTAAACGGCAACAGTCTTTGCATACTCGGCACCACACAGCACAAGGCGCATACATCGACGACCACAATCCTCGCATGCTGGCACTGGGTGCTTGGAACGACGGCCTGCGTACCATGATCGAAACATGACTCGCCCCGACACGACGTCCTCCCCACGAGCCCGTTATCCTTGAGTCCGCCGATTTCCCTTCTCTCGGCGACCATGGAGTCAGTCGCGATACCTCCACAAGACGACCAGCAGCAGCTCGATCCCCCGGCCCGCATCTTCGAACGACTACGCCAAATCGCCGGCTTTGCTTGGGACGAGACTAAACCGCCTTACCATTCTACCTACGACAACTGGCACGTCTTCGGCACCCGATTTGTTTCGCCCTTTTCGACCACCGGAACCCCGGCCCCCGCCTCCCCGGCACCATATCCTAACACGAGCCCGTCGTCTTTAGCAAAGCTAGCGCCCGGCCACCGCGCATCTCCCCAGGACCGCCCAAACGTTTCGGCCTCTCACAGCGACGCCGGCAGTGATCGTTCCGTCACCTCTCCTCCCACCGTTGCCCACCATGCTACCGATGCGCCTGTTGTCGAAGAGCTCGTCGTTGCCAGAATATCCTACCATGTCCTCCGCGAAGAGAGGGCCTACCATATCGCCAAGAGCCTCGTTTCGACTGTTGACCCCAATGCCGAGCACATCGCGAGACCGATAGACCTCATTCGTCTGAACCCCTTGCCAGGCGATCGGGGGACCATCGTTGTGGCCATCTATGCGTATTCTGGGGAAAATTATTTGTTCAAGGTGTTGGATATGGGCCCCGCCTTCTTCTACGCCGATAAGCATAATGACCGATGGGAGGCGCAGCGCAAAGAGCATCCAGTCCTCGAAGAGCCCATATCACTGCAGCACTTCCTGGATTTTGCCATAGGCGCTGCCCAATGCCTGGAGATGCTTCACCATAGCCAAAGCATTGTCCACGGCGAAATACGTCCCGACGCCTTCCATTACAACCTCGAACTAAACAGAATAAAAATAACGTCACTCGGCTCCGGTCTACGGTCCTTTGAGCACGGTTTAACAAGCACTGGCTGGTCTACACTATCGAAGGAGGTGGGCGCCCGCCATAAACTCCAGTACATCAGCCCTGAACAGACCGGACGAATGCCTGCCGAGCCCGACACTCGCACCGATATCTATTCCCTCGGAGTTTTGTTTTGGAGTCTCTTGACACAACAGCCCGTGTTCCAGGGCGACACACCGCTTGATATCGTCCAAGGTGTCCTTGGCCGTAGGATACCCAACGTGTCCCAGATACGAATGGATGTTCCCGACGTGATTGGCCGCATCATCCAAAAGTGCACTTCCAAGAATGTGAGCGATCGGTATTTTTCGGCCAGTGGCCTCCGGCACGATCTGGTCAAGGTGCAAGAGCTGCTTGGGTCCGGCGATTCCCAGAGTCTCAAGGACTTCCAAATTGGTTCTCGAGACGTATCTTCCTCCTTCCGGCTTCCGACCAATATGATTGGCCGCGACCGCGAGCGATCCGAGCTTCTTAAAGTCATCGAGCGAGTATCCAAGAGCCATGGGATGAACCACAAAGGTGGGGTAAATTGGGGTTCAGATGGATCTGTCTTGTCAAACGACGTTGTTGACAGTGTTGAAGTCTCCAGTGAAGGCGCTAGCTCAGCCGAAGGCTTGAACAGGCAGTCCGGCTCATGGGCCCTCCCGGATCCGAGAAACAGAGTCAGCTTGCCCCCTTCGGCCCTAGGAACGATTTCGGTGACCACCTCGGGCGAAACGACCTCTTCAGGCACGTCAACGGGTACCTCGACGATCTCGGGAGGTAATCGACAGTCTCGCCAGTGGGACAAGCCAGCCTTCGAAACAGCCAGCTTAAACGAGAATGTCAGTTCCGATGCCTCGCGGGGCAGTGGATTGCTAAGCGAACCTACCTCGACGATATCACGCCAGCTCGGTTCCAAGTTCCGAAAGCAGAGACAAGGCAATTGCGAGGTGGTGATCATCGAGGGTACCGGCGGTCTAGGAAAGAGTTATCTGGTTCAGTCAATACTGGCAGATGCTCGCAGGAGAGGCTATTGTGCCACTGCCAAGTTTGAAACGGCAAGGAGAACTGCCTTTGGCCCCCTTTTGCAGCTGCTATCGTCTCTCTTCCGTCAGGTCTGGGGCGAGAGAAACACCGAAACCCCCTTTCATCAAGCACTCAAACACCATGTCCGGCCTGTGTGGCCTACGTTGCACAAGGTCCTTGGCCTCCCCGAATTCCTCCTAGGCCCGCCCGATAACATCCCACAACGATCCAACTCCACTAGCTCACAGGGCGGTGGCCAGCCCGCGTTGAAACGACGCGGATCGTCTCCAGAGTTTGGTTGCAATAACATGTACCGACATTCCTCGAAAGTATCGTCCGCCACCCAGACTTCACAAGAGTTTTTAAGGGCTGGTGGCTCGACGCAGACTTCCCGCCTTACGAACACCTTCCTCGATGTACTGCGGATGTTTACACACTACAAATTCATTTGCTTCTGTCTTGATGACCTGCACTTTGCGGATGACGAGTCACAGGAGCTCATTAGCCAGATCATTGGGGCGCGGATGAAAATGGTCATGATCATCACGTACCGCCCAGAAGAGATCGAGCCCGAGAAAGTCCTGCAAATTCTCAGCCCACCAAAGTCCGAAGAACTACCACGAGGAGCAGGCGCGCCAATAATGACCAAAATAAAGCTAACACCACTGTCTGAGGACGACATAATACACTTCGTATCGTCGACACTCTGTCTACCGAAGGAAGATGTCACGCCTTTGGCTCTCGTCATCCAATCCAAGACAGCTGGAAACCCCTTTTATATGCGTGAGATGCTCAATGCCGGTTATAGAAAGAAGTGCATCTGGTATGACTACCTGGTTGGTGAATGGAAGTACGACCTGGACAAGCTCTTCGACCAGTTCCAAGGGGAACAAAACTACGACGTTCTCGACACCGCTTTCATCACCCGACGCTTGAGTGAGCTGCCGCCCGCCTCACGGTCAATTCTCGCTTGGGCTGCGTTACTTGGACAGACTTTCTCGTTTGACCTTATCTGCCGACTCATGACTGGCGAGTTTCATTTCGAGGAAGACAAGGACAAGGGACAGCAAGAAGAAGATTGCTCATATATCATACCCGCAGACGAGTCCGTTGCTGGACTTGAAGCAGCCATACAAGCCTGCATCATTGTTCCAAGCGATAGGGATGATCATTTTCGTTTTGTCCACGATCGTTACATCCAGGCTGCTGCCGCATTACAAGAGTGCAATGCTCGAAAAATGCACTTTGCCATCGCCCAAACACTACTCAAGTACCACGCCAACGATCGCGCTTACAGGGACAATGCGGCCTCCCATATTTGCGAGTGCGTAGATATCATCTGCCAGCAAGTGTCTCACCGGCGTTCGTATCGGACATTGCTCTCCCGGTGTGCCCAAGAAGCAGCCGTGAGCGGCGCAAGACCTACTGCAGCGAAATATTACGGCAACGCTGTAGCGCTACTTCAACCTGACCCTTGGAACGACGATGCGGGTGATTCCTCTTATGAAGAAACTCTCCAACTCTACATCCAAGCAGCCGAATGCTACCTTTACATGGGCCTTCACACCGCCGCCAATGATCTACTCCAGACAATCCTCGCCAAGGCAAGGACGGCAGTTGACAGGGCCCCGGCATGGGTACTGCAGTCACGGGTTTTTGCTCAGGGCGGAAACTCCGAACAGGCATTGGACTCGCTCAGGTTGTGTTTGAAAGCTTTGGGTGTAGGCTTCGATGACAACCCATCCTTTGAGAAGTGCGACGCCCAATTCGAGCGCTTGTCAGTACGGATACAGGCAATGGATCGCAGCGAACTGGTCAACCCGTCCAAGACGGAAGATATCACTCTTGCATCCCTTGGTGCCGTGCTCACCGAGACCGTTAGTGCTGGATGGTGGAGCAACTGTCTGTACTTTTACCAACTGGCGCTCTCTATGATGGAGTTACACTTGGAGAAAGGGTCATTTCCACAGTCCGGCCTGGCATTCCTATACTTGGGTATCATCGCCCTGACAAGGTTCAACCTGGTGCAGTTCACTGTTCAGTTGGCCGGCATCTTCTTGGAGTTGCTAGAGAAGTATCGCGACCCAGATTCAATGGCCAGGGGTTACATGATCTATGCCAACTTTGTCGGTCATGTTCAGTTCCCGCTTGGCGCTATCGCCAACCAATTTGAGGCATCGGTCGAGTACGCCGCTGCTGTGGGAGACCGCATCTCTGCCATCCTTTGCTTTGGCCTAGCTGCACAGCTGAGATTCTTTGCCAGCGAAAATATTTCCGACGTCGAGGCTTTCTGTCAATATGGCTGTGAGGAGGTACCGGACTGGCATCTGGATACCCGTGGCGGTGCAATTCTCATTGCCATTCGACAGGTGTGCCGTGCCTTGCAAGGGAAGACGCAAGTCACAGATCCTTATGAGGTCATGAGCGACGAACAACACAAAGTCTCAACTTACAAGTCCTGGCTCACAGCCAAGGCCAGCGTAGAGAGGACACTCATGTTCTACGAGTCAATCGAGATTATTCCGCTCTTCCTGTATGGGCATTATGAGCGGGCTATTGAGATCGGAGAGGCTTGTTACAAGAACAGCAAGATGATCTGGTCGGCCAGGAACACAAAACTCGCCCAGTGGTTCTACGCCTTGTCCTTGGCGGCTGTGATCCTCCGCGAACAGCAAGACCCTCGACGCTTGGCAGAAGATGAGGAGAAGTTCAAGAGTCGGGTGGAGGAGACGATTGAGAAGATCGATGAATTGAACAAGGGGCTGAAGGACTGGCAGGCGGTTAATAATGTCAACTACCTGGCTTGGTCAAAGTTGCTGGATGCTCAAATATCAGAGATCCGTGGCCAGTATGGGGATGCCATTCGGCAGTATGAAGAGGCGTTGGATCATGCTTCGGAACACAATTTCCTCTTCGAGGAGGCCCTGGGCAATTACCTGATGGCTAGCGTCTTCATTCGCCACAAGGGCAGGCGCTCTGCCCGGTCTGCCCTTCGCGACTCTATCGCTCTCTACCGCCAGCTTGGTGCCACGGGAATTGCCGACCTCATCGAAACCGGTCATAGTATCTTGCTCCATGGCCCCATGCGCAACCCTCGCACAGCTGATGCTGGCGTTCAGACCGATTTTACTGGCGACGCTGCGTCTGTTCAATATCGGGCAGCGGACGAAGAAGGATTGGAGGACGAGGAGGAGACGGCGCAGGCTGCGGTGGCAGCGCTGAAAGGGGAACGCATGACGGCGTGGAGAGGCTCAATGCAGCCGGAGGCTGGGGTTGGCTTGCCAGCACTTGATATGATCGATCTGCACGCGATTTTGGTCTCATCCCAGGTCATCTCCTCGGTGTTGAGGGTTGATGAGCTTCTCAAGACCATGTGCGACGTGATCTTGCAGACGTGCAGCGGGTCCGCTACCCTGGCAGCTCTCGTGGTGTATGAGGATGAGAAGGTGAAGGATGGTTCGCCCCTGTGTGTTGCTGCGAGTGGTGACCCCGATAAAGGAGCCGAGGCGCACATTCCCGGCATTCCCCTCAGCGGAACCGACCTCGTCGCCGAGAACGTCATCCTGTACTGCTCTCGCTTCCGTGAGGTGGTCTTCCTCCGGGACCTTGTGAGCGATGAGCGGTTCGGCAACGTCAGTGAAAGTTGGCTTCGGAGGAACCCCAACAGCAAAGCGGTCATTGCCATCCCGATCTTGCATGGTTCTGAAAACCCGCTCCTTGGCGTCTTGTACCTCGAAGGTGTTCCCGGCTCATTCACAGACCGAAACGTCACTGTTCTGCAGCTTCTCGTCAACCAGATCGGAATCAGTTACTCGAACGCTCTGGCCATGAAAGCTGTTGAAAAGGTCTCGGCCGAGAACGTCTCCATGGTGGCGCTCCAGAAGCGTGCTTTGGCTAAAGCGGTTGAAGCAGAAACCAAAGCCAGAAATGCCGAAGCTGAAGCCATCCGGAACGTGAAGCTTGCTGAAGAAGCCGCGAAGGCGAAGTCAATTTTCCTCGCCAATGTCTCTCACGAGCTGCGCACGCCCCTCAATGGTGTGATTGGAAACTCGGAGCTGCTCAGGGATAGCAACTTGAACAGGGAGCAACTGGAGATGGCTGACTCAATACGTGTGTCGGCAGATCTGCTTCTTACGGTCATCAACGACATCCTGGACTTTTCAAGGATGGAGGCAGACAAGATGAAGCTCTACATTATCGCATTCAACCCGGAGGAGATGGTTCGCGAAGTCGTCCGCGCAGCATCGTACAGCAACAAGGAAAAGACATCCAAGAAGAACGTCAAGATCGTCCACGACATCAATCTTCCTCCCATGTTGATCTACGGCGATCCCATTCGTCTTCACCAGGTCCTCGGCAATCTCATCGGCAACAGTCTGAAGTTCACAGAGGATGGCTCCATCACCATCGGGGCCAAGGTGGACTCCGAAACCACAGAGAAGGCGACGTTGACCTTTTGGGTCAAGGATACCGGCATCGGCATTTCACCACAGCAACTCGACAAGCTCTTCCTTCCCTTCAGCCAAGCCGACGAGAGCACAGCGCGGAAGTATGGCGGCAGTGGTCTCGGTCTCAGTATCTGCAAGTCACTGATCGAATCGACCATGAAGGGCAAGATCCGCCTGGAAAGTGAGGAAAACGTGGGGACAACCGTCCGGTTCACCGTCACGTTTGATAAGGCCAAGCCGGAGGTGATGGCAGGTGATACCCAGAGTACTTCGCCCGTTCAGATGGAGCCTCCACGGGACCGCCAACCGCGGCCACTTCCGGGTGCTGTGGAAAACGGCGATGTCGGCAGCGATCAGGTGCCGAGACCCTACATCGATCTCACCCATATCCCACGCAACCAGCTTCGAATATGCATTGCCGAAGACAATTCCATCAATGCCAAGATTGCCATGCAGTATATGCACAAGCTGGGTTATCCGAACGTCGACACCTATGACAACGGCCTGAAAGCAGTTGAGGGTCTGCGGGAGAAGGCGCGGCAGGGAAACCCGTATCATATCATACTAATGGACGTACAAATGCCAGTGCTGGATGGTTATGAGGCGACGAAGATGCTGAGAAACGACCCGATCGATGCTGTCCGCAAGATTCTCGTGATTGCCATGACGGCCTCGGCCATTCAGGGTGATCGAGAGAAGTGTCTCGCCGCGGGCATGAACGATTATCTCGCCAAACCGGTACGAGGGGAGTTGCTGAAGAGGAAGCTGGATACTTATCTGGGAGCGAGCGCGAGCATGAGTTTCAGTACTCAGGTTGGTCAGCCCAAAGTCACCACTAACACCACTGCCACCACTGCCACAGCCTCCACCACCTCTTCAACTCCCATCACAACCCCAACAACCCCCATGACTCCCATAACCCCAGATCAATGAGACCAACGATTTCTTGACATTCGAGAGTTGTGGTGTGCGAGTGCTTAAAGTCTGACGCCTCAGCTTGTGAACAGCGTTTCCTCGAACGGCGCTTTGCACAAAGACCCGGCAGCCCCCAACCCATCAACCCCGGCAGCAGCAGTCCCAAAAAAGATGTTGACACTCCACTTTCCTCGCCCGTACCACCTCCTCTGGCTGATAACACCGCTGCTTCTGCTTCCACTGTCAAAATCGGAGTGGGATCCGCTGCGGCTTCTCTTCGAGAGGTGGCGGCCAACAACGTGAGCGGCGGTGATTCGAGACCGTCTTCACCCAAACTCCTTCCTCTCGGCAGCAAGAACAACAACAGCAGCAACCACAGAAGAGGCAGCTCACTCGATATCCGCCTGCTCCGCCGCTCAGAGTCTGCGACAAGCCTCAGTAACGTCACAAACACCAGCGGCGGAAGCAGCAGCGGCAGCAAGAAGACTTCGTTGGACAGGCCTTTGTCCTTTCCATCTTCGTCGTCTAGCGAGCGGCGAGGATCGGTGCCGGACTTGGCAGCTGGTGGTGGTGGTGGTGACAAGCGGCAGCCTAAGAAACTAGTGAAGGCTCGGAAGTGATTTCGTTCTTCCCTTTTCATTTCTTCATCTCATTTGGGTCTTGCGGGTGGAAAATGTCAAGGAAGGGGAAGTGAAAGTGAGCAGGCATTCTGGCGGCCATGGGAAGTTGGACGGGCAAAGAAGTTTTTGGCGGTGCGATTCAAAAGAAACAGCCATATACCATAGAAAGAAAGAGTTTCAAAGATAGAGCGGCAGAGGGAAATGAGAAGGTGGGAAAGGCTGAGATCATAGGGAGGACATGTATAGGAAGCGAATTGCGGGATGAGAGACGGATGTATGTATGGGTTACATATCCTGGTTACCTCCGGTTTATACGTGTCTGGTGTGGTATGTGATTGTGCTTTCTGTATTTCTACTTGATTTTTTGTTTTGGGACGGAAAGGGGATGGAATATGGATCGCGGGTTCACATCATGATGAGCGGTGCAGCGAAAAGCATAAGGAACTAGTTAGTGCATGAAATGGGTCTTTTCTCGATTATTGTTGGCGCATCGTGGGAATGTGAAAGGTAGGAGGTTATCTGACGACATTATTGCTAATGTTTTCCGCGTCTTCCCTTGCAATCATTCTGGATCGTTCTGTCCTTTGGTTATCATGTCCCGTCTATATATCTACAAGTCACATTTCACAATTGGGTATCATAACAACTACCATCTCTCAGTGTAAATATAGCTTTGAAGCCAATTAGCTGCCCAGTAGTGAACTTGTCCCCTTAACCACAGAAGACACAAAAACAATTCAGGTGGTATATTATCATCTCTTGCAACATCGCTTGCTTATCTTGCTGAATCCATTCATTTTCCTCCTCCGCACTCTGCAACGAAGTCATCAAAATCATGACGACGATACCGAAGCCGCACCAGAAGCCGCCGCCCCAGCACCAGCAGCAGCACCGCCCGCCCCCGTCGGCTCAACCGGTTTCGTATACGTAACCTTCTCAACCGCCACGTTCTCCACCCCCTTTTCATCCCTCCTCAACTGATAAACATAAAGCGTCAACGAAATTCCCTGAACATCCATCAGACAAAAGCTCGGCACCACCTCCTCGTCTTCATCGAACCCCTTATCCTGCTCTTTTTGTCCTTCTCCATTGCTGCTGAGGTTAACAGCCCACGAAGCAGCAGTAGTAGTAAACGCCCCCGTCGCCGAACCCGGGTTCACAAAGAACTTGTCCATGTACTCGAAGCACTCGAACTTGTGCGTGCCGCCCCAGCAGAGTACGTCCACGTCCAGACGGTTGGCTTCGGCTAGCAGCAGGTCGGGTTCGTTGGACACCAGGGTGAATCCTTCGAGGAAGCCGATGCGGAGGTTGCCGTGCGTGACGACGGAGGTTAAGGGGAGGGAGGTCGCTTCGACGTCCATCCGCCCGCGAACGATCTTGAGGTCCGGAGCGATGGTGCGGAGGTATTCGTAGGTGGAGCGGTCGGTTAGGTTGCCGAGGCAGAGGGTTTGGGAGATCTTGCCGGGGGCGAGGAGTTTTTTGAACTGGAAGGAAGGGGTGTTAGTGAGGTTGCTGGTGTTGTGAGGAGGCGGGGGGGGAGAGGGAAACGTACTTTGGCGGGAATGTCCAGGGCCCGGTCTGGGATGTGGAGGTCACCGATTACGAGGATTAGGAAGGCCATTTTGGCGGATTGTTTAGATGCGCTTGAGGATAGAAGGTAGCTGGGAAAGTTGTTGTTGTCTGTTCAAAGGAGGCGCCGTGAAGATGACGTGTGCTGGAAGCCGTTGAGGTACAAGGAACTGGCGTTGTCGGTCAGGCAGCTTGTAGAGGGGCGTGGACTACCGTAGTATGAGTGTGCGCCGTGGTCTGATTCGTATTATGGTATTATTCGGCGTTGTCTATTTCGCGACAAAAACACCAATTGGCCGGGAGATGATGATGCGTCTGGTCGTCGATGTTGTTGTTGACGTCTCGAGTTCGAGCTTCGTCGGTGGGCTGCAGTGCGACAAGTGACAAGTGACAAGTGACGGAGGGGAGCCGATGTGGAGACGCGCGGACCTTGTCGGGCAAGCTGACAGCGACGGGGCCGGGAGTGTGACATGCGATGAGGTGAACTGAAGCCAAGGAACCCGGGAGCTTGGAGGGCTTGGCCTGCCGCCGCCGTGCCGCCGTGCTCCAGCTGCAGCCGGGTGTGGTCCCTCTCTGCCCTCAACCTTCCTCCCACAACAGCCGGAACAGTGGGGGTGCTTCAGGACTTCCATCAGTGGGGGACCTGAGGCTTGACACAACGCCCCCCCTATCCCCGCATTTTGAGCCTCTCGTCCCCACTCCCCAACCTCGAATGCGAACGGAGCGGTCCTGATAAATCTACTGTGTTCTCTAGTTAAATCTACGGTCCCCACATGCTGATACATGCTTAGTTATGTCAGCCACACTAGAATTTAGCGGTTAGCAATATCGATTAATATTGTCACTAATAATCCTCTCTGTCGTAACGTTGTATCGTATAAATCTTTATAATTTAAATTAGCAAATTGAAACTATCACTATCGCTAATATTATCACTATCGTAAGTCGTATAGTATTAAGGGGTAGAGAGTATTAATTAGCTGTTCGTCCTATATACTAATTTATTATACAGATGTTTGAAATTATCAACTTTACTAATTCTTTAGAGAAGGCCCGCGCGCTTAGCCTAGCGCCTTCGATCGAAATTACTTTTATTATTAAATACAAAGTTCCTTTCCTTTTCCTTCCTATTGTATTAAAGAAGGAGGTTAAAAATAAGGTTATTTCCTTTAAGGGCGTAGAATTATTATTTACATTAGAGCTGTATCCTTTCAATAAGTTCGATAATTGTACGTAGCCTACTTTTGATACCCTCTTTCTCAATACGAAGAAAGCGGCGTAAGTAATTGGTTTTACCTTAATAAAGAGGTAGGTATTTAATTACCGCTTAAGTAAGTTGTTACAGTATAATTTCGAGTATTTAGAGGGCGCGAAGTTAAGTAGTAGTAATAAAAATTTAAATTTAATAATAAAGCTTCGCTTATTAAGTAAAATTAGTAAGAAGGATTGTAAATAGTAAATTAAAGTTATATTGAACGTTAAAATAAATTGTTAATCTCTTATTTTTCTTTATTTAAATTATTACTATATTTTCGATATCGAGGTCGCTAATTATTTTATTATTAACCGTTACTTTAATTGTACGGAAAATATTACTACTAATATCGTTCGCCTATTGAAATAATTAAAAAGATTTATATTAAATATTACTTTCACCCTCCGTAATAAATTCTTTAGTATCAAATTAGTAAGGTACGACGTTTTTAATATATTATGGGGAAATAAAGCGAATATTATTAGTAAATCAATATTTATTTAATAATTTATTAATATTTTAGTAACCAAAGAGGGGGTTATTTACGCGTTTTATTATAATGGCAGGCGCGTTAATAGTTTTATCGATTGCGTTTTTTAGACGTACGATTGGTACGTGGAGTAGTTAAGGAAGAATTTAAAGGTTTGGAGTATAGATTATATATAAAGTTAATAAGCTTAATATATTTTTCTTTTAGATTTGCGGTGTTATTGCTATGTATATTATTTTTAATATCAATTATTATCTATTAAGTATGGAGAAGGAGGGTTACTTTTTGTAGATTTTTAAGTAATTTAAAGATTTTCTTACTATTAAAGAAATTCTCCTTCCTAACGTCATTATTACTAATTTCGATAAAGTATATAAGAAAGTTATACGGTAGGTTTTTAATAATATTATTTAATATTAAATTTATTTATAGTACGTTATAAAGAATATAATTTTTAATATTAAAAAGAAGTGGGTTAATTTTTTCGAAGGTATAGTATTTAGGAAGTAGGGTAGTAATAATAATTATTTATATAATGAGGAGGATTGTAAGGTTTCTTAGTAAGTTGCGGCGAGGTTTTTTAATAATAGTGACTGCGCTTATTATTTAGGTAATTTTATAAGGAATTTTTAATTTTAATTACAAACCAGATAAGTTCTAAAGGATGACCTTATTAAGAATTTTAATAAAAGGGTATAATTGGAGAACGTTAATAGTATTTTAGTAATTTGGAATGCTATCGTTTATTTTGATATAGAAGAGATATTTTGGAAAGAGTAAAGGATTCTTAAAAGCGAGTTCGTTAATTAGAACGGTAAATTATTTATCATTATATAGAATAATAAATAACGGGTTTCAATTAATTAATTCCTCCTTTTTTTTATAAATATTATTATTTACTTTTTTAATACGTACGTTTTTATAAGGCACGAGTTCAATTAGTTCGCTATTAAAACGTATTGTAATTTTAGTGTTAGAATTATTTTCTATATAGAGGGCACGTACAGCATATTGAAAATTCTATTTAAAAACTATTGTATATACTTTAATTAACTATTTGAAATTATTAAGGAGACTTTTAGCTGTTTATAGGAGAAGTATTGGGCGAATTATGCGATGTAGATTTTTAAGAGTATTAATTAATATTTTTATAGTATTTTTCAATGTTTATGATATTTTACTAGCTTTATAGGGTTCGATTTAATAAAAGTATAGTTGGATTTAGTATTAGAAGCTATTACTGATAAGCGGCGGGTTATAGAATGTAGTGGTTATTTTAGATGTAATTTAGTTTGCTTTGTTAGTACAAGATATTAATATTATTACGAGTCGATAAAGCGTTTATTTTAGAAGAATTAGACTATTATTAGCAGTTAAAACCTAATTAAGTAAGTTTTTAAAAGATATTTCCTATATTAACTTACGCTATAGATGATTCGTATTAATTTTTATCTTTTATAGCCTTTATTAGAGTAATTCTTTTATTTAGGTAGGGAGTAACATTTAAAACCTATATTTAATAAAAGATAGTAGAATTTTTAAGTATAAGGGTAAGTAATTAATAGTACTTAAGTTGTACTTATAGCCGCCTACCTTCCCCTCGCTTCGTTTGCGAGTATACGCTATAATCTTTTTTATGACGAATTTTTACGTTTATAAAAGAAGGTAAAGAGAATGATAGTTATTTAAGCGGTTATTTGAATATATGTAGAGATATAAGGTTTTAAAGATGTAGTTTCTTCTTTATTATATAATTTTTAAAATTTCTTATAATATTAAATATAGTTAGAGAGAGATTTGACGGCGAGGGCGGCTATATAATAGTAGTTATAGAGTTAGGGCGGTTAGGTACCTTTATTATTATAGTAGTAAGGCAATTGGGTATTTCCTTTAGTTTAATAGTAGGGCTTTAGCTTCTAGCCTTTATATTAGGCGCTTATAATGTTTTTATAGAGGTAGTAGTAATATATAGGGGCGCCTCTTGTACTAATTGTGTATTAGATAGTATATTAAAGCCCTTTAGTATAGTTATTTATTTAGAGTTAAGTTTAGCGAAGGTACCCTTATAACCCCTATAACTTCTATAATTAGAGTATTTAAGGGTAGCACTAGTAATAATCTAGCAATTTGACAGCACTTGGTATTTATATACGAATAAATATACTGGTTCTTATTATTTGAATGACCTTAATTTTATTTATTTTAGTAACGATGGTACTTTCATGTCGATTTGTAGTAGATTTATATAGGACTGACATCTTAGAGCATAGGGATATGGGCACGTGATAGGGCTGGTACATGTGGGGACCGTAGATTTAACCAGAGAATTTAGTAGATTTATCAGGACCGGAACGGAGGATCCGACCCCCGGCCCTTCCGGGATGCTGACTGTTCACAATTTGTGACATCTCGGCGACTTACAGGGTCCCCGGGCCTGTCAGCAGTCCGATCCCGGCGGAGTCAAGAGCGTCGAAGCAAGTACCGAATCGGTTGACGGCACCCGCCGCGCCGCCGCCAGCATGCCAGCGCGCCCATTCAGGGGAAGCCAGAATTGCGGAATGCCATTCTGATTTCGACGCATTACTTAACTGGATCTTTGGGGTTCTGGAACGCGGACTTGGCTCGGAATCTCTTGTCTGTAGTCGCTATAAAAGTATTTGCGCTGGCGTAATTCCGCTTCGGCACACGTTTTGCCGTCTCTTTCTTCAAATTCTTTTCTTGATTAGTTGTGTCTCTGACTCTGACCGACTTCCCCTTGTGGTTCACTTGTAAGAGCTCGGTAACAGGACTACAAGTCTACAAGCATCAACACTTCCTGGAACAGCCGCATTAGTTCGGGGAAACAGGTGGAGGAGCCCTGCATAACGCTCCCAACGCTTCCAAACTGGCACACTCAACGTCTCTTGTACGCTCGGCGCTTCGGCGGTCATCGGGACTCACGGGAATAACAGCATCGATGCCCCGCTCCAGCGGCCCGGTCGACTCCCCCGCTCGGCTGTCCCTCATCTCCCGTCACCTCGCCCCCGATTACCCACTCAACACTCCTTATACCGTTGAAAGGCACCCGGACAACATCGACACTTCTCTCTTGCCCAAGACACAAACCCGCGCCCTCACCACCGACGCCAATTCAGCCAACATGTCTACCCAGCCTGAGCACCCGACCCTCCTTATTCCCGGCCCCATCGAGTTCGACGATGCCGTCCTCAACTCCATGAGCCACTACAGGTGAGATCCGAACGGCGCAAACTGTCGCAACCTGTGAATACCTGACAATCTCAATGCGCAAGTGGCTGACCGTCCTACAACAGCGAGAGCCATGTCGGCCCTGGCTTCGTCGCTGTCTTCGGCGAGACCCTGTCGATGCTGCGCAAGCTGTTCCAGACCACGGACCCCTCCGCTCAGCCTTTCGTCCTGTCCGGCTCCGGTACCCTTGGTTGGGATCTCGTCGCCGCCAACCTGATCGAGCCTGGCGAGGATGCGCTCGTTCTCAGCACCGGTTACTTTGGCGATGGCTTCGCCGACTGCCTGAAGGTCTACGGCGCCAACGTCACCCAGATCTCTGCCGAGCCCGGCAGCCGCCCTCAGCTCCCAGAAATCGAGAAGGCCCTTTCGGAGAAGAAGTACAAGCTCCTGACCGTCACTCACGTCGATACCTCCACCGGTGTCCTCAGCGAGCTCAAGAACCTTTCCGAGCTCGTCCACAGGGTTTCCCCCGACACCCTCGTCATTGTCGATGGTGTCTGCTCCGTCGCCTGCGAGGAGATTGACTTTGATGCCTGGAAGCTCGATGGTGTTGTTACTGCCTCCCAGAAGGCCATTGGCTGCCCCGCTGGTCTCTCCGTCTCCATGTTTAGCGGCCGCGCCATCCAGGCCTTCCAGAACCGCCAGACTCCCCCTACCTCTTACTTTGCTTCGATGAAGAACTGGCTTCCCAGTGAGTACCACTTCACGTTACAAGCTACCCTTTTGGATACCAATTGCTGACGCATGATGCGCGCGCATTACAGTCATGCAAAACTACGAGGCCAAGAAGCCCTCTTACTTCGCCACTCCTTCTCCCCAGCTCGTTCGCGCCCTCCACACCGCCCTTACCCAGATCGTCGCCCAGGGCGTCAAGGAAAGGTTCGCAGCCCACACGGCGGCTTCGGATAAGATCAAGGCGGCCGTTGCTGCCCTCGGCCTCAAGCAGGTCGCCGCCAACCCCGACGACCAGGCCCACGGCATGACCGCCATCTACCTCCCCGAGAACGTCAAGGGCGCTGAGCTCCTTCCCAAGCTCGCTTCGAGAGGCGTTGTGTTCGCCGGTGGCATCCACAAGGCCATCGCGGCCAAGTACATCCGTTTCGGCCACATGGGCGTCAGTGTGTTGGATCCTAGCAGGGGCCATGTCGAGAAGGCCATCAAGGCTCTCGAGGAGGGTCTGTCCGAGTGCGGTTATCAAAAGGCTTAGACGTGGGGTGTAGTGTAGGGACGAGGTGTATATAAAAAGCCGGAGTCGTTTTGGAGTCGCGATATATACCATCTTGGATTTTGTTGATTAAAGAAAAGCTCTATGATCTGCGAAAGAACCTTGACGAAACCATTTCAGCGAGTGATATGGAAGTGAAACTGTCAAAACTGTCTAGCAAAGGTGCAGTGTGCAGTGACGTGCTGAAAATGCAAGACGGGAGAAATGCGTAGAAGAAAATAACGACCCCCTTCCCCACATCTTGCGAATGGAGTCTCTGTCCCTCGAAGGTAACCCTTGCATAAGTGGTTGCATAAATGGCAAGGCACGTCACTAACAACTGCAAGGCGGTTAAGATAGTCCGAGGACTAATTACGGTACCAACGCTAAGTAAAGTATATGAACTCATGATCAAATCATCACCATATATTGGTTCAAATCAAAACAGTTGGGAAGGAGGTACAGAACACTCACGGAGTCCCAAAAAGATCGACATGCCAACGACCTGGACGGGAGCTTGGAGAAGTACCGACGGGAGGCGAGGCGAGCAAACTAAGCGGGGCAATCCTGACGCCTGGGCCTAGGCATCTGGGGGAACCTACGGCGCTAACAGCAATGTACCGGATAGATGGGCCGCGATGAAGACGCGGAGATATCTCAGGATATATCCGGCCTAAGGAGTGTGCGGTTTTAAGAGCTGTAGGTTACAAGTGTGAAAGGTCAGAAATCTGTCTGTAGCGTTGTCTTCTTGACATACAAGTATGTTTAGTATATCTTAAACGATGGTGAAATTGTACATGTTCTGGTAATGGGACAAGAAGGGAGCTTTGAGGTACCTGCCCTTATATCGTACCAATTAGATAGAAAACTCACATTCTATATTAATAAGCTACTAAACATCCATCGAGATCACTTGACAAGAAATATCCAGCTTACATATGGTTACGGAACTTCTGCATATCCTTTCATCCAGAGCTCACAACAGGTCTTGTTGGATGGCTTTGGGCTGCTGCTGCTAAGACCACAAGTACCTTTTTGGGTTGCGCGCACGGCATCTGAAACCCGACGTGCCCTGCCAACGTGCTCCCAGAGGGAAGCCGTCCGTCCCAGAGGCGCGGAGTCCCGTCCAGTCGAAAGGTCCAGCGAGCGCGCGGAGGGCGTCAACATCCGTCAACCTCCGCAACGAACAAGGGCGTCCTGGGCGCGCATGCCAAATCGAGACGGGAGGCTGGTGGGGTCACGGTTCGGCCTTCTGAGCTTTCGACCCGGCAGCTCCATAACCTCCGTCATCCCACTGCAAATTGAAGTGCACATCCCACTGCACCGCCGCGCGCAGGCCCTTCACGCCTTTTGCACTTTCGCAGCCTCGAGGTTCGCTTTTTTGCCAAACCTTTTTGACTTGCACTGATCAACACGCAACTCGCAAAACGCCAACCCAACAACCCGACTCGACCCGTTCGTTGTTTCCTTCTCTCGCCCCAGCTCGCGACTACGACGATTGTGCCCCACGTCTCCTCCCGTCTGGATTATTCATTCCATCTCCCGTCCCCAGCAACGGTCAAGCCAGCCGCGCTTCGTTTCGTTTGGCACGCAACCGTGACCCGGACAGACAGACCTGGACCTAGGCCATCGCACACCACACCTGGACCCAAACAACTCAACACCCCTCACCTCACATCTTTCCACCTACCCAGTCCTTTTCCCCCGCCAAACCAGCAACGAGCTGTCGATCTCCTCCCATCTGCCTCGTCGACCTTTGGTAGCAGCAAACCCATCTTGCTCGAGACTATTCTCTGTTCAGCTGCCCGCTGTACCTACCTTGCTACTACCCCTCTGCATATCAACCCGGTAGAGGAACGCGACCATGCCCCTCTCCATCGAGGAACTGGACAACCAAGTCCGCACCTTCTATGAAGGTCGCGGCGAGACGGTAAATAACGAGGTTGTGTTCTGGTTTGTTCTGTTTAAATGCTGACATTCTGCTTTTTTGCTTCATTAGCAAGCTCAAGCCCAAACTGTCTTGAACCAGGTATGTCTGCCTATAGTCAAACCCTACACCCTCTCGTCGTGACAACCAGGGCTAACATGCATCCTTCAAATAGTTCAAGGAAGATCCCGATGCCTGGTTGATGGTCGACGAGATCCTCCAGAAGGCCACCTACGAGCAGACAAAGTGTCCGTCAACCCCACCCACATACCAAACAGTTCGTTTCGAGGATGTCTTGTACTGACAGGGCTTGTAGACTTGGGGTTACAGGTCCTCGACAATGTGATTATGACGAGGTGGAAGGTGCTCCCCCGCGAGCAGTGTCATGGTAAGCGAAAACACTGCCGTATCGGAAGCTTGCTGCTCCCCCAGCCGCTGACCTCGCTCTCTCAGGTATCCGCAACTTTGTCGTCCAGTATATCCTCCAATGTTCGAGTTCCGAAGAGCTTCTCAAGACCCACCGTGTCCTGCTCAATAAGCTCAACCTTGTTCTCGTCTCCGTCCTCAAGCAAGAGTGGCCTCATAACTGGCCTACCTTCATCAACGAGATTATCTCTGCCTCCCGCTCGAGCCTTTCGATCTGCGAGAACAACATGATCATCCTGCGACTCCTCTCCGAAGAGGTCTTCGACTATTCCGCAGAACAGATGACGTCGACAAAGACACGGAACCTCAAGACTACCATGTGCGCCGAGTTCTCGCAAATTTTCCAGCTTTGCCAGGAGGTCCTCAACTCTGCCAACCAGCCCAGCCTTATCAAGGCCACCCTCGAAACACTGTTGCGCTTCTGCAACTGGATCCCTCTCGGCTATATCTTCGAGACCCCTCTTATCGAAACCCTTAGGACGCGTTTCTTGGAGGTTCCCGAGTTCCGCAACATTACTCTCCAGTGCTTGACCGAGATTGGTGGTCTGCAAATAGGAGGTCCTACGGGTCAACAACCCAACTATGGCGAGGCCCTCATCAAGATGTTCACCGAGGTCCTGACAACCATCTCCAATATTATTCCTCTCAGCATGGACTTGAAGGCGACCTATCCGGCCAGCAACTCTCGCGACCAGGAATTCATCCAGAACTTGGCGCTGTTTCTTTGCAACTTCTTCGGCATGCACCTGCCCGTAAGTAGCCAAGATCTGTGAGTTTATGATCGTAGTGCTAACATGGCGTCTAGCTCATTGAAAACCTGCCGAACCGTGACTTCCTCACACATGGCCACTACTACCTAATTAGAATTTCGCAGATTGAGGACCGCGAAATCTTCAAGATCTGCCTCGACTACTGGCTCAAGCTCGTCCAGGAGCTTTATGAGGAGATGCAGGCATTGCCCCTTTCCGACATGAACCCTCTTCTTAGCGGTGGTCTGCAGACCAGCGGCGCCCCGAACCCGGCCCTGCTCAACAACTACCCCCTTCGCAAGCACAAGTACAACGAAATCCTTTCCAACCTGCGTGTTGTCATGATCGAGAAGATGGTGCGCCCCGAGGAAGTCCTCATTGTCGAGAACGACGAGGGCGAGATTGTCCGCGAGTTCGTCAAGGAAACCGACACTGTCCAGCTTTACAAGACCATCCGCGAGTGTCTCGTTTATCTCACACATTTGGATGTGGTCGATACCGAGCAGATTATGACCGACAAGCTCGCACGCCAAGTCGATGGATCCGAATGGTCATGGCACAACTGCAACGTTCTCTGCTGGGCCATTGGTTCTATCTCTCTCGCCATGAACGAAGAGACGGAGAAGAGATTCCTTGTTACCGTTATTAAGGATCTTCTTGGACTGACTGAAATGAAGCGGGGCAAAGACAACAAGGCCGTCGTCGCCAGTAACATCATGTACATTGTCGGCCAGTATCCCCGCTTCCTTAAGGCGCATTGGAAGTTCCTCAAGACAGTCGTCAATAAGCTGTTTGAGTTCATGCACGAGTCTCACGAGGGTGTCCAGGACATGGCCTGCGATACTTTCATCAAGATCGCCAAGTCTTGCAGACGCCACTTTGTTGCGCTCCAGCCTAGCGAGTCTCAGCCTTTCATTGAGGAGATCATCAGGGACCTTGGCAAGATCACTTGTGACTTGACTCCTCAACAGGTTCATACTTTCTATGAGGCTTGCGGCTACATGGTAGCTGCTCAAGGCAACAGACATCAGCAGGAGAGGCTCCTTTCTGAGCTTATGCAGATCCCCAACATGGCGTGGCAGGAGATTATTAGGCAAGCTAGCCTCAACCCTAACATCCTCCAGGATGCGGACACCATCAAGGTTATCGGCAACATCATGAAGACCAACGTTTCTGCATGCTCATCTATCGGTACCTACTTCTTCCCTCAGATCGGCAACCTGTATAGCGACATGCTTCAGATGTATGCCGCCACAAGTCAGCTGATTTCTGAGGCTGTTGCTCGTGAGGGTGAGATTGCTACCAAGATGCCCAAGGTCCGCGGTCTCCGGACCATCAAGAAGGAAATTCTCAAGCTCATTGAGACCTATGTCGACAAGGCTGAGGACCTCCAGGCCGTACGGGAGCAGATGGTGCCTCCTCTCTTGGATTCGGTGCTTGTTGACTACAACCGTAACGTTCCTGGTGCTCGTGACGCCGAGGTCTTGAGGGCCATGACCGCTATGATTACCAAGCTCTCGGCTTTGATGGAGGACCAGGTGCCGATCATCATGGAGAATGTCTTCGAGTGCACGCTGGACATGATCAACAAGAACTTCTCCGAATACCCCGAGCACCGTGTCGAGTTCTTCAACCTCCTCCGCGCTATCAACCTTCACTGCTTCCCTGCGCTTTTGAAGCTCGACAACCGTCAGTTCAAGTTCGTTATCGACTCTTGCATGTGGGCCAGCAAGCACGACAACCGCGATGTCGAGACTGCGGGCCTTAACATGTGCCTGGAGCTCGTCAACAACATCGCCGAGAAGACTGACGTCCAGACCTCCAACGCTTTCTTCAACCAGTTCTTTGTTAGCATCCTCCAGGATGTGTTCTTCGTTCTTACCGACCAGGACCACAAGGCTGGATTCAAGACCCAGTCCATGCTGCTCATGCGCATGTTCTACTTTGTCCACCCCGCCGATGGCTCGCCCCCAAGGATCCAGGGCCCCATTTACCAGCCCGATCAGGCCCAGCCAGGTACTGGCAACAAGGAGTTCCTGACCATGTTCGTTGGCAACTTGCTGCAGAACGCTTTTGCCAACCTTACTCCGTAAGTTTTCTTTACTAACTTTGAACCTTGTATCGTACGGAGCTAACCAAAGTGCAAAACAGTGCCCAGATTACCTCGTTTGTTGAGGGTCTCTTCACCCTTAACACCCAGTACGACAAGTTCCGCCTCGCGCTGCGTGACTTCCTCATCTCCCTTAGGGAGTTCGCCGGCGACAATGCCGAGCTCTACCTCCTGGAGAAGGAGCAGCAAGAGACGGCGGCCAAGGTGGCCGATATCGAGAGGAGATCCAAGGTCAGCGGCCTGCTGAAGCCCAGCGAGCTCGAGGACGATGAGCTGTGACTAGTTGGAGAGGAGCTTAGGAATGAGTTTGCGCCGACTCACGAGTTGCGCCGAGATGACGTACCACCAGAGCAGCCACACATGAATGGGCTGGCTGGTGCTGGTGATGTGGCGAAAGGAAAAAGAAGCGGCGGCGGCAAGGATCACGACCAATTCGGTGGCGATGGATGGGAGTTTTATGGTCTGTGAAATGAAATATGGCGGCGTTCTTTTCTTTATTATTTTTGTGTTTTGTAAGTCACCAAATCAGTCGTATTTCTTGTATGAAACCCAACCCGGCATTACTTCAAGAGCCGACCCGCCAGAATCAGTCAGTTTAGAGGTAGTTACTACTGAATGAGTATCCTGCTGCCAGCCTCTTGTACTTGCTTTTTTCAACTCTTTCTGATCGATCATGAGAAAGTGGGTCGGCGGTATTGCGCTGTCTGGTTGAGCATGTGGAGGAAAATGCTGGTGATAATGAGGATTCCTAGGCGGTAATACAGGAAAAGGGAGAAAAAATATGTAAACTAACTTGGCTGCTCCAGTAAGGTAATCAATCGGTGCGTGATACACTCTCATCGGTCAACTTTCTCTGTACACACTTCTCCCACCGAGACAGTACCTTGCCTTGAATTTACTCGTAAAACCATAAATGCCAAGCTACAATGCACCTTTCGCTTCAAATTGTGTTCCTAAGAACGAGATACGGTTGATAACTGCCTGTAGGTATGTATCTTACCAAGGTAGTGGACGACTGGGACTGTGTTCCTTCCTTCCCTCCCTCGGCCCTTTCCTTTGCACCTTCCCCTTCCCCTTTCTCCTACCTCCTCCTCTCATTTCAAAGTTCCACTCCGGTTCAGTTCACGTAAAATGATCTGATTGGATCGAATCGGGTCGGATGGGGACACATCTGGTTCCTCTCCTCCAGTTCATTCCGTTCCTTACTTGGTTGTTTTCAGGTATCGTTCATTCTGACCTCCACCTCTATCTATCCGGACGCGAAGCGTGTAGGTTACTAGGCACGTGTGGAATACTACAAACCTCTACATAGGTATATTGCTATGTTGATATGTTTTTTGGTCAAAGTATGTTCTTATTTCCCCTTCGTGCCCGGGCGGGGATTTTCCTTTCTGGTGGGATCAGAGGCAACGAGGTCGGCGCGTTCTCCTTTCTTTAACCCGCTTCAGGTTGTACGGTATGTATGTACGTATATCAAGAATTTCTCTCTAGCTTGGTGCTTTCTCCCTTTGTTGGCCCTTCCCGCCTCTTTGCTCGCAGAGAGCGATATATGTATGTGTTGTGCTGGTTGCCTTTTACTTTTACTGTGATTCCCACTCATCCGCTGTTTCCGTTCTTTTGTCATGATGTTTCTCTTTTCCTGTAGACATTAAAAGTGTAGGTTACGCACAGCACTGCAGTTCTTCTACTTATTCCCAACTTTCGGTTTTTTTCTTCTTCTTGTTTTTCTTCATATATTTCCGGGTTTGTCGTCCCACTGCGGGTACGAAAGAGAGATTGTTCGAGGCAGGACTGAGTGCTCCTGCCATCTCGAGTGCAAGACTTGCTCCTTCCTGTCTCGCAGTTCAAATGTAGCGTTGAGGGAAGGAACCGTCGAGACAAGAGACACTGGCATTTAGATCTATGATGTTGTTTTCTTCTGCAAAGAGAAGGTGCGATGCGTGGATTCCAACTTAAACTCACGTGTGCTTTTTAGACTCTTAGGAGCGGAACCCAACCGAGCCTAGGTTCACATGTCGTTGAAAGGTTGGCACGGCAACGATATATGGCCGAGTGAGAGAGAACTCTGATAGAGCTTGCCGAGGCGATACAAGGCATGATCACTCATAGGTAGATAGAGTCAATGAGAAAGTTTGGGAAGCAGATTCAGCATCTTTCTCTCATCCCGAATACCATAAACTGACCCAGGACACTCGACGACCATGAATGCGTAGACACGGAGTAAATGGGATAAACACCCATTGTTTTAAGCCCCTGGCCGGATTTAATGACCATCTCTTACCCTTGTCTCTTACCCAGGGTATACTATGGTGAGATGGGTAAGTAAAACGGGTGGGTCAGGTCGCTGACGGTCTCTGGCACTCGAGTGGCCATACAGAGCCACGAAGCTTTGCTTGTACTGGTCCGTGCCCGGTACCTGACAAGGGGGTTTTACTTTGGCTCGCAACCGCAGTATATAAGATAGTTACCTACAGTACCAAGGCATCTTACCTACACACCTCCAAAAACGGTAAGGCCAAAGGTCAGAAAGGAGGAGCGTGCTTACCTATATCGCTACAAGAGCCGGTTCGGTCCAATGTAACTCCGCTCCCTCAAACCTACAACAACCTAGTAAGTCTGGGGTATAGCAAGCGGTCCTAATAAGCTTGCAACGCAAAACCCGGGGGAAGTGGTAGACGGGATGGGTTGCGGCGGTGATTGCCCGCATATCATGCACTAGCGAGCACACAATCCGTCTGTGAAGTGTGGTGAGGTTACACCAGTGACTTAAGGGAAACAGACCCGGCGTCTCGCGCCCTCCTGTGCCTCGTAGATCCATCCCATCTATCCATCCATCCATCCATCCATCCTACCGCTTGCTCTTCCCCAAAGCATAGAGATACCCGGGTATGCAGAGGTCGAGACCGGATCCAGCTCTGTGGCGTTGGGTATATGTCTGCGGTGTTAAGCAAAGTTTGAAAAGGCCGCGCAACCTTTTGAGTGACTCCTCTCCATACAGGGGGGCCATTGGCCGGTTGTTTTTCTTTCTTGTCGTTCGATAACGGGATGCTAATGCTTCCCGCGTTCCTGTTTACCATAAGCAAAGCCCATCAAAGTGCGATGTCGGTGAAGGAAATGGCTAATATACGATGAGTACCTTGTCTGTGCGTCTTGCTGTAAAACAGCCTCGGTGGCTTGACCTGCTGCGTGCTTCCAGCAAGCAACCGTGCTGATTGCTACCACGACAACCACAACACGAGATGTGTTTCCAATCCCGGTATGTGGCATACACTTTACTTGCTGTCTTCCAGATACCACGACCGCAACTCCCTCCCGCTCAGCCTATGCCCAAGCCGGCGGCAGTCGTCCATTTCCTTGTTTCAGTGGGTTCAAGCTGTACCACAAACAATCCCGCACATATCACCGGAGGTCCGATCGACCTTGTCTCTTTTTTTGCTTGGCAGATTCATTGACACTCTGGGAGGAAAAGAAAGCGGAAGTGTGGGCTCATAAGTGGACAGCCGTGAGGATGCCATCTGCGAGCATTGTGGCCAATCGAACGGCTTTCCAGAGCCAATCTGTATCATGGTGAACACAACAGTATTCACTAAAACCCGCTCTTCGATCGCAACAGTGTTGAATAACGCCATGAGCCACAGTAGAGTACGCGTGTCTAAGGTAAGAATACCCAGGTGTTCTGAACACCGCAGTGAAAAGCCCATATTACGTTTCTGGCAACCCCATGAGCCTCATGGAGTCGACATCATCGCCTGATCATAGCAGCAATGCATTCCTTTGGCTGGATACATGCCAAAAGCGGAATACATAAAAAGGAATATCTGCCGCTCCGGGGGCCTTGCCTGCTGGATAAGACACCGCCGACACGTCCCCGCAGTTCCAGAAGAGCTTCGTTGAGCACATTCTACCCTTGTAGCAGCTCGTGCCTCCCCTTTTGATGTTTTTTCTGGCAAGAGGGTGTTGGCAATAATTGTCCAAAGGATAGAACATGCATCTCTAGCAGCTGCTGCCATAAAACCCAGCCTTCTCGCGTGGGTGAGCCTACACACGCAAGTCTAGGTATCAAGGGCCCAATGAAACGGTTGACATGGAGAGTAACCATCTGTGGCGTATCCCGGAGGGGCATGATTCTTCGTGATCATAGGACAATGCCCCAGAAATGGCCGACTTTCAGAGGCATTCGTGAGACGGCCAAGCCACGCCACTCTCGTGCTTCCACCGCCGAACGAATGGAAGCTGTAGTCCAATCGGTTCTTATATTGCTCTGATACCCGTGCTGTCATGCCCCAGTGCCAGGAAACCCGTTGTTCATCATCAAACCTGATACGGCTCGCGTATCTTTGCTTCCCTACCGTGATGCCGGTCGGAGTAATTAATATGGTAGCTCTGATTGCGGCGCCTGGGTATACATTGAATGCATAGGTTCCTCGGGAGGCCAGACCAAGGCAGATGAGGTTACTAACCAGGCAATACACTAGCAAGGGGCTGACTGACACCAGGGTTGACGCTCCTGCTTGAAGCTTCCGGAAAGGACCAGACGACGAACTCTCTGAAGGAGGTTCCCCGCACAAAACTGCCTTGCCTGTCTCCTTTGCGAGGGCATGCTTGCGAGCTCCCAAGGACCATGGGGAGCACATGGTTGGAGCAATCGCACGGTGTTGCATTGACTGGAATGAGCTTCCTTCGCAACGGCGGGACGAGATAGGAAGTTGCGTAGTTTCAGATTGTCTTGGTATCAAAAAGCATCGGGCTCAAACACCCAAACAAGGACCTTTCAGTTGCCATGCAGGCGCCACATCGGCATGGGATGGCATCCACCATTGAGTTCCCACGATGGACGCCAGTAGGCGTCGGCCCTTTGTTGACTCGGGTTCGAACATGTGAGACCTGAGCACATTTATTTGCGGATAGATACCAGGCCCATTTTTCCAACTCAGCTGGCTATAATACGGCTCTTGACCAAAGGCGTTTTTTTTTGTGACTGAATTGCGGGTCCATGCCACATACCGGGGGGAATCCCAATATGTCAAGAGCCTGGGCTCTGTCGTTGATGTAGCACGCTGTGCTAGTATTTCCAGTTTCCCAAGAGGCGGAGTGGTCAACTGTCGTACCAAAGGGCCTGAAGGCAAGAAAATCACCGATCCTGGCTAGTTGGGCAGTGCTGTATGCACGGATATTGCGTTTATGATCTCGTGAGCTGGTTATCTCTTCGTCGACTTTGGGAGCTCGTAAGCAGGAATAAACCGTTGTTCGTTATTCATCAGGACTGGGAACGCCTCCATCCTGAGCAACGCGTACGATTAAAGGTCGCTGTCCGGACCTTGGTGATAAGATCACTCAGACTTTCCAATGCAGCGTTGTTTCCTGTGCAGGAACCTGCGTTGAACTCTTTTTCTTGCGTGCAGGCATTGCGCGCGTGGCCATCCGTATGGCATTTACATTGCATATACGCATTACAGACCCGGCGAAGAAACGTGGTTGAGCTGACATGCCGCCGGTGGTTAAGGTCTGCGCAGCCAGACAGGAGATCCTGGGTGTCTGTGTTTCGCCGCGAACGAATGGATGTCTGTGTGTATCTTTTTGCGCCTAGGATCGCAGTGTCTTGTCTCTTTCACAGCGACAAAAGTCGCAAGTTATGGAAGGTCGACCCAACGCTACGTACCGCCCTGTCAGCATGCGCCGGCAAACGACACCAATTAGGACGAGGGAGCATCAACATACCATTAAAAATCCAATACCGGTATGTCTAGAGACCGAAGACACGGGAATATAGGCAAGCTCTTGGGAGTCAAGACGGATACCTTGCAGGATACAATCTACCCGCCGGTCCGATCTTCGACTAGAGGTGGAAAGCGAATGCGAATAGATAATTTGGGCTGGCTCCTGGCTCCTGGCTCCTAGCTTGTGGGTATCCGATGATGGCGGCATGTATCATGTGCTGGAGGAAGATGGCTCGTTGCGGCGAAAAGGAAAAGATGATTCCATGCATGACGGAAGTCGACAAATCCCGACACTGGCAGAGTGTGGCTTGGCCATTTGATGGACTCTGTCTCGTTGCGAACGTGGTCGGGAGAGCGAGATAGATGAAATTCGGTTGCCCGAGACATTTGATGAGGTTAAGGTTAGTCGGGAGAAGATAACGTCGGAGTGTCTGCAGTGGTAAGCGTGGATGTCTGGGAACACAAGCACAAAGGGCATGGTCTGGGGTCTGGGGTTTGGGATCTCGGGGACTGGGTGGCAGTGACCATGCCACAGTTCGGTCGTGGACATTTCTGGACTTGTTGAGGTGGAAGCTCCGGCCTTGCTGTCGTGCTTCGTTGTGTCTCTGTTTCACCGCGGCCACTGTATCTCTTGTCCGAGTCTTTGTGCTCCAGTTGACGACATGGGCCCGGGACCCGTGAAGCTTGTCTGCTTCTAGGGCAGTACAACTGAAAGCACGACTGAATCCTCCGCCATTGGATCATGCCCGAAGAGTGCATGATGTTCAAGTTCCAGTTCCACTTGTCGCCGCAATCCCAACCTCAAGTGACCGACTCACCCATCGGGGCAGGTCATTCCTTCCTCGTGAGCCCGCAGCGGAGCAGTGCAGGTAGTGAGACCGGCAGGGTTGCAACTTCCATCATTATCTTCACCACCAGGCAGCGACGGACTCGGGATGCGATATCGGTCAGGCGGCGGTGGCATTGGCAGCTTCCAACCTTACTGCTGGAGGCAAGGGATGGTCCCTCATCCCGCCGTGAAGCGACTGTTACGACTTCCCAGGTTGAGCTGAGCTTGTTTCGACAGCCGCTCAGATGGGGCAGGCGGAGAGGGGGCAGACCGAGACCGCTCGGACCCGTTCGCAGTTGCACTTTCCGTTTCAACAACTTGCGTTTTGGACTCAACCGACGCAAGAGGAAGGTTTAAGATGTTGTGCTGTCGACTCTCACAGCGGTGGTGTTTCTGCGGAAAGATTAGTTCCGAGTCGCATCACAAGATGCAGTGGTGAAAAACGAGACACACTTGTGAGGCACCCCGGCTCATAGCTCGAGCCAAGACTCGGTAACTGGTATCGCCAGATGTCTGCCACCTGCGCGCTTCCCTCTTCGGTGCTCTTCTTGGCGGCTGGCGGCCCGTCGGCACATGCCCTGGCACTCCTAGCTCCGATTCGGCCCCGCAAGTTATCATCGGACCCCCTCCTCTTCTACAAACCATCGTTACACATCCCGAACCTCAATCGTCCCAAACCTAACCAACTCCATGTCTTAAGTTGTACGCGCTATAGTGCAATTGCCGGTGTATCCTCCCGGCGTGCTCTTCCGTAGGACTGAAGCGTCCAGACCTCCAACCTAGCCCATGTGTTGTTGATATCTTGATACAACAGAACCCGGGCGTCAACTGTCGTCTGTCTTGGCTCAGGCTCTCCAACACGAAGGTACATGATGTTCCGGGCCGGTGACCTGACGACCTCTTGGAAGGGGTGAGTCGCAGAGCTTGAGAACATCTCCAAGCTACGCGAGCAACTGAGGCGAGGTAGCCGCTGAAGTGGAATCGAACCAAAGCTCCTTCCTGTCTTCTGGCAAAAGCTAATGCCGTGGGAATACCAATGACGAACCCGCATGGGTATCCAATTTGATGTTCATTGCAGCTGGCCCGCTGCACATTTCAAGGACGCAGCACCTTCAAAGTCTCACGCGGCTGCAGGCGCGAGATCGGCTGCGACCCTTTTTAGCGTCTAACAAGTTGAATCCCTTTGCTCTCGGCGCTGACCTCTGACAGCAACGCTCCAGCTTTCCCCACCACACCACACCACCCATCATCACGGTTTGATACTGGACCTACCGGTAGCTTTCTTTTGCTGTGTAGGGCGTTTAGAGCACCCAAGACCGGATCTGGAGCGAGCCATTACGACGACTGTTTCCCACCGGGGACCCTTTCTACCAACCATATCGGAACTGCTACGGACCACATCGACGCCATCCATGTATTCCCACGTCATGTCCAAAGCTGGTATGCGCCCGAGTCACGACATGAGCACCCTCAACTTCCATATTAGCTCCAGCCGAAGCGCCTCCTATTAGCCGTTTGCCATGTGGTACCGCGCATCCCCAAAACGTCACATCTTCCCTCCTTTCGCGGTTAACCAGCTCACAGCTGCGTCGGGCCCGGCCTAGCCTCAACGGTGATGATACAGACCCTTCTATCAATCATGGACCGCCTGTTTTATAACAGCAACGTTCTGGTAATGCCCGGCAACATCAGCCCCATACGCCCAACTCCACCATTAGAGGCATCCGATGAAGCCAAGATCAGACCCGTGAACGACACTCTATTGTCCATGACAAGTTAACAGTCCGGACCAGCCACTGCTTTAGGAAGCTCCAGATGGAGAGGTACCGATTTCTGATCCTGTGGCCCGCGAGAGTGCGTCAAGTTGGCCCTTTGCGAGGTGGAGGGGCTCGAGGGGATACTGCATCCGGTATCTTTGCGGTCCAGGATGCTCATCCTGGCTCCAGCTTGTAAACGATACAGACACCACCCTCTTGACTCTTTGGAATATTTGGAGCTCTCCCATTCGCTGTGCCCTTACGGACCACACCCTGCATCCACCAAGCTTGGACCCCAGTCTCGTGGGCCGTCTTGTCCGTAGGGGTGCGCTTTTCTGGGACGCAAGTTTGGGCAGCTTTTGGGAGCTCTAGGTACGTTTTCACACGGCCCAGAACCCACTATAAAGCCTGTAACGAGGGGAGGAGAGAGGGCGTCTTACCAACACGGTATAACCAAAAACAGACGAGGGAGTCACATCTGTCCTTGCAAAAATTCCATCACCACAACACGGCGACAGTGACAGCCTCACCCTCGCCTCCATCCTCACACGCGCCAAACCCTAGTGGCGTGGACGAGCCAAGTGGCATTCCAACCAGCAGTCAGCGGTCAAGGATATCAAAAGGGAAGGGCCTTGTCTCTATCACTGTCCGCCTTTCTTGTCCCTGTTTGCTCTCCCAGCTTCACAGGACAGGTATTAATCCCTCCAGATACTATACTGGCCGGAAGGCCTGACTACATGTATCTTGGATGACCCACGATTCCCTCCTTGAAGGAGATGATTTCTTTGCCCTGATCCTTTTTTCCTCATCTTTTTTGTTCATATATCCACTCGTTGCACTAGCCTTTCGTTAGATACCTCTTTACCTTCTTATCGTTCGTTGTTCCCTTGCCAGTTCCCGCGTGGCCGGGCTACATCCGTCTTTCACCAGCTAGGCACTGGCTCCATCTCCACGATTACACCCTTGCGGCAATCTTTTCTGACACACGCTGCCTCGAAAAGAAATAACACAGGGCTCGCCGTGCTCTCCACATTCTTGTTTTGTGCGCGGCTGCTTTCCCAAACCGTAATTTGTCGCTTCAAGTTGCTTCTTCCAGACCCTCGGCTGTCCCTGTAACTACCTCTAGCTCCGCTCATCTCAACCCAACTCGAGGATTCCCAACACCCGAGCGTCCATCTCGTCCGGCATCTGCTCCCGTTAGAGGCGCCCCTGTCTGTGTCCATAGCTTCGAGAGTTGGAATACCGTTGCCGAACAGGCGCTGTTATCCACTGAGGGCTAAAGAGCAAAAGAAAATCGGATCCAGTCTCCAGACGGGGCAGTGAAGAGACCGGAACTAGGAGACCCCCGCCACTCTCAGGTCACTATTACGAGTCCTACTAGCTTCTCCGCCTTGAATGTTGTCTACACTTCGTCTTTTACCTGCACGGCTTGCAGTCGATCCTACCCATTTTCTTCTCCCTGAGCACGACTATATTTTTTAGGCGCTATCCAATGGCCAGATGAGGGTTGGCTGCCACTTCAACGTCTCATCACTACACACCCCTCGCCGAAAGAGCCCTTCGTCACTAGTACTACTAGAACACTGGGCTGGCCGCCCCATCCAGCTTCTTATTCCACTCCAAAGGTTATTTCCACTTCTTTCTATCCCTCCCCTGTTTTCCTCACCCTGCTTTCTCATCTCGTCATCTTCCTGTTTGTATGAACTAGGCTGCCCCTTTACCAGCTCGGATCTCGTTGCACTGGAGCTTCCACTCCACGCAATATCAACATCTTTCCTCCTCCACTGCGTTTACTTTTTCCATCCACTGTCCTCACCCTCACCCTCCTTCAACTTATATGAGGATGCTTACCATCAACAAATCAGCTCAGTACGGCTACAGGTCGGTCCATGATTTACCAACACCACCGAGCACATCACGGCCTTCTCCCCCCTTGATATCCCAAGAGTTTGGTCACAGGACCTTTCCGGCCATCACACACAGCGGCAACCAATCCAGTCAATCCATGTCTGCGCCTCACCGTGGCTTGCCCCTGCCGGCGGCCATGAACCCAGTTCCGCCGCCTCCTGGTCCGGGACTCGTCCAACAACCTCCGCCACCCGTCCCCAGCTTGTTAGGACACGCTCACCCGCCACCTGCACCTTCGCAAGGTCAGTCCTTGGGACAGATTCCAGCACCGCCGTCGTGGCAACATGGGAACGAGGAGTCGATGCGAGTGTGGCTCATGGCCAAGGCTGAGGAAGAGAAGCGGAAGCAGGAAGAGGAGAAAACACGGCAGGAAAGCTTCCGCCTGGAGCAACGCAAAACGGAGTTCAACATCTTGAGAGAGTCACTTCAAGGTGGAGTTCCACCGGCCATGGTACCAGTGGTCTTCGCGGGGATGAGTGGGGGAGCCCTTCCGCAGGCCGCCCTGGACTGGGCACAGCAGTACATCTACTCGCAGTCTCACCAGTCCCATCCACAGGCTTTGTTACCGCCGGGGCCTATCTCACCCCAACATCAAAGGCGAGAATCTCAACCCCACAGCTACGCGTACTATCCGGGCTCGGGAGGGGTTCCCTCAACTCCAGGCTCTGCCCAGGGTCATGGAGGCGGGTACATGTCTGGCTATCCGGGCTCTCCACAGACTCGTCCGAGAGGGCAAAGTGTTCCTGGGCCTATGGCAGGCCGCCTCCATGGAGGAATGGCCAATCTTCCAAACCTCAACACCAACATTTCTGGGGGCCATGGAGGTTCCGCAGCCGCTCATCCGGCGATTGCCCAATCCCAGCAGCAACAGGAGCCTCAACAATCACCCTCGATACTTTTCCATCACTGGACACCACCGACGAGTCAGGCAGGAGGACGGGGCGGGGCTGACCAGCCTGCAACACCTTCAGGTTTGTCCCAGTCCAAGTCTCGCTCTCGAAAGACTGGCGGACTAACCAGTGCGTCCACACAGTAGGAGAGTCGCCGAGGAAGAGGAAAGCTACGGGCCCGCAGACGGCAGCACCGCCACCAAGCAGCTCACAGCGGTTTCGGTCCCCGACTTTTTCACATAGTGGTGCTCCGTTGTCGAACCCGCCGGCTGGGCGTAAGAGAGGTCATTCTCGCCAGCGGAGTGACATAGGGTCATACCGTGGAGCTGTTCGAGGGCGTGGAGACGGTTATGTGCCATCACCACAGGATGCACCCAAAGACAGCGGCGAGTCTTTGGCTGCGCAGCATCAACACCAACAGCATTCACAGCACCATCAACACCAACACGGACAGGGGCATACGCAGTCCTCGCAGGCCCAACAGACAGCTCCGACAGTGACACGTAGCGCGCACTCGGTTTCGTCACTGTTGTCGGATCATCCACAATCACCTCGGCCCGGGCAGTTCTCAGAAAGAGGCCGATCCTCCGAGGAGAAAGTGCGCGGTGGTGCAGTTGGTGGATCATCGGCCACGCGAGACAGAGATAACGACTGAACCTTAATTTCTTCCGTGTTTCAGCCTCCAAATCCCGGGCTCAAGGTACTGCGGTGACAATGAAGGGCTGTCCCAACAACGACCAGTCATCGAGCAGGGCGTCTTGGCGGACGTGTACCCTTGCGATATCCGGACCCCATGGAACGGACAAGCTAGGATTGGGATCAAACCGTGCCTTGATCAGGAAAAGGCTGCTATGCCCCCTGTGGCCTGGACTCCGACGGCCTCGCATCACAACTTTCGCTTCTGTTTGACAAACTCGTTTTCTCACAGCATTTTTGGTTAGGGCGTCAACGCTGGTTTTTGTTCAATTCGATCTATAACCCGAGGGCAGAGGATGAGCTGAGTTTCGAAGCTTCCCCCTCTTGTCCCGCTCTGGGTGGGTTTTCTCCTTCTTTTCGGATGCACCTTCCGAACTTGTATTACTTTTTGGATTTGTGTTTATCATTTCCCTTCCACGTTCCCTTCGATGTATACTATGTTATCTGGCATTTTTCTCGGGTTTTCGTTTCTTCATGCGCTACAAAAACAAAATGGACTCTGGCAGGGAGAAGAAAGGGGGATATGAATGGACGGGACTGGCACGGAGGATTTAGAGCTTACGGCTCCTCCTTTGGTATGCTTGTGCCCTTAGGTGCGCGCAAGTGGGAGTGGAATAAAGAGGCCAGACTGTTATCGTCGGCCAAGAGCATCAAAAACATACGTACATAAAATGATGATGATTACCTACCGATCAAGAACTCAAACGGCAAAAGCGCGAAAGAAACGGGAGGGACCGAGGGACAAATTGCCATGGTGGTGCTAGTTCGCTGACACCTTGATTTCGCTTGTGATATCATGGCATCGCCGCACTCGTGTGTTTGGGGCCAGATGTTAGGATTTAGGAAGTATTCTACAAGGCACACGAAAAAAGTTGGAAGTTGGTGTTATGCAGGCCGATTTGGGAAAGGGAAGAGAAGCACACACAAGCGAACTCGAGGGTGGTATCATTGGGGAGATTGGTACCAGGGTAGTGGGAGGAGAAGAAGATTCGCTGGACCGAGATACATATTGGAGACAACAATCTGGGTGCTGGGTTCGGCTTGGAGCTAGGATCTGATCATCTTTGCTTCTGGCGCCCGCCCAGAAATGCCAGGGTATCGTGTTACAAGGCTCACTAAACAGGGGGGTCCGCTGCAACCAAGGCACACCACAACCATGTTCCTCTCCACACTGGACGGTCCTGCAATTCCCGTCGAGATGGAGTACCGAGACCGAACAAAGGAAGCATTGGGGGGAAGAATAGGGGATAGCTCCGAAGTTCTGAAACCGACTACACGTTGCTTGTGGCTTACAGGCCCTTTATTTTGCACGTGCGGATGGGGATGGGGACTCTGGGACTGATGAATTTCATTAATGAGTTTACATACCAGGATAACTCGTAAGATGGTGGAAGTGGAATTGCCTTCCCGTCCTTCCCTAATCGGTCACGGCGGTGGTACCAGTTGGCGGGTTTGGTAGGGAACGGGACGGGGCCGGGGGAACACACGACACGGACGGACAGCTGAACGGGAACTAAAAAGTCCATGCCGTGATGCTCCAAAACGCAAGGAACAGGACTACGGATTGACACTTCTCGGTATGTCTATACAACAGGTTGTATAACCCCTAGGATGCCGCGTTTCCCCATAGATGTCAAACTGCATGACATAACGCTAACTTTCTTCCTTTTTCTCTTTCTCCGACTGGACTTGCACATCTCGAAGTCGCAAGCATTTCCTAAACCAGGTCTCTCCAGGTCTGGGATATCAGATTCTCGAACAAAACGTCAACGCTAGCAGGTTCCTGGGTTCCATTGTTGGGGTGTGGTAATTATCGATGTCTTCGCCGATCTCTCAACGGCTATTTCCTAGTTGGGAAGAGTCTCAGAAAAAGGTAAAACCCGATTCCATGTTCCATGCCATTAACAGGCACACACCACCTCACGCATACGCGCGCGAGCCCTTGACACTTGCATATCAATCATCGCCGACCAACTTTGGGTTAGGCAAGCCAAGGCGAAGGAAAAGAAGAAGGAGGCAACCTTACTCAAGCATCGACGCATTTGTCGGCGTCTTGCTACGAGATAGGTAAGAACCAAGTACCTCAACCAGAATCTATTATGATTGCAGGCACGCCAAAAAAGTTTCAAGAGGCGGGGAACCGTACAGTGTACCTTCCCCAGGGCTCCTCGGAAGAGCTGAAAAGCTCAAAGAGTCTTGGTGCCCTTGAGCTTCTCAAAGTGGATGTCGGGCAATTTCTTATTCGCTGCACGTTAGCTGCAGGAGCGTCACACTGGATGGCACAAGGAAAGAGAGCTTCAACATGACCAAAACTCGGGAAGCTTACATTCACACACACCGAGACACCGAAAGACACCCAAACTTCTACTAACTCGTACGCATATGCGCCAGAGTCCCTGGCGCGCTTTCTTATTCGCTTTTGGTTCGGTTCAGTCACGGTGTTGTATGGGCAAGGTGTCTGCCAGACGAGAGACAACCCTAGGTAAGGCAGACGAAAGATCAATCGGGAAGAATCACCGTACCCCCCTTAAGGTTACCTCTACTCCGAAACAGGCCTTGTAGGTAAAGTGGAAGTTCTTCCGTCCTACATATCCGCACCCGGTCCGGGCTTTTAGTGATTCGTCTCAAAGCCCGAAAGCGAGTAAGAAGTTAGGACCGGGCGGTATGAGTGGAAGCATGGTTATGGTACCTAGTCGTCGCCGCGTCGGGGCAAGTCCGGGTCGGGTACGGTGACAGACATGGAGAACTGACAGTTCGTGACAGAGTGTCAGTGACAGTGACAGTGGACGAAAGGAAGGGTGCACTGCAGTGCAGTGGTCCTTGGATGACGTTGCTTAATATAGGGCTGCACCTAGCGAGTCGAGATCCCTGTCGCTCAGCAGCTTGGAGCTTTGGCACGAAGCCCAAAATGGTTTGGCGCAATCGAAGACCGCGGCCCAGAGCGGAATCGAGTTTGGAGAGTTTTTGGAGAAGAGCAATTGAGATTCAGGATTGTCAGGGTTGGTGGTGAGTGGTCAGAAAGGGGGGGTGTAAAGAATTCATCGAACGAACGAACGAACGGCTGGCCCCACCCGTCTGGATGTTCTCAAGGACCCGCTTTTCTCGACATCCGCATTTGTTGCGCGGTTCCCGTCTTTCTTTCCCCCTTTGTTCTTTTCCTTCGCCGTTCCCACCATCACATCGACTTGAAACACACCATTTCAATGGATCAGTACCACCTTCCATCTTACCTCTACTGCTCCTTTGAGGCACATGCCTACGTACCAGACTTTGTAGACTTGGGACGACACTGACACTAACAGTGACTGAGTGCAGCACACAAGCGCGCAATCTCAGCATACATGCAGTAGTACACTTCTCATCCTCATCATCCAGGCTCCCCTAGGTCCGGCGTTCGCAACAACAACGACTTTCAACCTTAGCCTCTGGCAAACTCTGTCACAGCGAACCCAAATTTGCCATTCTTGAACCCTACCTACTCTACCTAGTACAAAACCTGTTGAGTTACCGTGACGCCTCGTGGTGTTGCCCTCTCCCCTCGGGCCGGGGATGTTGTGATCTGTGATACTATCTGATCTGTGGACCCGCGGACCCGCGGCGGACCAAGACAAAACTGGACCTGGCAAGCGGCTGAAGACGACAAGCGGCAAGTCTTACACGGATGGCTCCTTGCCTATTCTAGAAGGGAACTGTCCCCTCTTTTGTTTGGTACCGAGCCCGGGACTACTGAAACGGATCCGGATCCCGGAGCAATGTTTCTTTACTAATGAAGGACAGCCGGGTCTGGTCTCGAACCTTAGGCTATCACATTTCACGTTCTTCGATACCTACAGTGGCAGGGTGAACGTGACTGTGATGAAGTGATGAAGTGATGCAGTGATCCACTCGCAAGGTCTGAACCAAACACCAGAGTGGACTGAAAAGAACACTCAAAACGTGTCTCGGTTCTACCCAGTCTCGCACAGAGGAATTACCTGTCTAGAGGGTTGTTATTCCAGGTTAGGGACATCACGCAACGCAATCTGGATGAGAGGCATGTGTGCGTAGCGACCCACATTGGAAAGACTTACAAAGTGTCAGGCCCATTTCAACCGCCGTCCGCTTCCCGCCTTCCCTCTGTTGCCACTGTCAAGCGTTGCTCACTGCGTCTGTGGTCAAGAGCCTCACTCAACAACAGTAGAAGAACACGGGAGTTACCTAGTTATGGAAGATGTCTCAAATATCGGCCCGGTCATCTGTTTTGATTAACATGGAAGTGAGTCCGACCGCTCTCTCTTCTCGGTACCAGGGAAGAGTCTGACGGCGGTCGTCATTATCACGGCCGGTTTCGCTGATTGTAGCGAATTCATAGAGATATTTCAGGCGTTTCAGTACACTATGAGCGGGTAAAAATGCGCAAAGAGTTCATATCAAGATCCAGTTGAAAGTCGGGTTGAGACTCATCGACAGGAAGAAGCAGCTCTCAAGTCCAGGTCCGGTCAGACCAACAAAACAGTACACTGGTCTCTCGCCATCCAGCGCCGGTGTATATACATACCTCGCTAGTACTTTCGAGGTTGCCTTGCCTTGGGGCTCGCTTGATATTTCGTCCAAATGAAGAAAGTGCACATTTATCCAGCTGAGCTCTGTTGAGCAATGGGGGGCATTTACCCGGATAAACAAACTCTTGAGTAACGCTTGACTTGGACTGTGTGCATGCCGCGGAGCCGCGGAGGCGAAGTCCTCTTCCTTAACTACTGCGGGACTGATAGGGTATTGCTTTCTCGTCTGTCTCGTCGAAATACCCGCGCTCCCGCGCGCGACAGCGGGAACGGGGCGGCACGTTTACCTTAAGGTGGTCGTGATCTTCGACGTACGCGTACAAGACACAGGTTGTTTTCCCTTCTCTCTTCGCGAATGGAAGAGAAAATACAGAAATGGGTCAGTCACTTGTTGCTCACTTTGCCGCCGGCCCTTGTTCCCTGTCTCCCGCTTTCAAGAGTGCAGTTTGGGTGCAATATCTGTCTTATTAAGACGCATGTACCGTTGTTGTATGGTCAATCCGTTGTTGTTCACATCTGCTCGACAAAAGGGGAAAGTGTAAGAATGAGATAATCGTGTCAGACAAAGCTGTTTCTTCGTCAGTGAGTCTAGCATGAGTGGATACGCTCGTTGTCTTCCATCTTGCGTCAATATATCACAGCAAAACAGCATCAGAAATATGACCTTTACTACCTAGACAAACGAGAATCACCCAAGTTGGTGGCCCCCTACCCCTAAAGACACAGATAGAAAAGCAGCCGAGAATAAAGGTTCAACTTACGGTTACTACAACAACCGGTCCGTATCTGTGCTCTCCTCGATCAGACATTCAAACCGGTCGGCAAAAACCCAGATAATATCGTCACAGTTATCTATATATATCTACAGGTAGATGAACACGAACTCCTTATACAGTAAGCGAGAGGAGGTCCAAGAGCAAGCGATACTCTCGTCTGGATGAAAGCAGGAGTCACTCTCGCTCGATACTCCCTTTTTTGGAAGAGACTGCCCAGTTCTGTTCGTCTTCGTTTCCATTATCCCGTTCCGTCTTAGTCCTGAACACCATGTTTCTAACCTTCTTGCTCGAGCCGCTCGCTCAAGCTGTAGTGATAGATAACCTGCAGGTTGGAAGGTTGCTGGATCGGTTATGCGCCGTAACTTGGGGTGTTGACGGCGGCTAAGTGAGTCAAGGGAAGTTAGAGAGGAAGGGTAGTTACGGGATGGCATGTACAGGAGATGTGAAGTTAAAGTAGAGGTGAACTGAAGTAGATTGGATACGAAGGTAAACAACCGCAAAGGTTTGGACGTCAAACAACATGAATGGCTCGTTTGCGTAAGGAATGCTTTTGTTGAGAACGTTCTATAGATCGTACACGAATATATCAAGTCAAACGTATTTCCAGTATACTAGGCTACTTTGGAAGCTGATGAACTCCTGTGGAATCATCGGAGTGTCTACGTATGTAGTGCGTGACATATTATTTGTATGTACATCGCTAAAGACTCACAAGAAGCAAAGTAGCTGAATTGATCTGTAAGGGTATCTCCCACGAACTCCTCAAACCATTGACCATCACACATACCTATTTGCCCTCCGAGTGCATGTTCTGTTCTACTGCCTCCAGCTTTCCCAACCGCCCACTTTCCCGGCTCGGGCATGGGGAGCTGGTTTTCCTACTATCGTATTCATCTTGATCATTTTTCATCGCCATTAGATGTATAAGGCGGCTCCTTCCCTGCTAGTGCCTCTTTCCTCCCCTTTTCCTCTTTAAAACCGAAGATGTCATCCACTTCCAGCCGCACAACGCCATTGGCACAGTCATGGTTTAGGTGACTTCTTCTTTCCCCTGTCTCCTTTCTTCCTGAGACCTCTTCAGATACCTCAGATACCTCAGCAGGTAACTCACACAAACCAGCCTCTCCCTGTTGGCTCCCTAGTCGTCGTCCTCCTGTCCGTGTCAGATTCTCGTGGCCTGAAATAGCGGCCGGACTAAAACACTCCTCTGGTAACTCGGCGCGGTGGCGGTGGGGAGGAGAAGGTTTTCGTTTTGCCTATAAACTAAAGGGCATGAGCCTAGTTCTTGTTCCTGCCGTTGCCGTTTCTGTAGCTGGCGGTGAAGATAGGTGAGAAGAATGGAAGGATGAGAAGAATGTAGATGAAGAAATTCGGCCCCAGCCTGTTCCCGGTCGTTGGTGACATGGGTTTTGCTGTTGTGATTTTTCCGAGTGTCCCTGGTGGTGGTTGTGATGGGAGAAGGGCTTGTGATTCCTGAGTGTCGGTGGTAAAAGAGACAAGAGGTGGCAGTAACCAACCCATTCCCTCCATTCATCTACCTTTTTCATCTCCTTGATCCTGTGTCTTTTCACTACCCCCTTCTCCGGCTTCAGCCTCAACCCCTCGCTTCCCTCCCGTTCCCCCTTTCTTCTTTTTTCTTGTGTTCCTAGCATCCATACACCTCGCCACAAAACCGTCAACAAAATCAAGGCTATCCCACCAATAACCCCCCCGTAATGCTGCCTATTCTACTATTCTCTGGACGTTGCCCAGATGAAGGGTTTCCACTTCCAGTCTCTCCTACTCCTCCTCCTCCTCCTCCTTCGACGCCACCGGTGGCAGTAGCAGTCGCAAGCGGAGGAACAATATGCGGAGTGACAAGATAATCGATGGTGGTCGGGTAAGCGTTGCAGCCGAAGCGGCGGTAAACTTGAGCATCGGCCGAGGTGCTGAAGCGGAGCTCGGAGATTACACAGTTGGGGTTTGCTTCCTGTGCTGTACTTCTGATGTTATTTTTTTGGTAATGAAAGGTAAAGTCCGGTGGTGCCTTCTCATGACGCCGTAGGTACCGTGAGTAGGCAAATGGGTAGCTGCTTCCTTCCAAAGCAGTGTCGTTCTTTCCTTTCCCCGTTTCTTTACCTCAAAATCCCGCCCAACAACACAACCCTCATTGGCAATAGATAAAAAAAAAAGGGGAAGGCACTAACCAAGTCCCAACCCCTTCAAACCTCTTCTCTCTATCCCCCACAGCACCACACCCCCCAGCATCCCCCTTACCCTGGGGCTTACACCCAAAACCATCCACGCACCCTTCCCTCCACCCGCCACAGTCCCGCCCTCTTCAAATCCAACTTCCTGCCGTTGTTATCCCCGGGATCTTTGCAAAACCCGTACAACCCGTCTCGCAGGCCCAAGACGCATATTTAGCCTGGAGGTAGTCAGATGGCGTCTTCGTAGTTAGCGGAGCGGTAGCCGCAGGCGTACAGGCGGAGGGTGTATTTCCAGCCGTCAGTGTCGTCGCCCTCGGAAGAGGAGGGGGATGATGAGGAGGATGATGATGAGGAGGAGGAGCGTTTCCATAACAGAGGGTGATGATGGCGGTTTTGGTTCTGGTGGATGTAATGGAGCGAAGGCGCGATGGTGGTGGTGAGTGATGAAGGGATGCCATTTCCAGCATCTATGAGCTGGTTTGGTAGAATGGTTGGGGTGGAAATGAGTGTCGTGACGGATGACTGTGACGGATATCGCTGCCATCTTCGAAACTTGGACGATGTTGTCTTCACTGGCAACTGTAATTCAGCATCAAGTAAGAAGTGTTCATGAAAAAGGCCGGTTGGATATCTTGTCTCAAGCACTAGGTGACTTGAACTCTTAACGGTTGCTTAGCTTCCCAAGCCCCTGGTTTACTCCAGCGGAAGTCAACAACTGAAAGAAGATTTCCGTGGAACCAGTCCCCAATGTTTCGAATAAGAATATTGATTAGCTATGCCGTATACTCATCCCTTGTTGGCACCTCTCTTCTCGATCTTGGCCCAGACCACGCCACGCGTACCTGCGCAGTCGATGTCATCATGATGGCAACCGTTGAATGTTCTAATCTGGCGAACGGAAATAGTATATGAGGAAACCGTCCCTGTTTGCAAGGGAGCGGCGTTGTATTATATTGGGTGATTCGACCCTATGCATTGGGTACTATTGACGCTACAGTCAGTATGTTGTTGGCAAGTTGATGAGGCCATCGAGGAGTTCGTGTGAATATAAGGAGAGTTGTATGTACATAGATCTAGAGGCTCATCAGGCGGGAGCCACTCGGTGTGGCATCTGTGTTATGTTATTTCAATTTGGTGACTTCCGTTCGTCTGGAAAAGCCCGACAGATCATGTGCCACAACGGCGCGGGCTTTACGAGGCCCTAGATACTCGCCGTCAAGGAGATCTGCGATAGAAATTGGCCCCCACCTTGAAGATGGTTTGGCCCCCAAGTAGGACTCAAGGGACAAATCGTACAACGATGTGCTGTTGGTTTCATGGAACGCACATAAAACACAGTGTAGCACCTGCTAAATTTACTAGTGGGCATCGCAGAAGACTAGGTGGGTAAGCCCGATACGTACTCACGGCGGCCGGACCGAGAAGAAAATAGTCCTTGTTGTATCGTCTTGGAGTCCTTCTCGTCCTCAGATTCTCGAAATAAGAATCGAGAAAGGATCGTCTAGGGCAAAAAGACAACGCATCGAAAATCAAAACATGCAATGGCATTGGGAACCAATATCTGAGACCACCAGCAGCAGCAGCAGTGAGGGAACAGATATTAGAAAAAACGTATGGTGATAGAGAATATAGAACGAAAGTCCCATATAGTTCTTGGTCCAGAATAAGCTGGAACAATGAACTCGGGCCGGATTAGAAATGAGTCCAAGTATACTTGCGGTCGGTTTCAACCAAAACCGGAAAGACGAAACCCAGTATCCAAAAAAAGAGAAAGTAGCCGAAAAGACGAACAACGAAGGGTATCTACTCGGAAGCGCAAAGAGAGCAACATCGAAGCTGAGCTAAGGGTATAACAGCAGCGCCAGAGGAAAAGAAGAAAAACAACGCAGAGAGCAAAAGGCAAATGAGTGAAGGTGACAGAGAGACTGCGCATAGAACCCCCCTCTCCTGTTTACTCTGCATATCCGTCCAGCCCGTCACCTTATCAACAACTTTGCCCAAAACAAACATCACCCGTACCCGATCCAAAACTCAGAACCCAAACTCGTTCGTATGTGAAGGACATCAAGCCGGCCGACTCATCTCATCCGTCCGTCCGCTCATCTGTCCCTTTTTTTCTGATGTGCCCTCCACTCTGTCCTTGCCACCTTCATTAGTAGGTCCTCATCCTTGACCGGTATCCATGATGTAAGTGTTTTCATTGCGTTCTCGAAATCCGCATCCAGCAACACGTCCCTCATGGCGTGAATCAGCGCAGCACTTGTAGCGTGGAGGATATCAAGACCTTGCGGCACTTCTGCAGCTGTTTGGTTTAGATGTCGTTTACTCCTACGCTCGCTCAACTTGGCCAGGAAGCGTTTCTCCTTAGTAGTTTTAGATGTTTGCTGGGTGTCGGCGTGTTGTAACTGTGGTCTAACCTCTCCGGAGTCTCTTCCGGAAACTTGAGGGCCCAATTCCCCTTCAGGCGGGCACTCTCCCAGGAGCATAAAAATATCCCAAACACGGAGCTGAGCAGCGAATGGTATTGACAGGTTGAATAATGTAAGATACCACCTTGTCCCATACGCCGTTGGATCAATGGCTAGTTCAGTCTACAAGACAATAATCCGTTAGCACAGCGCAAAAACCGCAATCCTTCTGGAGCTAGAAACTTACAAGTTTGGAAGCAACGTCCTTTCCCGCAAGCCAATGTTTCTCAAAGTCGTCCAAGGTGGAAAGAAGCCCTTCGAAATTTGGCGAATACAGCCTCGAAAGCCCACGATACCTCCAAAGGCGAACCATCATGATAAAACACCTCTCCTCGTCATAGTAGCACAGCAAGGTGGCTGCTAGAGGAGCCATTCCTTGGACATAGCCTGTATCGGGGAAATATAACGAGATGGCATGTAGAATGCGGAAGAGTAGACGCTGGCCTCCACGATATCGCTTTCGAAACATGATGTGACCATTGACCGTCCTGGGAACGTCGAGATCAATCTGGACGTCGTCGGGTGAGCTGATGTCCTGCAACCTCTTAAATGCTGTGATCAGCACCTCATCAGTTTCGGGACTATTGGCATTCTTTGCACTTGTTGCGAGGAAGGAGAACCAAGCCGCGGAGCGCCAGCAGTCTGGAATTCCTTTCCAAGTGCGCTCGATAAGCTTCGGGTTTTTCGTGTCGAATTCAAAGTTCATGCCTTGACCTTGGCCTTGACCTTCGCCGCCGGCTTCGCCCTCACCGCCGTCTTCCAATGGGAACCTCTGAATGACCTTTGCCATTTTCCTCCACTTTTCGGACCGTTCCAACTCTTTCTTCTTCAGGGCTTCGGTACTTTTCTTGCCCGTCATCCTAGCCGCGTATTCCAGGATATCGGTCAGACCACCCGCCGGAAACGCCAGCATATCCCCAGCCTCGTCCATCCACCGCCGGTCCCGGTTGGGTGGTAAGTGATTGGTGATGGACCGAAAAGACGATCGCGTAGATCTTCGTGATACGTTTGAATATTCCGAGGTGAAGGTCTGTAGGGATCGCGCGGACACCTTTCTGCTCGGCGGGCGTCCAACAAGGCCTTTACCAAGGGGAGACGAGGAATAAGCCGAACCGGGCCGTTTCGTCAACACGTTTCTTCTCCTAGGTGATGAGTGTCTTGACCTTGATCCTGGCCTGACTGTCCTACTCGTTTCTGGCCTGAAGCTGGTTTCTGGCCTTGCTGGCCTCTCCTTGATGAAGCCATAGCGGTCAACTTCAACTCCATCCAGATTCTCCCAATCTTCTAGCCCGCCGGCGCGTTCGTGCTCGCCCCATCTCCTAGCACCAGGCCGGTGATAGCTGGCAGCATCATCCCGTAACGACGAAGAACTGACCCAGGGTGCTGTAGGCGGTAATGGCGCAATGGGGCTCGCGGCCCAGTCGCTCGAGCTCGGAACATCTAATTGAGGAGGGTCTCTAGATGGTCGAGAAGAGGTACGAGTTAGCAATGTGGCCAGCGCATGGTGAGGTCTGTGTCTTGGTTCAAAAGGAAAGCCGTACACAACATCTGATGGGTCTTCCTCTGAGGGTAGAGGCGGAAGATCGCCAGCGAACGAGACGCGCCGCCCGCCATCTTGCCAATTGAAGCGACCACCATCGCCAGATTCATAGAGCGATCTCACCTTTTGTGATTCCCTCTCTACGTCCATGGGCATAACGCGGATACTGGGCAGCGGGGCGGAGGGCGACGCCAGGTCCTCATTGAGGGTGATGGACGGGCGTGTCAGTCCAGAGGCGTCACTGAGGCGCGATGATATGGAGCTGGCCGTCTCTTTCTCCCTTGAGGTTTCCTTCTCCGTCTCGTGGTCCAAGTTGTCTGCTGCTGGTGCTAGAGGTACTGCTGGTGGTGGTGTTGTTGGTGCTGCTGCATGCGCCGTGCCGGTAGGAGTAACTGCCTGTGCTGCCTCTGCCAGCTCGTCGTCTCGTTGCGTGCTGTTGTCGACCGGAGCCTGTCCCCCAAACATGATACTGCCGCGGTTGGAAAAGGATAGGTTGCCAAAGTCGACTGCAAGACGGTCCTGGGAGATGAGCGTGTTAATTGGACTGAAGGGGCCGTTGACGTTGTCAGCTCCAAGACGGGAACTAGAAGAATCAGTGGAAGCAATGAGAGCCTGGGAGGGCTGTCTGTCTGGCCCCAGAAGCCCCCGAGGCCCCTCTAGCCCCTTGCCCGGCCTGCTAGCGCCGACGGTGACGGCCAAGGAGCTGCCGGTTGATGAGCCAACGCTAGTACCGTGCTGCAGGCGTGGGGGAGTTCGCAGCCCCCGGCCCTTGGGTGATTTGGATGAACCAAGCGAGCCCCGCATAGCGGCTTTGTCTGCGGTAGACGCACTGGCAGACCTTCTAGCGTAAGGGGTACTGCCGGGAGTCAACGTGCTAAATGAGGCCCTGGACTCCCTGGAGGATCCATCCGCTTCGGGAAATGCAACCTTGTCCCTGTCGTCCTCTCCACCAAATATATCCGATCCAAGGGACCCAAGGGACCCAAGGGTCTTTTTGCGCATCCTGATCTTCCTTGTCTCCATCATCGTCTTCGACCCGACAGTGGCCCGGATGCTGAATGTCTTGCCAACTATCGATGCGCTGAGGCTGATTCTTTTTGACACTCTCTTCGATGACCGTGGTGGTGACGGTATCGGGGCTGGCGCCAACGCCCTCGAGGTTGCTGAAGGAATGCACAGCTTGTCGGCGATCCCTGGCGTTTCTATTTCCGGCTCACTGTCGCTGTCGCTGTCGCTGTCGCCCTGCAGCGTGATAGACGATGAGGTCGGCGCACACGAATCTCTCTTCGACTCGACGTCGCTAACGATGCTGACGGTCTGCGGGCGGGGGCGGAGATGAGGCTCTAGTCGGAAGAGCGGATGGTCTTCCGGCGGTGGAGGGATTGCTGGGCGGACAACAACGATGGGAGTGGCCGAGGAACGCGGACGAATCGAGACGCAACGATGAGCTGGTGGAGGGAGCGGAATGGGCGGTTCTGCCTGTTTTGTCTGTTCATAACGGATGCCAACTAGATCGGGGTGGTCGTCTCTAAACGAGGACAGTCGCCGAGTTCTCAACCTCACACTTGGTCTGTGGCGCACACTTGCCGTCCTCAGGGGTGCCATGTGTGAGGCACGCGACGAGCGAGGAGCGATGGGAGAGTCGGGGTATACGAGAATAGGGTTAATCATGCCGAGTTGGATACCGGCTTGGCCGCTTGTTTGCTGCTCTTTCCCGCCCTAGGGACGCCCTCAGAGCGTGGCAGCTGATGGCTATAGCGGTGGCTATGGTGGGAATGGTGGGAGTGGGCAGTAATGATGGTCCGGGTATGGTGTCACCGTGCTGCGGTCTGTGGCACTTGTGTGTCTGACGTTGAGTAGTCGAGGCCCAGAGTTCCTGCACAGAAGAGGCAGAAACCAAGAGTAAGGTCGCTGACAGCAGTAAACAGAAGAACATCAAGGAGGCGGCGTGGAAGATCTGTATAAATTCGGGAAGGCGTCACGTAAAAGTCAGGCTATGATGATGCAGAGTCCGAGCCCGAGGTGATGTGGATATAACAAGACTAACGATAATCCTCGGATGAGATTGCTGACTTGCAGTCCATGAAACCGGAGGGTATGACGAGCGGAGGGTAAGTTCAAGGTGAATGAATGGGGAATATCATCTTCTTTAAGAGCCATCCCAGTAGAGGGCAGGAAGGAGGGACAGTGAGATATTGCTAAAGGGGAGTAAAGCTTTCCTCCCTTTTCCATCTCGAATCCTTCCTGCGATTTCTCGCCGGACTCACATGTCCCCCTCCAGCTCAAGTAGAAGGAAGTACTTGGCTTACAGTCTAAAAGTTGTACCAACGGTTTTGTCTGATCCAGCCAATGCGCGACCAGCGATCCGAAAGCCTCAAGCACCATTTTGCTCCCTTTCCTTGGTACTCGCGAAAGTATTCCACCTCCACAATTTCCCAAGATGCAGCCATGATGGCGGTCCTCGCGGTTGTGGGGTTAAATGCCGCCGCCACTTTTTGCCAGCTCCTGTTGGCAGCCCTTTGTGGTTGGGGCGATTGTTTGCTCGGTACATGAAGTTGAGAAAGACAGACGCCCACAACGCCCACAACGCCATGGCCCCAACTTGTACACTACGCTATCCAACGGGATGGACATGTGCCTGCAGGTAATGAGGGACTGCGGGCGCGGGCCGGCGAGAATACTACCCTCTAATCACAAATGATCAGGGCGAGTGTCGCTAGAGCAGTGACGACTGAGACACTTTGGACGATCAACATCTCAAAGCACACCACGAGCCGAGCTAGTCCAACACATGTCGCCTATAAACCCGGATCAAAGCTGGGTTCGGCGTCGCGCCGTGCTATGGGGAACAAAAAGGCACCTATGAACAAGTCAGAGAAAGCCGGAGGGGAGAACTGCGCGCTTGTGAGCTTATATGGTCCCTCCGCTTCACGTTGCAAATTACATCCACCGAGTACCGTCCTCGCCGATCCAAAGGAAACCTCCCACTTACCCAGCAACCAACGCCAACACACATGTGCAACAACACATCACACATCCCATACACCTATGTAAGGATGCTCTGTGCCACTTGAGTCCCGATGCCACTTTGGCTTCCCAACTTCTTCATCTCTGTATCAGGACTAATGTACTCAGCCGTTAGACTGGCGGTCTAGAGGCGGTAATCCGCCAATGGTTCAAGTTTCATCCATCAGCCAACATCCGAGATGGTATCATATCAAGTTGCCTGCCTATACCCCGCAACTCGGGCGCGCCTCTCGGCTTGCAAGAATCTGTGGGGTTGGACAAACGGCTAACTATCGCAAGCTTCGTCTCACAACGTCGCCCTAATGTCTACATTGTCTACCAAAAACATCTTCGGCTCTGCCTCTGGCCAAGAAAGAAACACCAGGGCACCAGTTCCCGACCGACTTCCGTCGGCTACCGGCAGTATCACGTTTCAGACTTCCAAGGCAGTTGTCTCAAGCCATCAGGCAGTCAAGCTATCAGGGTCTGATCAAGTAACGGAAACTTGGGGTTGTGAGGGTATCGGATCGGCATCGTGAAGTAAACCACTCCCGGTCCATATTGCCTCCCCTCCCCTCATTTTACATAGAAAGCTTTCCGTTCGTCGTGCTATCCATGAACCAACCAACATCCTCCTGTCCCTTGCATAACATTTAACAGCTTGCAGCCCAACGGACACCGGGACGTCCCTCTCTATGAGATACCTTGCAAGCGCTGGGTTGGTTTGAGAGAAAAAGTAACTAGGTAAGAAAATGGAAAAGAAACAGGCAGGCAGTTGGACACATTACTATGAATGCTTGCCATCACGTGCAACGGATTAAATTGACCATGCACGTATCAAAAATATTCACAAGGTATTCGAGTCTCGAGACGCTACGTTGAACAGAGTGATTAATATGCACCGAATACGCAACGAAGAGAGTGAGTGACGTGTCGAGGTGCGGGTCAATTATCCATGTCTTCTATTACCATAAATACAATGGTTATTTCTTCTTGCGTCTCGCTTGCTATGAAGGCAATTCCGTTACCTCTCAGCCTCTCTCTGCCCCCAAGCCTCCACCTCCCAGCCAAGCAGTTAGGCATCTCTACCTTATCTATGTGTACTAACCAGCCCAACCAAGACAAGCCAAACCAAGCCAGCATTCTGCATTCAAAAAAAATATTCTTATTAAAACTTCATTTCTAGTTTGCTGCTACCCTACCCTACCCGAACACACCCAACACGTGTGCCGTGTCGTGCCGCTTGTACCTTAATCTAAACCTCCTCATTCTCCCAATCCTTCTCCCCAAACAGCGGCGGTCCTTTTCTCCCTCCACTGTTCGCCGCCTCAAACTTATCCAAAAACTCGGGCGGGATGGTCGGTATGTACTTTCGTTCTCTCTCCCTGTTCACTCCGCCGAACCCGGCCCCGTAGCTGACCAGCATGTCCGTCATGCTGGGCAGGGTGAAGGGCAGCATGAAGGCCGGATCGAGGAGCAAGTTGGCCGGCGCGTCCTCGTCGTCCTCGTCGCCTTCCCCGTCACCGCCTCCGGGACCCTCGGAAGACGACGTGGCGCCGCCTGGGGTGGACGCCCAGGGACTGCCGATGATGGACCTGCTGATGGGTGTCACGGGCGTGCTGACGCTGCCGTCGCCGCCCCGATCCTTGATGGAAGATGTGACTGACAACTGCGACATCTGAGACTCGCGCTTGCGCTCCTTGCGCATGGCCTGCAGGGCCGTCAGGTACTTCATGGCGCTTTTGGTTAGGCCCTTTTCGCCAACCTCGGAGCGGTAGTGCGTCGCGGCGTGGATCAGTTGCTGGGGGCTCAGCGCCTTGAGCTGCTGGAGGGTCCCGACGAGGGCCTCGAGGTCGTCGGCGCCCAGCGACGAAAGGACCTGAAGCCATTGGAGAAGCTGAATGACGGGGGCGAGGTGGCGGCGCGCTGCTTCCATTGTGGTCTCGCCGCTCGACTTCATCTCGCCACCCTCGTAGTGCTCAGGCTGCCGGTTGTTGGTACGGGCCCAGTCCTCGAGAGCCGAGATGTTCATGCGGATCTGCATGGCTTTGGTCCGCGCCAGGTACTTGCGACTGGACATTATGCGGTTGAAGAGCTCGGCGCCGAGCCAGTATATTAGTTGTGAGATGACCTGCGCCGTGATGACCGAGTGGACGTCATACAGGTCCAGGACAAATAGTGTAGAGGAGAGTAGCGATGTTACGTTCCGTGGAGACGGCTTCGCCCTCTGCTTGGGGGACGGTGGCCTGAAGCGCTTCTCCATGGGCGGTTCCTTCACCTCCTTCTTGCGCTTGAAGATCGTCCACTCGCCATGGAACGCGATGTTTTCGAAGCCGGGAATTGTTTCGTGATCCAGCATGCCGGCATCCAGCACCTTGTCAAGACGTCTCTCGGCATCCCGGACAATCAGGATGAATATCTCGTTGATCAACTCTGAAAGCTGCGCCTGGAACTCGGTAGTGGCTTCTACCAAGCCGGCATCCTTCTTGAGGTAATGTAGCAGCAGCGTCGCGTTGGATGCCCAAAAGGCTAAGATCGTCATATCCCACTGGTATCTTTCCACGACGTTGTTGATCTTGTCCATGGCGGTGATAAGTAGCTTTGCCAATAGTTCACGGCTAGCATGGTAATGCGCATACCGAGCCCCCAGGAAGATCATGTTCGCGGGCACAGGCTTTTGTGATGGTGATCGTTGTGGGGTCATGTTGGTAATGACAATGTCTAGGATGCTGTCTAGCTCGCTCTCCTGGAAGACAAACATTTGGTCGTGGAGACACCTCGCCCAGTCGAACTCTTGCTGCTCTTCCTCAAATTCGTCAACAGGCTAGCCAATGGTCAGCGAAACACATGGTGTGAGAGTGGGTTTGGATTCCATGGTAGAAAGGAGTGCGAACCTCGGGTTGGTCGTCCATGCCCACGTTCCCTAGATCAACTTCCAGATCACGAGCACTCTCCATCATCATTCTCCTGCGCATCTCGTTCTCGGCCAACTCTTCCTCGAACTTGTCTTGAGAAAAGCCTGGGTTGTAGAAGTCGTCGGCACCGGCCGTGCCAATGCCATATCCGCTGTCGTGGAGATAGAAAGACATGTCGCTGTCCGGGGCAACAAAGTCGAATGCAGTTCGTCCTGTAGAGGTCTTTTTCTCAGGAGAAGCGCCGTTGTCGAGTAGTAACTTTGCAATGCCCTTGTGTCGATTGGTCATAGCCCACATAAGCGCACTCCATTGATTGCGGTCTTGCTTGTCGACATCAGCTCCGGCGTCAATAAGGACTTGTACTACGGCCTCGTGTCCCTGTTCCATAGTTCTGTTAGTAAAACAACCCCATGTATTCGGTCTGATTTGGCAACACCGCCAACTTACAAAACAGCTTGCGTAGATCAAGGCGGGTGTTCCCTCTTCATCTGGCGCATTGAGATCCACGTATTGTCTAGCTGGGCCGTCTAGGATTTTGCGGACGGACTCGACGTTGCCATTGCTTGCAGCCATGACGAAGGCTCTTTGGAGAACATCCTTCTTTTCGTCCTGCGGCATCTTGTCGTCGTTGGCGATCTGGTTCTGATCCTCGAATATTGCGCTGGCCGAATGTGCGGCCTGCGCAGCCAGCATTTCCATCAGTCTAGTCTCGCTGTCGGTCCCGCCCTTGGTGATGTCCTCGTCGAACTGGGGGTCGTTGAGGTGAAGGTTGCTGAAGCTCAGAGGCTTGGCCGGTATGGGTGTTGTCAAGAACTGTGATTGTCCTGATGAGACGGAGAGTCAGTAACAGGTCTGGCCAGTCCGAGACATGAAGCGAGGAATGATGGGACGATGCGCCACCAAGCCAGGGTCTCATAAGACAGACAAGGGGCAACCGACCTTGCCATCCGTCATACATCTCCGTCTCTGTTACCAAGTGTTCGGTAGGAGCATGTCTCCTGTCATCGAGGGTGCGCGGTAGATCGGCGGGCAACTGCTGCTTCTTCTGCGGTTGTTCAAATCCTCCCCCGTCGCTTCCAAAACCTCCATCGTCTCCGCTGCCGGCACCAAAGCCGCCATCGAAGCCCCCGTTATCCATTGGTACGGGTCGAGCGTAGCATGCGGCGAGCGGTGTCGGGTCTGAGCGCAGGTGAACAAGAGCGGCGGGTTGTATGTTCGAGCAAGGCTATAACGTCAGCGTAGGACGGGCATTCGGTTATCCAAGATGTCGGTCGGTATCGAGGAACCGAAGCGCACTGCGGTCGAGGATGACGGTTCAGGGCAGGTCAGGACTCGGTGTAGAAGTTGAGAGCAGGTTGGACTGCAAAGAAGGTGACGTTGCTTTTGTTCCTCCTGAAGAAAAGAAGTGGCATAGAGGTAAATCTCGACCAGGTAATTGCTGTTAGGGGTTCAGTTCAAGCGGTAGGAGTTGCGCCACGGAAGCAGGGCACCCAGGCTTGTCTACCTACCGAGCTACCGTACTGCACTTTCGTTGGTGGTCAACGGCGCGGAGAGACGGTGGACGTATCGGTGCTCCCCCACTGACGTTGCTGCAGCTGTTATCGATTGAGGTGGTCTGTGCTTTTATAGTGACCTTCGATGCCTCGACTTTTAAGACAACCGCCAGTTTATATCATGTTCCACAGCGCGGAATGACAGCTTGACAGCAATGTGATCGAAAGCTTCATGAGCAATCAAACCGACGCATGGCTGTACGATTTCTGAACGATGCGTCTTAAGATCTGGGGTCACCCAAATTTAAACGTCGGTGAGGGTATCTCAACCGGTGGTTTGTGGGGAAATAAGAACCCTGAGCCTAGCGAGGAGCTAACGAACGTTGCTTGGCGCACTGGCTGCTCAACTCAAATTTAAGCTTCGCAACAACCCCGTCTCGTGCGCAGCCGTGAGTCCTTCTAATCTCATTCTGCGAGAAGAAAGCTGATTGGGAATTAGAGCTTGTTATTCAAGCGCAGATAATCTAAGATCTGTGAGATTTCTTCGTTGGTTAAATGACTGTACTCGCCCATCGTACTAAATAAGCACCCCCCTTTTTATGTGGATCGCTGTTCCTGGCCTCCATAAATGCTACTATCACCGTACATAACTTCGTCCACAAGTAAATATGTAGTCCTTAAACAGCCCTCTTCGCAAACACCCGCAGTCTCTTCACTCCGCCATCAGGCACAATGATGAGCTTGACGTGGGTGAATGGCTTGTCCTTCACCAAGCTCTCGACAGGGTGTTCTTGATCAGGGCCGCACTTGATGGGCTCAACAACCTCTGTCCAGCCCTCAGCGTCCGCTCCCGGCTCACCCTCGCCCTTCCACTCGATCGCTTGCAGCTTGACCTGCTGGGGGTAGTTGCCACGGAAGTGAGCTGTGTCGACGATGAAGTTCTGGATGTAGCCGGGCGCGCCGAGTCTGATGATGGCCCAGTCGACATGGCCCTTGGTACGCGAGCGCGCTGTCTCCCAACCATCACCCATGTCCTTACCGCGGCCCGGAAGGATAAGGTTGTCCTTGGTGCCGAAGTGCTGGTCGCTGCAGGAGATGGCAACTCCGCCATTTTGAGCAGCCGCCAAGTCGAAAATGGCCTCTGTATCGTTGGGGAAAACTGGTACGGCGTGTCCAAACAGACGGAATCTGGCAATGCCGCCGTCGGGGTACATGTTTAGTCGCACATGGGTGTATTGCTTCTTGGTAGGGTTCTCGAGCTTCCAGCCGAATCTTTGCGAAGGGCCGCACTCCTGGATGCCAAGAATAGTCTCCCATCCACCACGCTCGCCCTTCCATGAGAGAACCTCATCGTCGTTCTGGCTGAAGCAACCCTCGACCGAGATGGCGGGGGCATGGTTGCCGTTGAAGAAAGCCGTGTCAATCTCGACACCCTCGACGGTGCCTGAGGCGACGCCCAGACGAATCACAACCCAATCGAACTCGGCGGGGTTGTGTCTCCTCGTCTCCCATCCGTCGTACCAAGCACCGGTGTAAACCATCTTTCCGGGCTGGCGGATAGGGGCCGTAGGGGTGAGGAGGTTGGCCGCTTCGGCGAACCATTCGTCCGAGAAACCGAGAACCTTGCCACCGAGAGCACCCGAGATAAGATCTATATCCCGTCTCGACTTGCGTTAGTTGAAAGTGTTGTGGTGTTTGGTGAGACGGATGCTACGGACCGATGGTGCTGGAACGGAAAGTCTTGTCGATATCATCGGCGGCAATCCGGGTGGCCGGAACAGCCTCGAGCTTGTATTCGATGTCGGTCATGGTGAGTGAAATGTGGATGTAGATGAGTGAGTCTTCAGTCCTCAGTGTTACAGAGCGAAAGAATGGGAAGGGAACGAGCGTCCACGGGATAACCAAGAGCAGACGGTAGTTTCTGTTTTATATCACCACAGCAACAGACAAGAGCGATAGCCAGCCACGATAATGCTCAAAGTACGTAACAGCAACAACAATCGTGGTCCTTCTCCGTCGTACCCAACCGTCGTATTTGATCTACACCGAGTCATCGGCCGACTCCGACACCGCTCCACTTGTAACGACGACTTCCTATCCTCCGCATCTCTCGGGAGGACCTGGTGCTAGCGAGGAGGGGCCGCTTATCAGGGCATCCGGCTCAAATGCCACACAGTGGTGATGGTGTTTCGAACACGATAGGCAGGGATAAGTATCGCGGCAGCTGCCGTGGAAGTGCTCCCCCCCACACCGTGTGCGAGTTCTCTCACATGGCAAACTGAAGTTACTTACATGGGGGTTAAAATCATGGAGATTGTGATTGGTCCGAGGAGAAGTGCTAGGAGGAGCTTGGGGCATCTGCAACCTCAGCTCTCTCGCCCAAAGCTCTTGTTGGTTCCGTCATCAGTGACCGCAGCTACGCAATCACCCAAATCCCATTCATTTCAAGCCGTTGTTTGTTTGAATAGCTGCTGGGAATCCATCAGTTGGGAGGCTTCCAGCTCGGTTGCGGATCTTAAAAGATATCGACATCGATGCGTACAAATATTGCTGTTGGGTAAGACGAACGGAATCCTACTCGCAACTCACTCGTGCGCCTCGAAAGCGAACATTGCATCGCCGTGCCTCGTAGATGTCCGAATGTCTCTCTTCCCCTCATCACATCAGATCTGGTAGGGTACCAGCGATGCTATCGGATTCGTAACCACTTTCCCACCTGCTTAGATAGGCAACAGGTACCACCCACCCCAAGTGTGCATGAACCATCCGTCTCCTCCTGTTCCCTTCAGCCCTCTGAATAAAAAGCCCACCTTCCCCGTGCAACCTGCCGGTCAAACCATCGTCCGGACGTCTTCTTGCTCAAGACACAGACCGAAACCAACAACCAAGTATTCAACCACCTTGCATCAAGACGCCGGATATCACTTGCTTTTAACGCATGATACTTCGCCTCGGCCACCGAAACAAGTTGCATTTATTGTCCGAGACTTGGAAGATAAAAGAAGCCCGCAACCATGGCTCCATCAGAAACATCACAAACTCCTCCTCCCCTCAGCACAACTGATGCTGAGCCCGCTGTTCCGACTGAAAGCGAACCACTGCTTGGAAGACCAGGCGACGCTATTCAAAAGCCTGACGCTCCTATGTTCTTGAACCTTGTTCTTGGTAAGTTTACTCTGCTACCCGACCATCATCCTTCCCTCCCATATACCCTTCGATACACCCTCCGCACCTCTATCACCTACAACCCATCTTCAAGATTCCATCCTTTACCAAGTATATTAACACCATCTCCCCCTCTCACAGGAACAGCCTGGCTCTCCCAGGTCGGCGCCGTCCTCCTCCTCCTAACCACCTGGTCCGCCGTCTTCCTGCACAAACTCGGCGCGCTCATCTCTCCGCACCCTCTCCTCCAATCCCTCGGCGTCTTCCTCCTCATCCAAGCGATCCTAATCCTCCAACCAACCTCCACCCCCGACGCCAAACGCCTCGGTCAACGCATCCACGCCTCCCTGCACCTCCTCTCCTTCCTCTCCTTCGTCTCAGGAATCACCATCATCGAAACAAACAAACACGTCAACCACCTCGCCCACCTGCACTCTCTGCACGCCTACCTGGGTGTGATCACCGGCACCTTGTTGCTGGCTCAGTACGTCTTTGGGATTTGCATCTGGGCTGTCCCCGCTGTTTTCGGAGGGGAGGAGAAGGCTAAAAGTTTGTGGAAGTATCATCGGTACGCGGGTTACGTGTTGTTGGTGTTGGTGCTGGCTACGGTGGGGGCGGCGGCGGATACGGATTATAGTAAGGGGGTGCTGAAGATCAAGGGGTGGACGTTTGGATTGGGGATTGCACTGGTTGTGGTGGGCGTTTTTCCGAGGGTGCAGTTGAGGAAGTTGGGGATTAATACCGCTAGGAAGGAGGCTACGCCGATTAATACCGCTACGCAGGAGGCTACGCGTGGTGTTTAAGGTATCTAGCTAAGGAGTATACCGAGGGTTGAAGGGGAAAAAAAGGTCTATGACGATGGGCGGCCCGGCTGAGGCTCTGTTTAGGGGTGGGGGGCTGCCGGAAGGGTTTTGGTTCGGTATGGTGTTGTTGGACTTTATGTTCATCATTGCTGTTGTTATGCACGGCATAATACGCTTTGGTCGCTGGGAACGTCGGAATCGGCAAAATGATATATGCTACAAGGTTTAGTGGCTATGGCAGCTGGGACTTATGGGATATTACGGTTATGGCTCTTATTATTTTTGTGCTTTTGAGGAATCTACGAACACGGAGTTTCGACTTTTAGTCTTTCCGCGGGGAATGAAGCTGGCTCCGGTCACACAATAATACCAGCAGATGATTAGAATCATAACCTGTGTATCTCATTCCTCGTCTGACTAGGGTATAAGTAATAGTAGTACGTAAATCCACACTCTCCGCCATAAAGCATCCCCGAGAAGCATCTCTCCCATGGTATACATTTGCCGCAGATTCCACGCCGTAAACAGCGCCTCGAAGCCATCATCATTAAACACGAGCGCTACGCAGCTGAACCCAGGAAACAATCGCAGAACCATGATATAGTTCCGGCTTGTTTCATCCAGTCTTCTCGCTGCTCTTCCGTCCCCCTTCCTTGCTTGTCTTAGCTGTTTCGACTCCCTGCCATCTTCCTTGCACCTTTTTCCGTCCCTGCTTCGTCGTCCCCCTCTTTTTACAAACATCCTTTATTAGGTTTGGTGAATGATAATTGTCGATAGGCGTAGTCTGTTGGTTTTTGCGGGTTGTCCAAACGACAGTGTAGACGGGCAATCTGTAACCCAACAACCCGCTTGCCGTCCCGCCCCTCCCCGCTCTTTCCGTCCCTTCCCGCTCGCAAAGCCGTTATTAAAGCAAAGGTGTCGTGGTAAAAACATGTAATCGCTCTTTCGTGTCTTCGTATCCGTTGGTGTATTTTTGCCGTTTTGTTGTTTTTGTGGGGGGTATATGTGCGAAGAAGGAGGTCCCGCCGCCGTTGAGAAGCAGAAAAGAGAATATGGTTCCTGTGCGGGATAAGCACCAGTGAAACCATGTCCATGTCTATGGGATACCCACTTGCAAGCGCTCGAGGACCCCCAAGAACTGGTCTTTGAATGCCGTTGACCTCGGTTTTCGAGACTTCAACCTGTCCTGGCCCTTCTATGGGAACTGGTTAGGCGGAACCGTCGGCCAATCGTCCTCGGTAATGCTGGACCAGAAGACCCAGTTCATTACTACCGCCAGGAGAGTAAAGAGGGTTTCGAAAAGCGCGCCGTCGATCTTTCCAGATGTGCCGTCACAAATGTATTTGCTGATGACATAGTTGAACACTTGGCCTGCCGCAAAGAGGATCACAGCAGAGGCCAGGTAGAGCATCGGGCGCGTCTCGCCGAGAATCTTGATGACCAGGACGGCCTCCAGGACGAAGTAGGCAACCAGGAAAACAAGGGGCGCAAGCTGGTAAAGCACGTAGAGTGCGATGTGTCGGTTTTTGGGCAGATCATAGCTACTGTCCCAGTAGCCTGTCCAGTGCAGTCCAGTATCGAGAGCAATGTAACCAGTTCCGACAAGCAGAATCGCTGCAGACCCAACTACCAAAGCCAGTGAAAGCGGAGTGCCATCGTCGAGTAATTGGTAGCCAACGATTGCGTTGAGCATCAGTATCCAGGTAGTGGCGACGATGAACCCGATGTGAATAGCCGTGAACGCCTGGATACGAGTCAGTTGAAACGAAACATAACACGGAACACTGCTTGCCGCCCTTTGCCCAGGCCAAACTTACGATGCGGACTGTAGAGTTCAGCGGGAAATCTCCCACTGTGAAGATCTCACATATCGATATAACAATGTAGCCCAAGAGGAAAACTTGCATTTCTCTGTCGAGTTGTCAGTTATCATATCCCCAAGTTTTCGTCCGATGATTTGCGAGTAACATACCGACGACCAACCGCAGCTCGTTTCCGCTCGGACCTGTAGAGCAGATACATAGAAGCGAGAATCGCAATTGCGCATAGCAGTATGGATCCTGCGTCGAGTCAGCACATGTCGCGCTGATATTCATGTAGGGTCACATACCTAGATTTCCAAGCCTCTTCCCGTTCGATAGCGATATTCCCCTCAACTGGCAGTTGTCTGAATCGTCCCATGGTCCGGACTGGCTGTGTTTATCCGAAAGGAGCTGTTTATCAAGAAACGGCCGTGTAAGTCAGTCTGAAGAGCGAACAGGGACGAGGGTACGAGAGACCATGGTTCCTGGCAGGAGGAACCACCGTCTCCACCAGATGGGGTAGGGCCCTACTCACATTGCAGATAGGAAGAGTCGAGTCTCGACAGAAGTCCTGTGAATATGGAGGCGCTAACAGTCAGAATCTGCGTCCCTGAGAAGAGAGCTGAGCGCCTTCTGCGCCCACCGTCTTCGGCGTCGGGAGCTCACATGAAAGTTGCCAAATTGTGTTGACCCCATGGTGTCGTCTGGTATGCTACCGCTGTGGATTGAGAGTTACTGCGGAGAGAGACGTGCTTCCGTGATATCTGCCGGGGGTATCCCTTTGCGTCTGCGATGGCAGATGCCAGAATATGCGCGTGTCGACCTGACGCCGCCGTCCGCCTTTTGTGACCTTTCAATCCTTCAATGCAGATATCCTTTGGCTGGCGGTTGTTGCTTTGTGTTCAATTGGTAGAAACCGTTGTCGCTGGCGTGTGGAAAACGTGATGAAAGTCAAATGAAGCGCTGGTTTGTGGCGTGATGATGGACGAGAATGGCGGACCCGACTCTCTTGTCTTCCTCCCTGAGGTTATTTCTGCGCGAATCGATCCCTCCTCCCTGTGTGTTTCGCGTCGCCAATTGTCGTCCTTGGTGTGCGCTGTGTGCTTCGGAACCGAAGATTAGGAGTAACGGCGATGCCCTATTATTGGCTCGAATGTCGCGGAGAAAAGAAAAAAAGGGACGTGGAGCAGAAGCGCAGGGCAGGTGGTCCGGATGAATTTGTATGGATGCCGACGATGGGGGCGGAGAGAAGAAACAGATGCGGGAAGCCCACGGCGGCCTGGGGTTGGCGGGTCCGCCTGCAAAATATAAAACTCAACTGGAAGGCCCAGGGCAAAGGATTTCACTGCATGGCATCGATTGGCACACTGGCATAGCATTCCCTTGGCATGAATGGCTGGGTGAGTGGGTGGTCGCCAGTGGCCCAGTGTCGGGTCGCCAGTGGTCGCGCTCCCTCGTCGCTTCCATTCGGGCTGCGGCAGCGGCAGCAGGAACAGGCTTAGGGCGCTTTGTTTCTACTGGCCAGGGTCGTGTCTCCACTCCTCTCAGCTTTTGGCCGCATGTAATTGGTCCGAAACCTCTAGCTCTTGCTCTAAATGGAAGCCGAGTCCCAGCCTTCTCCGAATGACAAGTGCAACGCTGGGATGATTTGGACGAAACGTCAACCCATCAGGTTGCTTGTCACGTCTTGCGCTGGTCCTCTCTGAAACTTTTTCACTTCCGGACGAGGTCGCAACGCAATGGCATGCCGGCGAATGGTTCTGCTTTTCCTTGATTTTTGTTCTTTGCCTTCTTTTCGCGTTCTGACCCTGCCGGATGAATTGGTGAGATAGGTAAAGGGATGAAGCGAAAAAAACAATACAACAAGAGAGTCAAGGCAGGGGGCTTAGGACCCAGCAACACCAGCTGACACTTTAGCACCACTGACGGAGCGATCTAAAGAAGACCACGACACCCCAAACTCCGGACTAGATTCGCGAACCGTGGGTCTCGGAGCTTGAGGTCTCACTCTCTGGGACAAGCAAAACGTTGGGCGCTATTCCGAGCAGCCGGCCTATATCGCCGGCCATTATAGCTACATATCTCGCTCACCGTTGGCAATCGAGAATTTGAATGGCACGCAATTGGACACGCTGTTCGTGGGGTTTCCCTACTCGCAAAAGGGACGCAAAACATGGTCGCCTAAGGTGAGTAACCTCCATGTCAAGATTCTCATGCATGATGAGCTGGACAACACACACCCGGGACGGAAGCCCATAAGAAGCGGAACCGAACGACATCCAGGCCGAAACCACGGGCCTCACTTTGGATGGCCTCAGAAGGTCAGCCCGACCGAGCCAGTCAGCAGCGTGCCCGCACATCCTTCTGCAGACTGTCCAGATGCAGCTGAGGGTTCAGGCGATTCCGACATCTGCAACAACTCCGGCTTCTCGAACACCAAGGCTGTGCGTTCCCTCCTGCAAGGCGACATCCGTGCATCGAACTTTCAGGCGAAGACGAGCCCAACGGATCGAGTTCGATATGATCATGTCCAATCATGTCTTTGTTTGGTTTTCCATCCCGTACAGCCTTAACTTGGAATCCACGCTCGGCATATATCAACTGCTTCATTGATTCATCATATGGAAAGTGTCAAGAGACACTTGTGTACACAATGGGCTTCTTCCAATGCGCAAGCTGGTGATACAAACCTAATATGGTGTTCAAAAGGGGAGTTCCCGTCTGTATGACGGAAATAGGTGGCTGCGTGGCTACCAGGTCCAGCTAGGTACGAACCGCATGCAGCTAGAATACCTAGCACCACATCAACAAGAAAAGCATGGCTTCGTGGATTGTTCAACAAACGGAAAAATAGCAAATGGTATGACGCCTGTTTGCTGACAACGATATCCAGATCCTGGTCTATCTATGGATTCCCTTCGGGGGGTTCAGTTGGTAATCTTCTGCGACGGTCAAGGCACCAACGAAAACAAACTGGGGGTTCTGAGCATGTGCAGGCACAGCCGTACAAGCACAAAGAGTCGATACACCACACATGGTCGGTCCTCTGGGAGAAGCCAAGCCATTTTCTTTCGGACGTAGTGTAATACTGGTACCAACGCCGTGTCACCAGCCACTTGAAGCCACAAGGGAAGTAAAAAAGGATGCTGACAGGAGTTGCGCTGCGCCCGGCGTAGGTACTAATATCCACCATATTTATCGAACGGGAGCCTCCTTGAGCAACCAGGCACCGAAATAGGGACTCCATTGAGGAAACTAACATGGTGTCTTCCTTTGGTTCAAGTCTCTTTGCTTCTTTTCCGGTTCGGGTGCTTGGGTCGTACTGCCTAGTTAAGCCCTAACCCTGCTACACAGCTGTACCCCTGATTCGTACATACAGTAGCATCCTCTGTACTCAAACGCACACCACTGCTTAATACTCCGGTTAGAGGTACTGCATAGTGCATACACCTACCAGCCAGCGATGATTGGTTCAGCCATTGGATTTCTGAACTGTTTATTAAGGATTACATGCCTCGAAGATCCCATGATAAAGGATGAAGCCCGAGCAAGGCGAGACTCACAAGTGAATGTTCGAAGGATAGTAGGTAGGAGGAAGAGGCTCTGTGCCCGCTTACGAGAGCGAATCCAAAAGACCGGGAACGGTGACACGGACTGTTCCTGTCACCCTCAGGTCGAAGGGCCCGACTGGCTCTGGGTGGTGGGGGGCACAGCAGACGGCCCGGACTGTTGGACGTCAGGATAAGGTAGGAATGGTATCATGTACTTGAAATAGGAACATGTTACTGTAGCTATTCGGGGACGTAGGCCACGGCAGTACGGCAGTAATTACGTGGGCTGAGAAAGGTGCCTCCAGTGGAAGTCGTGATGAAATGTGATGGTTTCGTAGACTTTTTTGGCTGTTGACTTAGAAGTCGATGGTCTGGAAGGCCCTTGATACCTAGCTTCTGGGATTCAAGGTAAGTATAGAACTGAATAAGCTGGCGACTATCGTCCAGGAGCAACAAACAATCTCGAACTTCTATAAACTTTTGTCAGGACACTGAAGAGAGAAATAGGAACAACAACATTCTTCTTGCTTTTGTGATGGCACATGCCAAGCACTGTCAGGGGTATTGCTCTTTCATCCGACCTGAACTGCCATCTCGTACAAGAAGGCTTCCATCCCATTCAGAGGTAGACTAGCCTCCCTTTCTTCTTCGTTAAAATTTAATACTTTCGTCAGATCTTTTGGTGGGTCAGCCCTCACAATCTACGTGCTGTGACGGCCTTCCCCGCGTGGAGGTCCATCGGATCCCTAGTTTCGAGCTAACCATCGTGGGTTCGGTGTTTGATGGAATTTCTGGGACATCCGGCACTAGGCACCGCGCTTGACGACTGTTAATGACTCGATATTCGAAGGACAAGTAAATGAGTCGAGCAAGTGTTTCGTCCCATCATGCCATCTCAGCTTCGACTCCCCGTCTGTCAGATAGGGGCCGACGACAGATGTACTGTGAAGATCTTGCCCGGTCACTGACACTCCAGACACACTGAACTTTGGGGTTGCAATCATGTGGTTGATTGAAGGGTGAAAGGGTTGCCGGGTTTTGCAGTGATTTTCATTTGATTTGCGCGGCTTGTCCGGTCTCTGCCAGTGAAAGATAAAACTTGAGGTCGGTTTGAAGTTTGAAGAGGATCACCTCAAAATGGCGGGGTGTGGAAATGATGATTGGTGGTCACGCACGGGACAGTGGAGGACTGGAGGTGCGGGTGCCCGACCAGGGGCTCCTCAGTGGATTAGCTGGTGCCCTGCCAGGCGGGTCTTGGCGGGCCCTTGGCTGCCGTAGCTCCGCTCCGGGCTTCACAGGGGACCTCTACGGCCAAAGATTCCCGGTCCTTGGCCTTGGTTGTGCCTGCCCGGTTTGATGGAATTCCAGGTTTCTGTCATTGCAGTCTTCAACTCTTCTGCAACTAAGACACTCGGTCATCAGTCCCGTCACCTGCTTTGCCTCTATTACCGTTTTGTTGATCCGGGACCCCGTGAACGCCCGTAAACCCCGTGAGCCGTCCAATGTGTCCGTCTCGACATCGACCATCTCGGGTTGATCCTCCTCTACTAAAGAAACACTTCCACTCTTTCCACCTCAAGGTGTGGTCGGGGGCTGCTGCAGAACAGCTCCATCTCGTCCAAGATTCCTCCTCCGCAGCCGACTCCGATCCCGAACCGTATCCCTTCCGACATCCCCCTCCGCACGCTCCCCGCACACGCGGCTGCCCAAGACGATCCGTCAACCCATTCGCACGGCAACCGAAGCCAAGGCACTCCCTCCTTCCTTGCTCCACGCCCTGCTGAGCACTCGCGATACTCGGAATACGACGACGACGACGACGACTACAACGCTTACGGCTCCTCCGAGTCCTCGTGGGTCGACACCGGTGACATCGCCGAGCAGCTCGATAACGAGGATCCTTTGCGCCAGAGACTATACGATACCCTAGAGGACGAGACCCTCGCTGGCGTTGTCCATCATCGTCATCCGAAACGTCATCGTCACGGCGGCAAGCACGTCCACTATAACGAGTCTCTTTCCCGCTCCAGCACACACTCCTCCAGATCGTCTGATCAAGCCAGAGCCGTTAATAAGGAAGCAATCCACATTCCTGACGCCGCCCCCCGATCTGTCTCGCGGGCCGAGCGCCTTATTGCCAGCATCATGGCGGGAACACGAAACCCTATTCATGGCCTTACTGGCAAACCCCTAATGTTCGAACCCTCCTGTTGCCTGGCAACGGCTTGCCCTTGTTGGACGGTAACTGACAGCCCGTAACAGCTACTTTACTTCCATCTTTGTGTCATTAGGCGTCTTCCTTTTTGGATATGATCAGGGTGTCATGTCAGGTATCATTACGTGCGTGGACCCCCCTTTGTCGTGACTTCTCTGTTGCCCCCAGGCTGTCATATCCGATAGACACGAAGGCCGAGTAACTGATGCTATTTGTAACAGTGGTCCGTATTTCAAGGACTATTTCAACCAGCCAACGAGCGCCCAGATAGGTACTATGGTTGCGATCCTAGAAATAGGTGCTCTCATCTCCTCGCTCATGGTTGGTCGGATTGGTGATATCATTGGCCGCCGCAAGACTATCCTCTACGGATCTTGCATCTTTTTCGTGGGCGGCGCCCTGCAAACTATTGCGACCGATATGGCCATGATGATGACTGGGCGTATCATTGCTGGCTTGGGTGTCGGCATGCTCTCCACCATCGTTCCGGTCTACCAGTCCGAGATCTCACCTCCTCATAACAGAGGAAAGCTTGCTTGCATTGAGTTCTCGGGTAACATCATTGGTTACACAACCTCGGTCTGGGTGGACTACTTTTGCGGTTTCATTGAGGGTAACCTCTCGTGGCGCCTCCCGCTCCTCATGCAGTGTATCATGGGCGCGCTGCTCGGACTGGGAAGTCTGATCATTGTGGAATCGCCCAGGTAAGCAAAATCTCTTCTAGTACTCAGCTTCTAAATGGTTGCTAACCAGGATCCCAGATGGCTTCTGGACAATGACCACGACGAGGAGGGCATTGTAGTGATTGCCAACCTGTACGGTGGTGGCGACATCCATAACCCTCGCGCGAGAGATGAGTTCAGAGAAATCAAGATGGACGTACTGCTGGCGCGCCAGGAGGGCGAAAGAACATACAGTGAAATGTTCAAGCGCTACAGCCGTCGCGTCTTTATCGCCATGTCGGCGCAAGCGCTCGCGCAACTCAACGGCATTAACGTCATCTCATACTACGCACCTCTTGTGTTCGAGTCTGCCGGCTGGGTGGGCCATGATGCCGTGTTGATGACCGGCTTCAACGGCATCACCTACTTCCTGTCAACGATTCCCCCATGGTACATCGTGGACCGCTGGGGTCGCCGGCCTATCCTCTTGACGGGTGCCGTGGCCATGGTGCTCTCCTTGTCTGCTATCTCGTACTTCCTGTACCTCGACACACCTTGGACACCGTCCGTGGTTGTGATTATGGTCATGATCTACAATGCGGCGTTCGGATACTCATGGGGACCTATTCCCTGGTTGTACCCGCCGGAGATCTTGCCCCTGAAGATTCGCTCAAAGGGTGCCAGTCTTTCGACAGCGACGAACTGGGCTTTTAACTTCTTGGTTGGAGAGATGACGCCCATTTTGCAGGAGCTGATTCACTGGAGGCTGTACCTCATCCATGCCTTCTTCTGTGCTGTTAGTTTCGTGATTGGTGAGTACCTCCTCATAGCGCCCCTTCAAGGTTATCCAGCTAACGGGTTCATTAGTATACTTCCTGTATCCCGAAACTTGCGGTGTCCGGCTTGAGGATATGGACACCCTCTTTGGTGATGCCACGAACGCAGTTGGCACACCCGCCGCCAGTACTCCGTCACTTCACGCCGAAATTGATGCTCTCGTTGCGCCGGGCTCGCCCGTGCCACGGCTGGATATTCGGGGCCGACCGCTCGCCAGTGCGGCTATTCCCGGCCTGCCGATCGATCCTCCGGACGAGGTCGAGATTATATATAAGAGCTCTTCCAACCAAAACAGGGGCGGAATCGGCGGCTGGTTGTCGAGGTTGGTTGGACGGGGAGGAGGAGGAAGCGCCGAGGGGTCTGACACTGGTAGCTATGCGCCACTTCGGCAGGGCGATGACTAAATCTTGGATACACCTCGCCCTTGAGTAAAGAGGGCCAGCCGGTAGTAGTTGGGCCATTTCTGTTATTGGATAAGTACATAGACGTTGGATATTAGAGGCCTCAAGCGAGCAGGGAGTTCCACAGACTGGGACAGCGAAATGGGTTGGAAGGACTCGATTGCCCGAGAGCTAGATTTTCTTTCTTTCCTGAACATTTGAATGCGAATATTAATATCCACCCCGAGGTCATACCTCACTTCCATCTTCCTTCCACTCTAGACTCGAAGTTATGTTTACACCAGCATAATGTCCAAAGCACCCTCTTACCCTAATTCCCACCAAAAGGACTCCGCCCTACATGTATCGTCCCTCTCTCATCCTCCGCCTTTTGACCTAAATACCACTCAGTAGGAGGAACCAAGGTAGCCCGCGTAACAGGCGTACCCATAGGGGTAGCTGCACCATTACTACTGCCACCACCGAAAGTTCTACCTTTACTTGTACCTGTACCTGCACCACCACCACTCCCCGAACCCTCCCACCGAACAGGCTCAGTAGCCAAGTCAATCCCCTCCAGTCGTTCTTTCCTTTCTAGCTCCCTTTCTTCAAAAGTCATGTATCGTCCATCCAACTCTGCTACCACCTCCTTGGTAGTCGTGGTCACCACCACCTGGCGGGTTTTTCGATCCCAAATATCCCAGATTCGGCTCCGGCTCGGCTCTGGCTCCCGAATGTATATTTTGAGCTGACTTTGGCAGATCCCGACCTGGGCGAACCCGCACCTGTCTCACTCGCCGAGCCTCCCCATCTCGGCAAAGGCATGGGGCTGAGGGGACTTAGACCTGGTAACTCTCCATTCCCATTCTCGCTCCTTGTCTGTGGAGTGTTGGGCATCTCTGGAAGCTTCGGCGTCTTTGGGTTTGTCATTGTTCCAAACCCGAGTTCATGAATTTCCTGAGGTCCATCAGGTCCCTGAGGTCCCTGAAACCCATTCGGTTTAGTCAGTCCATGAGCTTCAAATTCATCCGGCCGCCGCCAAAACCCCCGTTCCCTCAACGCCGCCTCCGCCGCCGCCTTCGCCTCCCTAGCTCGCTTCCGCCGACGAGGCCCGCGGTACCACCAGGTGAAGAGTAGGAGGTAGATAACCGCCAGGGCGCCGATGACGGAGCCGAGGATGGCGGATTTGGGGTTATGTTTCTTTTGGTTTTCTTCTTCTTCTGAGGGGGTGTTGGCAGAGGAGATATAGGTGGCGAGATCCGAGGTTTGGGGTTCGGGAGTGGGGTGGGTTGTGGAGGTGGTGGACGGCCCAGGGACAGAGGAGGACGGAAGGGGGTTAGTGGAGGGCGTTGGTGTTGGTTGGAGGGTTGAGGGTGCTGGTGGTGGTGACGAAGATGCGGGTATTACGGGCTTTGATGTTGAGATTGTTGCGACGGGCGCCTGCACATGGGGAGCTGTGAAGTTGTCATCTTCGGTGGTAAATGGAGTGGTTGAGTACGGGTTCCGTTTGCTGCTGGATGTGGTGGTGGTGGTAGAGAGTACAGACGTGTCGAGAGCGGCCTTTTGGTCCAACAGGTAGTGGTGGATTGAATAATGACCGTTTCCGCAACCGACGCTCCAGTATGCATCTGCTTCATCGGTATGAGTATTTGCTAGACGGGTGAGTTGGCAGTATGGATTAGATGCGGCATGGCTGGTTTTCGATGTTCAAGTTAGTGAACTGGGCTGAAGTTGGAAAACGATAGAATGTAGAGGGGAGGGAACAGATTGACTTACCATCTTGTTGTGCCAAACTGAGCACGTGCTTGGTCAATACCGCAGCCGTCACTGCAATCATAAGTATCGATACACCAGCCGTTCCATTCGCAGTTGTCGACGATATCGTGTCTGTCTTTGAGTGAAACCTTTTTCGAGCAGAAGCCAAACAGCCGGTTCGGTGGAAACATGGCACACACCATGTCCTCCGGAGGCGATATGGACTTCAGACGGGCATCCTCAGCGACTGCATAGCCGCAGATGTTGGTTACTATTGGGGCATCAGTTCCACCAACCTGGCGTCTTAGTGCTGCTGCCGAGGTGATGACTGCTGGTGATGCTGCGCTTATGGGTACTCCGCTTGGAATCAGTGCCGCCGTACTCGTGGGCACCATTGAAGTTATCACGGCCATCGTGTTGTATGTCGACGACTGATGACTCGAAGTGATGGCGAGCAAGTCAAAAGATATCCATGAGCAAGATGTTTAAAGTGAAGAAAGTCTTGAATATGGGTAGAAAATTGCTCCCTCCTCGGCCACTTTCGTCTCGGGTGTCATGAGCGAGAAAAGGCATCATGACCAGCCAGGGGAGGGAGCAAAAATGGTGACTGCTTTCTTTCAACTTGGTTCTCGTTATCGAATCGTTCGATAAATCATTGGAGCCGATATGGGGCTATACTATTTCCTCCCACGGGAAGGGCAAAACAGAGCGGGAGCTTAATGTGTCATTCAGGAGGGAAAACAAAGCGATCCATGTTGACCTAGGGTATTTTTGGACAAGGCTCTTTGTGTGCCACGATGTCGAGAACAATCATAACTTGAGCTATCCGTTAACATTTTAAGTAAGTACTAGAATGTTGAACAAAAGACCAGCAGACCTAGGAGTTGGCTTGCCACTTCCACTTGGATATAAACCATGGGGTGGTCTCTCATCCGCACTCCTCCCGTGAGGACGGGAATGATGAATCGGCGAGGAAGATACCTTGGATCATTATTTCCTTTGGAATGTGTAAGAATTTTGAACGCAAGATCGCTCTTTCCCTCCAGTCTCTTACCCACTGGTAAGCTTGAGTAGGTTGGTGGTTGCCTCGGAAAGAGGGCCGTCAGGGCCGTGTAAGTGATAAGACGTAAGTTACGCTATCGGTTTTCATCCTGATACACATGTGATACGCTTTCATTACCTACGTTGATGGCTCGTGCTGAGTTTGCGTCTGTTCACTCAACTTGCCGATTGGTTTCTGATGATTTGACGTCGCATCCCATCAAGATTCAACACCCGTTTCACCCAATATCATGTCGAACCAAGAGCTTGTCCATGCCTACCGACATCTTCTACGATGGTCGTTAAGGGCCGTGCAGTTCTCCAAGCCGGCGCGCTTTGTGGTTCGAGACACCCTTCGTGCTGCCTTCCGCGACGAGAATGGCACTTTTGAGCCCTCGAGGGTGAAGTCAACGTTGTGGTTTCTCGAATCCGCCGCGACATATGTTGGGGTGGAGCACAAAATCATCAAAAATCTGGTCCACGTTCGGTATATCCAGGAAAAGGCCATCGGGCCGTGGAGGATCAGGGCGCAGTCACTTTCCAAGTCCCAGCAGTAAGTCAATAATAGAAGGGGCGAAGAGGTTGAAGTGCAGATGCTGAAGAGAAGGAACCCAACAGGAGAGCGCTCAAGGATCCAGTGTATGAAAAGGAGTACGAGCATTTTGACAAGACAATCGCCATGTTGAACGATACGATGAACTTGTGTTTACGGTAAACAAGTGTCCGAGTCGCCCGGGCTACCGTGGTCAGGGGCAATTCGAAGCCTACATCAATGCCGGGGTTTTGGTTGCAATGTTTGGCATGTCCCGGACTTCCAGCAGTACCAAGGGCGGAAAAAAGGAGGCGATCACAAGGGCCAAAACCGAGTCAGACGAGCGACTCCAATTGTCGTGATTACTCCACAAATTGGAGACACTTTGCACACCGTCGGTGTCGCGTAACGGACTTGGAAAACGATACGTACCGCACCCCCAGTCACCTCCAGCCCCCGCACATCTACTGCTCAGAACGGTATGGCTTCTTGAGTCCCGTGATCGTACAGTCTTTGCCTCTTTGGGTAGTATGTAAACACGCGTGTGGAGTTGAAGCTGAGTCAGCTCGTGCACGGCCGTTGTGTTGACGGTGAAATCGTGAAAGTCATGAAAGTCATAATATAAAGTGTGGTATTGTAAGTGACTATACCGCTTGCCATTGTTGATGATACTTAATACTAGTCTCCCTAATTACTATTCGATAAGCTCTACGTTGAGCGTATAACAAGGGCACCATCTCGTGTGCAACGTGCAGTAGATAACAAGGCTAGAAAGCGAAGTCTGATTCCTATGGCAAAGTCCTTCTGGCTGTCTTTTATATAAGTAGTTACTTTAGTGGTATAGATCAGTTCGATGAGCTCTGTGTTGAGTAACTGCTATGTATGCTAGTGATAACAAAACTATAAAGTTAATAAAGGTTAGCTAATATGTATATTAATCGTATTTTTAATACTATAACTACAATATTGACTCTGATAATACCAAATTTACTATGCAGAATACCCTGATTGCTAGCAATCAATTAATATATATATTAAAATGATTTATGGTGGTATGCAAATGCTATATTGAAAAGTGGTTTTAATACATTTAATATAAATTAAAATATTTATATTGAATTTTATTTTTATAATTATAATATTAGCTTGCTTTTACCACCTCTAATTATACTAGATAAATATTGACTAGAATATGTGACTAGTGCTAGATTTATGTAATTGCTGTAATAATTGGATTTATCTATATATAAATCGTATATATCGTATAAATCTCTATATGCAATGTATAGTATACTAGTATTTATAATACCTTTTATATATAAATTGTGTATACTATATAAAACGCTGTATATAACTGGCTATATTTCTAGTACTTTTTTACGTATGACTAGCTATACCGCTTACTAAAAGACTGGATTTATTCATATATTAATATATAAATCGTATAAATCGTCGTTTAGAATACTAGTTGATTAACTAACTTAATATCTGTAATCGTAATAAATTTCTACGCTATTAAATATTTCGTAATATAATTAGACGTATATTAAAAGACCCCAATTTGATATTTAACTCCCCTCTACGTCCTAAGGTCGAACTCCCTATATTTATAAATTATTTATGAGATTTTCAAACTCTCTATTAAGCCGTTAAGCTCTTACAATATACTAAGTATAAGCACTCTCTACGTCTATAGAATTAAAGCTATATTCGTAATATGCTAATTGTTGGAAGTTATAGAACTTAGAGATTATAAGCTCTAACTGCTTTCGTACCGCCTGCCGTTAACCAAGGCTATATCGATCCTTTTAAAGGGGTGCTCTCTATATAATTTAAAATTTAAATTACTTATATCCCTCATTTTACTATAGCTTTAACTAGTTGGCTAAACGGCCGGTTAATAGGGTATAATAGTCATTGAGGAAGTAATATTGCTAGAAATGCTGATATAGTAATTGCTAACGTTTATAAAACTAGTACTTATAGGTAATAAATTGCTAATTAAACCCTCCTTTATAGCAGTTAATATTAATGAAATAGATTAAATATATATTAAAATACTCGCTAATATCGTAAAGACGCTTCCTCTCCTTTGCTTTTAGTAGAATTAGCTTTTATATTAATATTAGAAATCGGTTGAATTTAGGGTAGTTAAGTGATTTTCGTAGAAATCTAGTACGAAATGCGGTCTTAACTTTGGTAGTACGGTTAAAATACTGAATATTTATATATAGAATGTATTTGGTAATACTAAATAAACAGAATTACTATATAATACACTTATTTTAAAATTTCAAGCTAGAATAGTAGCTTTCGAGATGTCACGGTGGTGGCAGACCACTACACTAACCAGCCCGTGTCCCCGCAAAAGGGTACAAGTAACCGAAGCTGGCAATTCGGTCGCTCAAGTGGTCTTATATAGTTGTAATGACAGATGCATCCCACAAATGCCATCACACGAGAGGGTTAGTTGTAAGTATTTATTAAAGAGAAATATAATTAATTAAATTAAATAAAGAAAGGAAAGCGATAATAGACGATAATTCTTAGGTTTCTTCCGATATTCCTTAAGTTTCTTCCAATATTCTCTAAATTTCTTCCAATATTTTTTAAGTTGGAAAAAAAAATTGAATTATATTTTATTTACTCTAAAATTTTAAGGCATTAAGGGGGATAAATAAAGAGATTAATGAAAAGAGAAGGGGTTTATATTTATAATAATAAAAGTGAGTGTTTATAAACGTAGTTACTTTACTACGATTTTATATCCCTCTAATTCTTTTCGATATATTTTTGTATAGGGTCGTTTTAATTTAAATAATTGAGGATAAGTTAAATAGAAATAGTACAACCCTATTTTAATATATTTTTATCGAATAGTATCGATTATATATTTTAAAATACTTTTTATAATTATTATTAGAGAGTTTCCGCTTAAAGGTCCATTCCACGTAAATGTAATAAAGGAAGTAATTAACTTCGATATTAAGGAAGGCTAGCTTTATAGTATATTATTCGACGGTAGAATCGTCCGTAAGGAAGTAACGAAGTAACTATAGTTGACCGCTATAGTTTATTACCTACCCCCGTATTATTAATAGAGTTACCCTTATATTATTATTATCGGCCTTTTCTATAAGGAAGTAACTACAAGGAAGCTAATAGTTATATTTATTATAAGTAAAAAGGGTATAGAGTAATTAGCTAAACTAATTCGTATTGTATATAGCATTTATAAGAACGAGGTACCCTCGCCGTTAGAATATATCGAATTAATCTGATGGGGGGGAGAATGTATTAATTAAATGTATATAAATAAATAAAAATAATAAAAATGATAAAAATAATAAAAATAATACAAATAATAAAAATAATAAAAATAATAAAAATAATAAAAATAATAAAAATAATAAAAATAAAGAAAAATAAAGAAAAATAATATACTAATAGTCTATTAAATTATTTTACGAGAGATCTCGCTATATAGTCGCGTAGTTTTAATAGCCTTACTAAATAATTTAAAGCTATTAATATTCTTATTTACCGTTATTTAGGTAGATAGGTATTATAAAACCTAATTAATTTATAATTAAGGGACGAAGTCCTTACTTACGCGATGTGGATTTGGATGAGCGAATTAGAATGCCTTGCCTTGGTTGAATACGTCGTATTTACTAAACTAACGACCCCCGAAATTATAAAGTATAAATTTAGCAGTGTTTAATTAGCTATTACTATTATAAAGAGTGCGGTAGATAGTAGCCGTTAGGAACCCTCGGATAACGTCGCTAGCGATTAACTTTCTAAGGTTAGAAATTTACTTAGTTTAATTTAATAAATCTATATTATAATTATAAGGTTTGCTAGCGGTCGTTTTTATAATTACGCTAATTAGTATACGTATTACCGCGTCGTTAGTACGGCTAGTATGGCGGTTATATTAAAAGATTATAACCCTTTTCAATAGATAATATTAAAGGTTACGCGAAGTTTTATCGTATAGACCTTAGGGTTCTTTTCTTACAATATATATTCTTTTTTTTTTCTATAATCAATAACGTAAATATAATTTCCTATAGTAAGAGTACCGGTTGGTGAGCTTATACTGATTAGTTTAATAATATATATTATTAAAAAATAGCTAGTAAAGGTAGTATTCGCTTATTGTAAATTCGATTTTATCGTTCTCTAATTTAAAGAGTATTTATTAATATTAAAGTAAATCTTTTAATAATATATATATAATTTAATCAGGGATAGGGATATGGTCGGCGGCGGGGTTGGGATCGGCGGTAGTAACGACAGCGGGCTTATCTTCTTATATTTCTTTTACGGGCGGTGCGTTTAGAATAGGGGTAATAATTATTGTAAAAGAACGTTAGCTATGATAATTTGTATGAGGATTATTTATATAGTATTTACTACCTTCTAGCGCGTTTTTGAAAATGGTATTGTTATTGGGCGCAAGTAAATCCTCTTCGTTTGTTGCCTCAATATAGGGAAGTGCGCTAGGTATAAATTAATTGAATAGTAATTTGTTAATATTAAAATTACAAAATTATTAGAGATCGTTAATATCCTATTTGGGCTTATAATTGAGAAGCTTTTGAAGTTCTTATTAATTTATAACGACGACGGCGAACTTTAAAGAAGGGTGGTAGTAGTATTAATACGATTAGTAGAATGTAGTTATATAGGGAGAAGTAAAAAGGTAAATAAGAGAAACACGGGTAGGGAGAAATATTAGTATATAGATTATTTTATTTATTTTTCTAGGAGGTAATTATATTAGCAGTAAAATTATTGTACCCTTACTACCGCAATGTACTAGATTTCGTACAATATCAGTAACTTTTTCAAAATACTAGTAATTTCGTTGTAAATAACGGGAATTATATTATTTAAATGCCTTCTATTTATTGCTAAAGTTGTACGAAAGTGTACATAAGAATAGTGGTATAGTTGTATTATATCGTGAACCGCGCGTATGTTCTGGTAGTGCATCTGGTTTTGGCGTGTACGGTTAATAAATCTTATGTTACATGAATATTTATTATATTTTTTCTGGGAGGGAGGATGTGACTGGGGGTGTGGTACGTATCGTTTTCCAAGTCGGATACGCAAAGCCCACCGTCGGCTCTTTCCCCAGGTTTCTCCGCATTTGGTTTTTGATGACAGTGGTG